ATTTCGGAACTCAGACCCCTTTCCTGATCTTGTTATGAGTGATGGCTCTCTCAGTTGTTGTGCTTCTGTGCGTGACCTTGGTTTAAATATTGACAGCAATCTTACTTTCAAACAACACATTAGTAATATTTGTAAGTCTGCTTCCTTTGGTATATATAAGATCAGTAGAATCAGGAGGCTACTTGACCGACCCACAACTTCAAAATTAGTCCATGCTTTTGTCTCGACCCATATCGATTACTGTAATTCTTCTCTTTCTGGCCTCCCTCAGTCACATCTAGTCCCACTTCAAAGGGTACAGAATAGCGCTGCTCGGCTTGTGACTCTCTCGCGTAAATCAGAGCACATAACTCCAATATTGAACTCACTACATTGGCTTAAAATTCACCACCGCATATCCTTCAAAATTCTTCTCCTGTGCTACAAAGCTATCAATGGCTTAGCCCCCTCTTACCTTTCCGATCTCATATCCTTACGTTCCCGTACGTCGTCACGAACACTTCGTTCATCTTCCACATTACTGTTAACACCTGGACCCCGCACTAACACCCGGTATGGTGACCGCGCCTTTTCAGTTATTGCCCCCGCTCTCTGGAACAAACTGCCCGCCTTTATTCACTGCGCCCCCTCTGTATCTCAATTCAAATCTCTACTCAAAACCTATCTTTTCAAATTGTAAATTGCAGTTGTGCGTCGGTCAATGGAGGTGCGCACCATATTTGTCTTTATTTAGTTGATTGCCACTGTTTTTCTTACCTTATCTATGTTACTTTTGTATTTTTGCTTTTTCTTCTAATTTAATTCGACGGGGTATAGTCTTCTCTTAATCAGAACACTGTGCGCTTAGAAACATCAGTATTAAGCGCCTAATAAATGTTATGTATTATTATTATTATTATGTACATGTATGGATTCCATTTTGATGCCTATTTTGAATAACATGTGATTTGTAGCTCAGTACTGTACTTAGATGGAAAAGAAATCCCTGCTGTGCAATATGAATATCCTATTCCAATATTGGCAATAACCCTGATATATCTTAACCTTCTGTACAGGGATGTGAGTTGTTTGTTTGAAAAATGAGAAAAACAAGTTGCTAGATTTCAAGGAAGTATGGTTCCCATGGTATTTGACTCAGTGATATCATTTACTAACACACAACTGAGTTCACTCTGAATCACCAGTCATCATGTTTTTCTTTTTCTGATTGCACAGAGGAAAGAATCAGGCTTTTGACAACAAAAAAATCATTTTACTGCAATGTGTTCTTGAGAAAAAGAAAAAGAAGGAAGCAAAGTGGAGGAAAAAGGAGGAGAAGGAGAAGAAAAGAAGGAGAAGAATAATAATAAGATGATGATGAAGATGATAGAGAAGAAGGAGAAGAAGAACAGAAAGAAAACAAAGTATAAGAGAAAAATAAGAAGGAGAATAAAAAGAAGGCGAAGAAGAAAAAGAAGATTTTACCAATAATTATTTGACATACCGGTACACTGCATGTACAGTGTAGGCCTACAGCATATACAGTACTTCCGGAAGTATCTTTCACTTGAATTATTTCAATCTAGATTTATTTTTAATTTTGCGGATATTTTGTATGAACTGGTTTATTCCTGTTTCAAGCAAGTAGTCTTTTTGTGAAAATTTAAAACAAACTACCTTTACATTCCAGTCTACACAATAACATGTTAGTGTTTGACATGTGTATGCAGTATCCCTGTACATGAAATGTAGTTTCTACTCAAGACAAATGCAAATGAGAAGTATGGTTCTCCCAAAGCAAATTAAGTTATACGTTATGTAATTAAATGCAGGTGCAGTGTTTCAAAAAGGATTTGCCCCCTGATTGCATAATGATGGGTTTCAGGAACCATTATACATGTACAGTTATATCATTATTACTGTACTACAAGTACACATGTATATTGTAGTTCCTGTAGGATAGTAATTGAGATACTGTACATGTACGTTAATTATAGCACTTGGTATCTCTTTTGAGGCAACATGTGTATCATGACCAAGAAATTGAAGATAGTCTGGTGTACATGTACATGTACACGTACCGGTAATTGAATATGATATTAAAATGGCTGAGTATTATACATATTATCGGTGTTTATTTCTCTACAAAAGATACATAGTCATACATGTACATTTATATTTATATTTAAAACTGAAAAATTAAAACACAATCTTCTCTTTTAATCTTTCTAAAGATTGTGAGTACCGTAATGTACATATTTGTACAGTATGTTGTATGCTTTTAAGGTTTAAATTAACATCCATAAGTTTGAATACATGATTGTGTAAACAGGCCCTGCATGATCCCTATCTCAACTATAAACATACTATAGAGTGGTGAAGTGTGACGTCATCAAAAATCTATTTTCAGAATTTCTCAATTTTTTCTTCATTTTCCGAAAGAGCATCAAAAATAATGTCCAAATGTCGAAAACCAATTGAATATGTTAAGTATTGGCTGAGATATGACCATTTGAAATAATATATGTCCTATAGGAACTCTGTGTTATCTATGCTCTGGCTCCTAATGGTTAGGAGCCAGAGCATATAACACTGAGTTCCCATAGGCAATCTTTTTATTCAGATGGTCATATCTCAGCCAATACTTAACATATTCAATTGGTTTTCGAAATTTGGACATTATATTTGATGCTCTTTCGGAAAATGAAGAAAAAATTGAAAAATTCTAAAAATTGATTTTTATGACGTCACAGCTTCGGTACTCTATAGGCAAATTTGTTTGTGTTTGATTGGTCGACTATTTTTTTTTTTTTGGGGGGGGGGGGGCAAGGGAGTGAGATGGGGGACAGATGTCCAGTTAAAATAATACATGGGAGCAGTGAATGTTTTTAGCTCTCAAAAGCTCCAAAAGTACTCTCAGAAATTAAAAAAGAGCTCTAGTAGAAAAACAATACAATACTTAATACACAGGCGTCCTAATTTAATGATCAGGCCATCTTCGGCAGGTAGCGAGTTGGTGAGGTGAAGATCAAAATTTAAAAGGCCAGATTCTGGACTACTACTAGTAGTAGTAGGCCTACTGTATGCACTGTGTTCTCTTGATCTTCATTTGTGTTTTTAGTAATGCAATATCAGACTCTATACAAATAAAGTGCAGAGTCTGAATTGTGGTGTTAACTTCCTGGTTGTGGTGTGTGATGACGAAACGTGTTGTGAAAAAGTCTAGGATTTTCAGGGAAAAAACGCATATTTTTTGTTCTGTTAGTAACTATTGTCTTCTCATAGTCTTATTGTTCTTTACAATAATATATATATGTGGTTAACATTCAAATTAATCCTCATTATTCTTTACATGCATGTAAACTGTATGCTTGTGGACAAATGTTTGAAATGGGAAATGAGCATTATTGAGCAGTATAAACTATGAAGAACTGATGACATTGTCAGTTTGAAAGTCACCACCTGTACACAGACAGGTCTTAAATACTTCCTCTTACATTGTGCATGTGTATTTCATGATATAAATCTTTACAGTTTTTTGTTGTTGGATTGCCCAATACCAGTTAATCTTTTACAGGAAGTTTTTTTAATTTGTTTGTATGTGTCATGGTCTGTAGAGGTGTTGTGGGGCTAGTGGATGCGTCCACCAGACTATGGATGACATGGTTCACGTTTCATGTCCCAACCCGGACTCTTATGTGTCATTTGGCTAGACATTAATCTGCACTTGCCTCTCTCCACCCAGGTTTACGTGTAGTGAATTCACTCAATTGATACCTTGGAGGAAGAAATTCAAGTTATTCCTTGATTGCTTTTATCGACCAAGGGGAGCTGGCCTGTAAAGCCAGGTTACCGTGATAGTTTATATGTACAGTCAAACCTGCTTTAGTGACCACTTGTCTACAAAGGCCACATTTGTTGTTTCCCTTGGAAATGGTTTCTCATTGAATCATGTACTATTAAAAGGAACCTGTCTACAAAGACCACCTGTCTACATAGGCCACTTTTTGTGTTTCCCTTGGGTGGTCGCTATAGACAGGTTTGACTGTACCTTGAGCATAAACTGGGAGTGTTACATGTAGACGTGTATTGTGTGCAATATACAATTATTATTATTAGACCTACAGTGTACAGTGTACATGTGGTTGTATTCTTCAGGTACAACAGTCTCATTTTCATTGTGCTATAAGGGGAAAAGGGAATGAGGAAATAATTTATTATACTACACTGAGCACTAGAAATAATTAACCAAGACCAACTCTCAGTTTTACAAGCGCTGTAATTGATATCCTGTGAGCCTAGAAACCAGAGACTTGTTGCATTATTGATTACCCGTAAGTGCAGAGACTGCTCACCTTTATATCTAAAAATGATTAATTGAGACAATACAAATGATAGAACAAAACATAGAGAGCACAACATGTACATGTATATACATGTACACTGTAGTGCTTGAAACCTCCCGAAGAACTATAAACTCTGCACATATTTTTGTTTAAGAAATACCACATAGAAATTACCATAAGGAAATTACCATCGTGCCAATCCTTATTAAAAGAAGCCACATGTACTACCAGTAAACTAATCAATGGCTCTGCTCCTCAGTGCATTATTACTTTAATTTATTAATCATTAGATCCCATCCAGATCTTTACGCTCTCAAAAATCTGAATTTCATGGTCTTCCTAAGCTCAATAAAGTGGGGAGAAAGAACCTTTGCTCATGCAGGGCCTTTGCTGAGGAATGCTCTAAAAAATTGAGATACATGTATATATATATATATATATATATATATATATATATATATGCAGGGTTAATACTTCTGTACAATATGGGACATGCTTTTCGAAAGGGAAAAAACCTCACAACACAACACAAACAAAACAACAACTATATTCTTTATCCATATACTGTATGATATTTTTCCAATTGTTGTACTGTAGCTCTTTAAGCCAGTTTCACTGTACAGTATATAATGCACATACACTAATGATGAATTAATTTGATCCCTTTCTCTTCAGGAGCTATGGACCAAAGCCAAGTCAGAACCTCTCTTCAACCTCCTCCTCGATCTCAACTTCTACATCTTCCAGTGCATTAACTATTCAGCTGAGCAGGAGGAGCTCTTAGACGAGAAGCGTCGGCTCTGTGATATCAAGCCATTCTGGAGTACGCTGAGAGTCGTCAGGAAGGCAGGTGATGTCGAAGATAGGGTGCTCAACTCACAAATTGGTCTCTGTATTGGCAAGAGTAAGTTATCTTCATTGTTGTACATCCTTTATGCATGTTAGTAGGATTTCTAGTGTCGAGAATCATGTGGAAAAGCATGCGATGTGGAAGATAGAGAGGAATTGGGTTCTTGCATTGCCATTGAAATTTTGCAATTTGTTATTTTAAGGTATAGTTGTATCTTGCTGCAGAGACAGCCCTCATCAACGATTCACAAACTTACGTTGGTGGTTATTCTTGGCGCTTGCTTAACAGTTTAAATGAGTTGCAAGCCAGACAATGTAGATGATTCCTTAAAATAGGGGTTTCAGGTGATTTTTGTCTTTTATAGCTGAAGCTTAATTTCCTTCAAAAGTTGATAGAATGTAATTTTAGAAGCATAATGCAGTTTAAATTTTGAAAATCGGTCAAAGCGTTAAAGAGTTACAATTTTTTTAAGAATTATTTTTTAGGGAATTTTTTCACAGAGGTCACATGATCAAATCTTTTATTCCTATTGTTTTAAAGATGGCACCATTGTGGTACTCTTTGTATAGGAATTTGGCATGTACGTTTAAAACATATTTATCAATATCTCTGAGATGCAGAATCCAACAGCGATGAAATTTTGTATATACCTCCGCAAGATACAATAGATTGTAATTAATATTTTCTTGACATTATTAATCATATTTTAAATATGCAAATTTATGCAAATTTATTCAATTATATGGGAAATGGTGATATCCCTTGAATTAAATGAGTCAGAAATCTAGTTTTCACAAATGTTATGCATATCTTTGCAAGATACAGGAATTTGTAATTCATATTTCTTGACATTAGTGTGTAATAATTAAATATGCAAATTTATGCAAATTTATGCAAATTTATTCAATTATATGGGAAATGGTGATATCCCTTGAATTAAAAGAGTCAGAAATCTAGTTTTCACAAATGTTATGCATATCTTTGCAAGATACAGGAATTTGTTATTCATATTTCTTGACATTAGTGAGTAATAATTAAATATGCAAATTTATGCGAATTTATTCAATAAAATGAAAAAACTATGATATCCCTTAAATTTAAGGAATCAGACATTTTTTTTCTCACATTATTGTGTACTTATCTTTGCAAGATACAATATATTTTAATTCAAGGTTTTTCAAATTTATACAGAAATGTAATCCTTGTTTTCAAATAAAGAAAAACAAACACATGTACAGCTTTATGCACACCGCCAAACATGAATGCTCACACACTCACTTACAAACATAACCACATACGGACAAATACACACACAATAACAATTAACAGAGACTTCCAACTTTCATACCATACAAGTTTCCAAACATATAAGTACATACAATAAAGACTAATATATTTAATGTTTGAATTTGTTCTTATTTATTTGCTATTCTTTTCTTTAAAGGTTGGTTCCATTGCATTTTCTTTGTAATTATTTTTGTTTTGTTACATCTTCTTTGCATGATAATTTGTTTTGGTTCCGTCACAACTTCTCGGGTATACTTCAATTTTCAATTTGCACCAAATTAAAATTAATTTGTTCTAGTTAAAGTTAACACTGCTCAGCTTTGACTTGTGAGATTGACTCAAATGTTACTAATCACTTGATCAGAAAATAATATTAAACAATTCATTCCTTCTTGTTCTGCTCAGCTTCGAATTTTCAGATTAACTGCTTTCAAATGTTACTAATCAGTTGATCAGAAATGAATATTAAACAATTCCTTCTTGCTCAACCTAATACTGCTCAGTTTTGAATTCTCTTTTCAAACTTTATTAATCGCTTGAGCAGAAATCAATCTTTCACAATTAATTCATTCTTCTTCAAGTCAGATAGAAGGTTGTACTCCTTGAGTTCATCCTCATCCTCATAATCAATGAAGAAGAGGGTCTTCAGGTTATCAGTCTTGTAAGAACTAATACCAGTCACCACACCATGGATCCAGACTTTCACATGTTCAATTAGGAAGACGTGTTCGATCCTCTTGCCTACAAGTAACTCTGGGTTCAGAAGAAGTTCATCCAGATATTGTTTTGATGCAATTGCTGCTCTCTTCTTCTTTTCCTCTTCTATTTTTTTGAACATCTTATTTTTCTGCTCTTGAAAGCTTTCAACTTGATCTTCAGGTGCTGTGTACTCGAAGCTGCTTCCAGCACTGCTTTCCCTTTGCTGAATTGCAGCGGCTTCTACTGGGTCAGGTTGTGGTTGGGTTTGTAGATTGTTGTGCTTCACAACATCTACTAAATGTTGCATCATCTCTCCTCTTGTAAACGGCTGCCCTTGATGAGATAGCTGGAAATGTTCTTTTGACGGACCTTGACATTTAAGGACCTTCTGTAAGAATAACAGCTGTGTGTACAGTATTCTTCTTATTTGTTCGTCTGATTTTGTGCTCTCAATGTCTCCAACCATCTCTGTTATCTTCTGCTCTGAAGTCCACACTCCACCAAGCTCAACTACTTCATTGACCAAGTCTGCTGTCGACTTCATTCTCTTTTCCTCAAGATCCTTCCTCTTTTGTGATGCCTTTTGAAGAGCTTCCCATTTCTGCTGTTTGATAGCCTTCTTCCGTTCGGCATATCTCCTAAGAACATCGTCTGAGCACTGCCTTGCCGCCTTCATATATTTCCCTCTTTCTTTCTCTGACAGAGAGTCAAGCCACTCCGGCATCTTATTGTTGGTCCACATGATGAGTGCTTCAAGAGTGGTGATTCTGGCAGAGGGTTTTTTGCGGACAAGCAGATCGAGTTGTGCAAAATCCCTCTCTCCAATCATGTTGGTGCTTGGGACATTGTGGTATGCTGCCTTGACGTCATCAGCCAGGTCCCAATACTTTCCTCCAGGTAGCTGGTCTTTGCACTGGCGTTGAAGGATGAGCAGGACAGCACAGCTTATCAACTCAAGGGCTTGGGTGGTCAGCATCTCTGCTTCAGCATCAGTACTGTCTAGGAGCTTCTTTGAGATGTCATCTCCTGTGCTAATGTTGAAGGGGCTGTCACCTGCCAGGAGAGGGGATGCGTCTTCCTTCCATACCATGAGCTTGGTTTGGAGTTGATGGAGTGGCTCATTCGTGTCGAAAATGTTGCCCGAGCTGATAATCCTTTCCCAAAGGGGCTTGATGGCAGCGATGTAAAATATGCCAAGTGCTCGTATCTCGGCCACCAAGAGCTTCTCATTGATGTCCTCTTCGATTGCCAGGAGAAGGTTGTTACGATTTTGAATCATTGAAAGAAACTCCTGAATGTGAGGAACGTGGAAATAAAGGGCGGAGGCACCTTCAAAAAGAATGTTCGCACGATTTCCAATGTAATCAACCAGATGATTCTTCGTCCCACAAGCGTTTGACAGAAAGGCTGAAAAGACATCTTCAACTCCCGACTTGTCACATCCCCGGTGATGAAAGGCCTTACTCGATATCCTGATGAGTCTTGTGGCGCCAGATTCTGATGTTTGCAATGTGTGTGCATGCCTTCCTGATGTTGTAATATCTTCAAACGCTTTCAGGGCTTTGTCCACTTCTTCAGCGAAGTTTATTAGGGGATGCATTTTACAGAAAAATTTCCCGAAGTCACTTACACAAGCTTGAACATCACCTGGAAGCTGATTCCACTGTTTGACAACTTGAGGAAGGAGGTCCTGACGAAGTGCTCTCAACCTATCATTGAATTGCGGCATGGTAGCCCCTTGATCAGTCATTGTTGACTTCACAGTTGTAACCAATTCCTTGTACATGTCTTCTTGATTACCACCCTCAAGTTGAGCGAGAGATGAAGCCAGTGTGTTGATTCTGTCCTTGAAGGCATCCATTACAGCTTCAGTATCACCTGCAGCCATCTCAACTAAGCCCATTGTTCGGGATGTCCCATCTGGCAATGTCACTTGAAAATTTTGATATTTCCGATGATGTTTGGTAGTACCATCTCCGTGAATGCAGTTTCCAAGTGCTTTTTCTGGTGTTGCTGACTTCATTGCCAGGGCAACTTCAATCGTTGCTAGATGGTTTGCTTCCACGGCCAATCTCGATACTGTCCCTGCCGAAGGGAGACGCCCGATGTTTTTTCCAGTCAAGTTTTTGATGACAGTTCTAATGACGGAAGTAACCTTCCGTAAGGACACATTCTGCGCAAGCAACTCCATGATAGTTTTGCGGATGCAGTCGTTATATCTACCATTTTCGAATGTCATGATGGTATTGTCCTCCATTAAACCTATCACTTCCTCCAATTCCTTTTCCCTCTTCTCTAGGAACGACACTCTCTCCTTCAGGTCCATCAGATCCTGCACGTCTGCACCAGATGTATGTCGTCGCCGGAGATACCTGGCTTGGTCATAGACCTTTCTCCGAGACTGGTTGATATGTTTGGAATGCGCTTCCATGGATTGCACTCTATCTTTTGATGAGCTGAGTTGGTTTCTGTTTTGTTCGAGATCTTCTTTTAACTCTTTGACGAGAGTAGATAATTCTGAATTATCATCCTTCAGCTTTGTTATGCTTTCATCTCTCCTTTTGATCCTCTTGTTAACATTCCTGGCATTTACTTTCTGAAGTTTTCCTTGACATGCTACAAGTTTTTTCTCCAATTCGAGCAGTTCTTTTTCTTTTTCTTCATACTTTTTCTTGTATGCGTTCAGTTCCTGACAAGTTGGATCGAACTCTGCAGTGATTTGCTTCATCTTCTTGCACAGGAATACAAAACTATCCTGTAGCGTGCTGAAATCAGCAATTTCTTTCTGTCTTGCTTTGCGCATGTCGAGCTCCTCCTCTAAAAACTCCAGACGATGCCTTTGGTCTTCTATTGTTCCTTCCATTCCTGCCAATTTCCGTTTCACTCCTTTGTTGTCTGTCTTGATTTCAGCGATTTGCGCTCTCATTTTCTTCTTCCTAGGTGTGTCTGGCTCCTTCAATTGCTTGCTTCTCAAGACTAAGAATTCCTTATCTAGAAGACTTGACAATTTCTGTACCTGTACAATACCTTTAGCATTTTTTTTAATATGTTTGTACTTTGTTACAACCTCTTTAACATAATTACAAACTTTATGGTCGTTAGCAGAAACACCACCTAACTTGATCAATATTCTAGCAATTCCCATATTTGACATTCTATTCTCTTTCAAGAAGTCGTACAGTTCTACTACAAGACCATTTTGCAATTTCTCCACAGTGGGCAAATCCTCCTGTCCCGTGAAGAGGTCCCGGTGAAGATCCATGGCTGTACAGTATGGCCCAATATCTGCAGGGGAAAAACATAAAAGAGAAAAGCAAACTATTAATTTATGAATCATATTATGTCATTTATTGTCAAGTCAATAGCTTTAATTTAGTAACTGAGTAATTGTTGTGTCATATGTGTATTCATTGTGATTGTTCTGCCTATTAAATTAATACAATGCTTATTTACTGATGAGGATTGGATGAACTTAAAATTTGAAAACATATGTATATTCCATTCATCATAAATCACAGATTCCAAATAAGATGTTCATTTAATTTTGGGACGATTAACCATAATAAAAAACAGTGACAACAATAATTACCGTTGCTTCCTCCGGGGATTGCCGTCGCTTGAGAAGCTGATGATCCGGCCGCTACTCCAGGAGCTGATGACCCCGCTGCTAGTGCTACAGGAGCTGTTACTGTTAACAAAACAAAATTAGAAAAGATGAATAATATAACACCATTCTTATTTCCTTAGCGTATTTTGTCATGATAAATACTACTATAAAGATTCAAGGCAACAATTATTAATTAAAACTAAAATGTTCATTTAATTCATGCATGATTTACCATTTGAAAATAAACAGTGACAACAATAATTACCATTGCTTCCTCCTGGGATTGAAGTCGCTTGAGGAGCTAACGATCCTGGAGCTGATGATCCCGCTGCTGATGATACAGGAGCTGTTACTATTTACAAAACAAAATTAGAAAAGATAAATAAATTAACGCCATTCTTATTTCCTGAGCTAATTTTGTATCATTATCCCGATTGAGGGCAATGAAATTGAGTTAACCAACAACAAACTAAATGAATTAAAACATAGACTCTTTGTACAGTATAATATAAGTTGGTTACCAAATTATCTTCAACACTTAATATTATTTCATTAACAAAAATAAATTAATCTAATTAATTTATAAAGAATGAAAGATGATACCTACCTTCAGCTTCATCATGTTCAAGATTAGTCCCTGACAAAATCCCCTTGTCTTTAGCCTCATCCATTGCACTTGCTGGCTCCTCTGACTCTGTGTTTGCCATCTACAAATATAAAATAAAACATTAAAAATCAATCAAAGAAATGTTCACATAACGTTCATTTCCGAAACAAAACATGTAATGTAATATTGTCATAATAATAAGTAATGCCTCCGGCCCCTTTGTTAGCGAAGGCACAATTATTTTTGAGAAGAAAAAAAAAATGATTATTTATAATTACTGTCTAGGGTAGTCTACTTAATGTAGTTCGGTCGAACTTGAAAATTGATTGTAATTTTGAGTACTTTTATAACAATTTTTAAAATTAGGGTCTACAATAAGTTATGTAACTGATTATCCAGTTCAAGAAGTAACAATCAGTGAAATATTTGAACAGAAACATTTGGTTAGAATAACAAATAGATCTAGACTAACATTAATATGCACATTCATTGACAGTGATTTAGTTTTCAGCCGGGTTTTCAGACAGGTGGAGGAGGTAAATAAATGAGAAATGGATCAATAAAGAAGTTCCACACAATAAATAAAATATGTAATCAACGAGAATCTTGCGCAAAGAACATAGATTTCACATTATTTATGATCAGAAAACTGCTAGGGAGTACAGAGAATCGTGGAGAAATGCAACTATAAACTCAAGCAAACGTAACATTCAACGTATGGGACTAGAGTGAGTTCACACAAGTTGCGCAAGAATAAAATCCGGAGGCCTCAATTCCGTCCTTAAAATTGTCTTATTCTTTTAAAAGTGGCATTTTGTAATGTTTATATGACCAAACATACATACCATGTAATATTTTGTCTCCAAAATAACCAAAAAGTCACAAGATCAACATTTTATCCGATTTGTTTCAAGAATTTTCCGTCAAAAATTTATCGTTGTTGTGGTAAATACCATTTTTTCACACAGGTAACTATCGCATTTATCTGGATTTTTTCCCGAACCGAACTTTAAATAAAAATATAGAAATGTGCTTTAAATGTTACCAAACATAATCAAAGTCCTTAATTATCTACTAGAACTAGTTTAAACTCGTGGAATTTCGCTTAAAAACGTAAATATTTACGTATTTGTCATATTGTTGAATTTAACACCCCCACCCGAAAAATGGACCTGCCCATGTGTCTGTGCAAGCTCAAGCGGTCTTCGCACAGCTCGCTCACGACGAAGCTCAAATTCGATCGTTTATTTTCATGAATCGGGCCTTAATAATTGTTTTTTCCGCTCTTCAAATTTGATAAAACATCGACAATGAATACATTTTCTGAATCAGCAGACTCTATATTTTCATACTCACCATCCTAAGTTGGATGCAGATTACGGGAAAATGATGAAATCGTAGCTTTTAAAACTTCATGGCATTGTTTCGTCAGTTCTCCTTGCACTACAAACACTTAGGTTATATCAGCACGGAGGGCACTTTCTCGGCTTCAATCGGGTATGTTCGGATTTTATTTGTCAACAAATACTAAGAGCGGGGGAGAGACGAAAGGAGGCGAAGTCTTAACGATGTTTTCCGAAAAGTACGATATTGCGGTGCCTTCGCAACGCTCCGTGATTTTTAGAGCGAAGTTGTGTGTGGCTACGGAGTTTACGTAATAATCGAAAGACACACAGAGAATACTACACTTTCGCTCTCTCGATCGCCCAGTGCGAACTCATGACGTCATCACTCTGAAACCCCTACTTAAAAGGTCTCTAAATTCTAATGTTAGTGTTCATAGTCTGGGGACTGACAATATTTGCAGGAAAAGGGATTTCATTCAGATATTACTGGTGCCATCAGGTTAACAAAGATCAAATTATTTTCAGTTTTCTGGCAGCCTTTCAGATGGTCATTAGCACCTGGGGAGTGTTTCACAAAAAATAATAATGACTTTAAGTTGGAATTTAATACGGCAGGCTGTTCATGACAATATTTGCTCTCACCATTATGATCTTTAGATGATATTTTTCCCTTCAATAATGAACTATCACAAAATGTAAATTCTGTAGATTTGTGACCATGATTTGTACATCCCTTGAGAGACCAATGCCAGTACATGGTGAGAGGAAACAGTGGCATGAACGGCCTGCCATAGTTCAAGTCCAACTTAAAGTCGATCTTAGTCTTTGTGAAACAGCCCCCAGGACAAGCCCAGATGTTTTACATGTACTCGAATCACCCATTTTGATATGTTTCTCATGTACCTTTGATACAGGTCTTCATGAATACGACATGATGAAGAACCAGGAGGTGCATGACTTCCGATCCAACATGAAACGGATGTGCATGTCAGTACAAAAGGCCCATATGAAGTGGCCTTGGGACAAGAAAGCCATGTACCTGTTCCCTCCGGAGGTGGACCTGGCCGCGCCAAACAACCTTCCGGAAAATCTCCTGATCAACATGAGGTTCTCCTCCAGCCTGGTAAGTTTATTGAAGGGAGAAAAAAACATCACTTCGAGGGCTCAGTGACACAAAGACGTAACTCCATTTTGGCCATTTTGAGAAAAAGTGATTTATGTGTCACTGAGCACTTGGGCCATAAGGAGTTAAGTCTATGTTTCACTAGCCGTTGACTTCAATGGGGTGTTGGGTGGAGTTAAGTCTTTGTGTTTCCTGGAAAGCCAACATTTTTCTGAACATTTTGATATCAAATACTCATTTTGGCAAAATATGGAGTTACGTCTTTGTGTCACTGAACTCTCGACTTGTAGCATACTTTGAGTAATTTGTTGATCACATTTGAAGTAAATTGATTGTGGACTACAGGATTCAGATCTGTGGACTGCATGTGGATCACATGGCTCGGGGTTGTAGTCCAACCGTGGCACTAATGTTCTTTGGCAAGACATTAATCTACATTTGCCACTCTCCACCCAGGTGTGGTAAATGGGTATCTAGTAGGAATATATTCCTTGATTGCTTTTAGCACTCTTAGAGAAGCTGAGCTAAGCCAAGGTAATAATACTACTGGTACTTTGTAGGTGTCTTAAAGCTCATCTGTACTAGTTTATAGAAGGGATTAGACCCACCCGCAAGGTCACTAGACAAGTGGTTATCTCAACAACTCAGCTCTCAATTAACATAAGAAATAGAGGATCACGGGGGACCAATGGCCATCAATTAGGCATTGTTTTCTATATAGAGGGAACAAGTAGCTACAAGTAGTACAGTGTGGCTTTAAGCATCCCCTGAATGGATATGTGCACAATATGAATTATCATGACTATTATTATAATTTATGAAATATCTTTTCTATCTCTAGTCGACCACGTCAGTTCTGCAAGTGAAAAGCATGGAGAAGGCTGAAGATCTGGTGGAGAAAGCACAGAAGAAGATGTCCATGTACCAGCAGAACACTCAGCCTGAGGAATACGTCCTCAAAATCCGCAGCTATGAAGACTTTCTCCTGGGCGGCCATCCCCTCTCAAAATACAAGGTATGAAGGAGACGGGTTCTTCAGGTATCGTAGAGGAATGGCCGGTGTAGCACCTGAATGGAGAAGTGAAAGTCATGGGTTTGAGCCTAGGGAGGGCACTGATGTGATTTCACAAGATATTACAATTTTGCCTGCCACTCTCCACCCATGGGGGTGTTTCACAAAGACTAAGGTCGACTTTATTGTTGGACTTAACTGTGGTAGGCCGTTCATGCCACTGTTTGCTCCCGTCATTTACAGGCATTGTTTTCTCAAGAGACGTACAAATCATGGTCACATATCTACAGAATTTACATCTTTTGATAATTCATTATTGAAGGAAAAAACATTATTTAAAGATCATAATGGTGAAAGCAAACAGTAGTATGAACAGCCTGTCATAGTTATGTCCAACTTAAAATTAATCTTAGTCTTTGTGAAACACTCCCCAGGTGTAGTAATTGGGCATGTGTTTGAATGAAATTTCAGTATCCTGTGAGCATTCAGGTGAGTAGCATAGTTAAAGCTGGGGTAGTATTAGAGCACCTTGTATAGTGGACAGAAGCACTTTACAAAAATCAAATGTTTGTTTATTATCAGGTGTTTACTTTTATGTATTAGTCAATTTCCTCTGAGCTACAAGTTAATATGATTGTGTGCCTTAACTGTCTGGATGATTTTGTTAGCTTTGAGAAAAAAAGGACATCTGACTGCTAATTTCAACTTTTGTTAATTTTTTTTTTACTAATTCAACTCCTGGGCCTTTATTTGTAAATGATGCTAGCTTTAAAGGCAGTCTGTACTAGTTTGGCTAGGAGGGATTAGACCATCCAGGGTGGTCACTTACAGGTGGCTATCTCATCAACTCAGCTCTTAATTAACATAAGAACAAGAGGATCATGGGGTACCAATGGTCACTGATTAGGCATTGTTTTCTATATAGAGGCAGCAAGTAGCTACAAGTAGTACAGTGCGGCTTTAAGCTTTATCAAAATCAGGTTTAACAAGCTAGTAAGAAGCCTAAGTTTTTCTTTTGTTAAATATGAATTTAGACCTAGGGTTGGGTTTAACTGGAAATGCCCACCATGGAGCACACAGTCTATGTACATGATGGTTCAAAAGAAGGCTTTCAGTGAAGCGGTTATAACTGATCCCCATTATTGTGTGACTGTCCACAGTACATCCGGAAAGCTGTAAAGAAAGGCCAAAAGCCGGAGCTCATTCTCATACACAAGTCCGAGTTGAAGGTAGAGGATCGCTTCAAAGACCCCATGTTTAACGTCCTAGCACAGAAGGAAGAGCAGGCGCCGCCCCTCCCTTCCAAAGCAGGGCGTTACGTCAGCTGGGACATCGAGGAGAAGGTCCGCGTCACATTCCACCTGGCAAAGAATGTCAACGTGATTGAGAAGTCGGGGGTAAGTACAGTGAAACCTGTATATAAAGACTGCTTTAGTAAGGGAGGCCAGAAAAGTGGTCTTTATAGGCAGGATGTCTCTATGTATATGTTTCTTAGGTATGATAATAATAGTAATGATAAAGATAGATTTATTGAGCGCATAATAAACCAAAGTTTTTCGATGCGAAAACACTTTCAAGGGAAACAAAAATTGTGGGCTTTATAGACAGGTGGTCTTTCTATAATAATAGTAATGACAATAGGCATTTCTAATGCGACTTCTATCCAGAAGTTCTATTTCGAGGCGCACTAATTATTACCCTGGCTTTAGTCTAACTGCCATTACAGCGCTCTAGCATTTCAAGGAAATAATTCCTGCCAGGCACCCATTTACCTCACCTGCAAGTGGTCCCTAAAGCAGGTTCGACAACAATATTGAATTAGAACTGTAGGAGACCTGTATTAAAGAGAACTGTACAAAAAAGTTCGATTTAGGTTTACGACTTATTCCTCCAAGCATACAATTTCAAGGTGGTTGATAAGTTAGGGGTAGATGAGAACTCTTCAAGATCTGTAAGAGAACTGATAAAAAATAGGTTGAATACCAGGGTCAGAGTCATATTCCTACAAGCAAAGCATGTCAATGTTATAGAAAAATCTGGGGTAAGTAAGATCAAACAAGATCGGTACATGAAGTGTATCTAACAACCCTGTATGGTCTACTGCATTCTGTGTACTTCAGTAAGAGACTAAAAAGAGTAAGGCTAGACTTCAGGCCTCAGAGGAGTGTGTTCAAATGTCAAAATAGAGTATATGTCTTCAGACTAAACTCCGCCTCCCCCTCCCCCCTCCCACCCATGTCTTTATAAGGTCTCATATATGTCAACTTAATCATGATTGGTTTGGTGACATGAAACAGGTCCGACTCAAGGCGGGCGTGTTCCACGGTGACGAGGAGCTCTGCCCCTTCTTCACGTCCAAGGAGGTCGAGGGTCCTGACCCCAAGTGGCAGGAGACCTACGAGGCAGACATCAACGTCAGCAACCTGCCTCGCATGGCCAAGCTCTGCATCATGGTCTACACGCTCGGCAACAAGAAGATCGTCAAGACAACATCAGGAGCACAACTTGACCAAGGAAAGGCAAAGAAGAAATTTCCAAGGAAGGTCAGTTGAATGCTCTTTGGTGGCATGTCCAAGACATGTGGTCATTTCCTGTCCCATAAAGAGGCTGTAAACTCCATATAATCATCAGATGTACCTGAAACTCCGAGGATAGCGTTAACGTATGGGACAGAATACTTTGACCTTGAATGTTTCTTGGTCTTTATTTATTTACTCCTGAAGATACTTTAAAACACCTGTTTTATTGTATGAATGGGGCTGTTGGTTGGGATGATTGATCACATATAAGGTCCCTAGTTATGAAACCATTTGTCCAGAGAGGAATGGGGAGGGGAGGGGGGTAGGGATAGTTTTTAAAGGCCTTCTCTTTTATTGATGTCTTTGACTGTATGTGCCACAAATCAAATTTAAAGAAAATGTCTTGATGCATCTCAAGTGCACATGATCAGTCCAAAGTGGTTGTTAACCTGTTGACAAACTAATTCTGTTATTCACATAGGCTTTTAGAGCTTTAATGGAAACTACTATTTGCTGTAGACAATGGGTTTTAAATGAATGTATTATTCTAATTCCATGTTTCTTCCTCAGTTTCATGTAGGATTTGTTGAACCCTCCTTTTTGCAAACAGCACTATTGAAAATACCATTAAAGAACAACCCTACTTTAATAACCATCTTGCATTCTGTTATCTATCGCATTACTCTCTCCAGGATCTGGTGCCTATCGCATGGGTCAACCTGACGTTCTTTGATTACCGGTCCCAGCTGAGGTCGGGACCACACAAACTCTTCATGTGGCCGGCCTCGGAAGACATCGACCTGAACCCCTTGGGTCATTGTGAGTCCAACCCCAGCAAAGACGACACAACCTGTATCGAGGTGTCCTTTGAGCAGTACAGGCAGGGCAGCGTCTCCTATCCTACGTTTGACAAGGTGATAGAGAGGGCAGCAGACATCGCGAGGAGTGATGACAATCCGTTTGAGACACCATCAGTAAGTGTGCTGTAGAGTTTAATATCTTATATTCATTCTGAATAATAATAATAATAGCTCACATTTATAATGCGCCTAATACTATGTTTCTAGGCGCAGCACATATTATTTTGCGGTCATCAGATTAAGGCTTACCCGCAACACAAAATGACTTGTTAGGTCATAATCAATTGGTTGTAAGAGATAACAATTAATTCAATCACTTTATTAAAGTGGAACATTGCCAACTTCACAAGTGGAAATGAACAATTTTACCGGTAAAGATGCATCTATATTCCATATGAACTCAACCGGCTCTCAAGAAACAAGCCTGAACACAATTTCATTACAGCATTCTATGAACATCAGGGGGGCATTTCACAAAGCCTTTTTTCAATGACAAATGATAAAAATGAGTGACAAATCTGCTGATAACCAATCAGAAGCAAGGATTTCAGTAGCTTATAAAAAAAACTGTCATTTGTCACTGATGACAAGTTTTGTGAAATGCCCCCCATATGATGTTATTATCATGATAGAACTTGAAATAAAGATCGGAGCAATTGTGGCTAAAGGATATGTCAGATCACGTACACGTATGTGTAACTTTTTATAACTTTTTCATCCAGAATTTTTTTTTGGAGGAGCTGTTTCGCTAGATCACATACATGTATGTGTAACTTTTTTAACTTGATTCTTTAAGGAACAAGCTTTGGAGGAGTTGCGTCAGATTGTTGAGAAAGATCCCCTGGAGCCACTGAGTGAACAGGAGAGGGAAGACCTGTGGCTTGCGAGGCAGGATTGCAGGGATCAGCTACCCCATGCTCTTCCTAGATTGCTCAAGTGTGTACATTGGAACCATAGGGATGAAGTAGCACAGGTGAGTTAAGAGGGGGGACAAAAAAAAGGGGGGGGGGGTGAATTGAGAGGGTGGCTATAGAAAAGGGAGAAAAGGGAGAAAGGAGAGAGATAGGGAGTGATCAACTACCCCATGCGCTTCCTAGGTTGCTCAAGTGTGTACATTGGAACCATAGGGACTAAGTAGCACAGGTGAGTTAAGAGGGGGAAAAAAGGGGGGGGGGGGGGTGAATTGAGAGGGTGGCTATAGAAGAGAGAGATTGGGAGGGTTCAACTACCTCATGCTCTTCCTAGGTTGCTCAAGTGTGTACATTGGAACCATAGGGACTAAGTAGCACAGGTGAGTTAAGAGGGGGAAAAAAAGGGGGGGGGGTGAATTGAGAGGGTGGCTATAGAAGAGAGAGATTGGGAGGGTTCAACTACCCTATGCTCTTCCTAGGTTGCTCAAGTGTGTACATTGGAACCATAGGGACTAAGTAGCACAGGTGAGTTAAGAGGGGGGAAAAAAGGGGGGGGGGGGTTGAATTGAGAATAGTGGCTATGTAAGAGAGAGAAAGGAGAGAGAGAGAGAGAGAGAGAGAGAGAGAGAGAGAGAGAGAGGAAAAAGAGAGAGGGAGAGAGAGAGAGAGAGGGAGGGAGAAAGGAGAGAGAGAGTTGGGATCAACTACCACAGACTCTTTGTAGGTTTATTTGAAGGTGGCTTACAGAAGGGGAGATAGAATATGGTTGTACATCAAGGAAGATTTGAGAGAAAGAGATCTAAAAGGAGAAGAATGACTGAAGAGAGTGATCAGGCGAGGAGACAAGTAAGATACGCAAATTTTAAGCCAAGCATATTAACTTTAAATTTTATTTAATTCTTTGTTTGCATAGATGCAAGCTTTGCTGCAGATTTGGCCTCCATTGAAGCCAGAAGAATCAATGGAACTCTTAGACTACCGCTATCCTGACGTATCTGTCAGGCAGTTTGCAGTCAAGTGCCTTCAGCAACTCACGTGAGTCACTCTCCATCTTTTCAACTATTACACTTCCAGGCATCAGAATTGGTAGGCCATTTTGAACGGGGGTGGGAATGTTGGACCATATATTTGCTGACAGGGTAGCTGAGAACTTTTCTATGCGCACAACAGTAAAAAGCATGCGAACCATGAAAAAACAAAAAAGTCATCCAATTGTCAAACTTTCAGAAAACATATCAATAGCCTGCATCAATTTCATTCTTTATTTGGAAATCTCCATCCCTGACTACACCCCCCCCAAAAAAAAAAAAAAAAAAAAAAAAAAATAAGAATAGATAGATGAATGGAAACAAAAAATATAGAGACATATATATATATATATATATATATATAATACAAACATTAATTAAAAAATCAACAATGAACAAATGAATGGATGTGAATCCCAACATAACTTTCTTTCTCCGACTGTTTGGTTCATTTACATAATTTTTTCATTTATTAATTCACATAGTTTATTGTTGATCTGGCTATTTTTTTTGCCACTTAAAGTATTTTTTTTTTTTCTTTTTTTGCAGAGACGATCAACTCTCTCAGTATCTTCTGCAGCTGGTACAAGCCTTGAAGTACGAGACTCATCTAGATTGCGCCATCGGCAAGTTCCTCTTAGACAGGGCTCTCTCTAATCAGAGGATCGGCCATTTTCTATTCTGGCATCTTAGGTAAGCATATTATCTTCTTTGCATGAAAGATTGCATCTCAATTTTTCTATCCAAATTGGCATCTACTGGTAGTCACAATGTCATGTTTACAATTTTTACAATTAACAACTAAATTATTCGTACCCCTTTTTTTGTTTTTTGTTTGTTTTTGTAACTCATGAATGAAAGGTGTACTGGTTGAATTATAGCCTGTGTTGAATACTTTTAGATGAAAGTTGTAATATGTCACATTCTCAAGAAACGTAAATCGGGACAAATCAATACTTCACACACTTAAAGGTAAAGACCAGTATTGGAAACGCCCCAATTTCAAAAAATGAAATGGAAGCTCTCATTACCAATCATGTGAAAGAATATGTTTTGACTAATACATGATGATACAAAATTTGCCGGGAAACCGCCTACTAATTCATATATTTGGTAAATTTGTTTCTCTCATGGTCTATGAGAGATATAGGGTAGTCCCATATACATCTTTCTGTGTATAGTGCTTGTAACTTTACGAAGAATGGGCCAAATTTCTTATCATTTTGATGATTCCAGAACCTTGCAGATGCTAGATGCTAGATGATCAACCTTTTCTGATCGATTCCACAACGTTTCTTTCACAATGCAATCGCATGACCATAACTGGTCTTTACCTTTAAAAAAATTACAAAACATGGTAAGGTTTGAATAATTGAATTGTTAACTGTTTGTGTGTTCAAAATATAATACATGCCCATTCAACTTACCGGTACTAGCAAGCATTTATGCTTTCTTAGCAGTCAAGTTAAAAATAACCACTACTACTACTAATCGGGGAAGGTGAAATCGGTGCAAAAAAATGGAAGTTTCTGACTTTACAGTACCATATAGTACAACTGGTACAACTGGGGGGCGTTTCACAGAACTTGTCATCAGTGACAAATGACATTTTTTGTTATAAGCTACTAAAATCCTTGCTTCTGATTGGTTATCAGCAGATTTGTCACTGATTTTGGTCAAAGGCTTTGTGAAACGGGTCCCAGGTATATCCTATCCTATTATTCAACCGTGCCATTACATGTATCTTTATGTTTTTCTTCTTCTTAGAGCGGAAATGCATCAATCAGCAGTATGCACGCGGTTTGGTCTGATGCTAGAGGCTTACTGTAGAGGAAGCATGGCCCACATCAAGACACTCAGCAAACAGGTCAGTATTAATAATAATAATAATAATATTTCGCTTATATAGCGCTTAATACAATGTCTCTAAGCGCTTTACAGATATATTACTACCCCAGTCATTGGATTCAGTGCTTGCCCTGCACACACTGTGTGCACAATCTCCACTTCCTGGGGAGCATTCTAGCCAGGCGTTAGTTGACGCTCAAAAACACCTGCATCTTATTCCTTTCATTCATTCCTTGCTTTGTTCCTCTACCATTCTCACGACAGAGGGGTCGGGGGTCACAGATGAATACACCAATGCTCTCCTCTATTAAAGCCCCACTGCACTACTTATAGCTACTTGCGCCCTCTTTATAGCAAACAATGCCCAATCGGTGCCTGTTGGTCTCCCATGATCCTCTTTTTCTTATGTTAATTGAAAGCTGATTTGATGAGATAACCGCCTGTCAGTGACCTTGCAGGGCGGTCTAATCCCCCTTGCCACACTAGTACAGATTGGCTTTAATTTGCTGTATTTTTATACAACGACTTCAACCAAAACTCAAAAGCAACATGTTCAAGCACCATAACATGCAGTAAGACAAGCGACATGATTTTCTCACGATTGTAACGTAGGTGGAATCTCTGAATGAGCTGATCAAATCAAAACGGGCCAAGCAACAAGACAAGGGAGAGAGGGTGGTATTCTCATAAGTTAAGCTGGGACTAAGTCCAGACTAAACAAGAATTTTAGTTCACACTTCTATGGAATGCTAGGTTTCATCTTCCTCCTTCAATATTCATGACAAAGATAATCTACCAAAAACTTTGTAGAAATTCAATTCATACTCATATTATCTTTTTCTTCCCATTTCATTGCAAAATTAATTTTTTGAACACTTTTCATTGAAGGATTAAAATAATCTGTACAGGGTAAATTAGTTTGCAACAGGCACTCCATAGAAGTGTGAACTAACTAAGTACGCGCTAACTTAGTACGCGCTACTGGAATACCACCCATGATGCATAAGGTTTCATATAACATGCAGTAATACGATTGAGTGAAATGATTTCTCTCAATTGTAATGTAGGTGGAATCTCTGAACAAGATGAAGAATCTGAACGAGCTAATCAAATCGAAACAGGCCAAACAACAAGACAAGGGAGAGATACGAGATATGATGCAGAAGGTTCTACAGCAAGACTCCTACGCAGACACCCTCTCTAACTTCGTCTCACCTTTAGCTCCTTCCAACAAACTCAAGTGTCTAAGGTAAGACGGTTGTAGATCAGGGGAACGTTTCACAAAAGTGACATCAGTGACAAATGACATTTTTTGTTATAAGCTACTGAAATCCTTGCTTCAGATTGGTTATTAGCAGATTTGTCAGTGATTTTTTGTCATTTGTCATTGAAAAAAGGCTTTGTAAAACGCCCCCCCCCCCCTGCTGATTTTATTTACCAACATCAATAACATAAAGTCACTTGTTACTCACTTGATCCAGTCTTAGACTGTTGTTCCTATCCATGGTTTCCTTTGGTTGGGGTTGTCATCATATTTATCTGGGGCATCTTTCCACCAGTTCTCAAGTTCAGATTTGAAGCGATTGTTAGTGGCACTCTCCACAACATCGCCTGAAAGACCATTTCACACATTGATTATTCTCTAGCTGAATGAGTTTTTCCTTAGTGTCTTCCGGCAGTTTGCAATGAATGTCTTTCTTTGTCATAATGGTCACTTCTGTTATTATGGGATGCACTAACTGTAAGGTCAAATTAATCATTTTAGAATAACAGGTCCTAACTTTGACATACCTTTGTCAAATACTTTTATGGGATGACCCACATACAGTTTTTCCATTGCAATATGCATACATTTGCACACATTTTTGGTTTTAGATATTTAAAGGTATGCATTTAAATTTTCATTTGTATGCGTCAGCCCTTGGCATCAGTACAGAAATACCATAATATATTTCCTTCTATTATTATGACTGCAATAAGATTTTCACATCCTTAAGGCTCCCAAAGTTTGTTGCTATGAAATGTTGCTTTAATTCTTCAAATTCCATAATGATAGCAAGTGATTAAGTGGACCTACATGACTGATATTCCGAATATCAGTCAAGAAATACATGTATAACACTTATCCATGCTGTGCAAAAGTATAGTTTTAGCCATGTTTGATAGAAAATTGTACGATTGATCAATCGACTGATGATCAATTGATAGTACATAGTGATTGATAGCAAATAAGCTAGCAATCGCTCTCTTCTCTTTATTTTATAGGGCCTTAGTTTACTCTTAAAGCCCATCTGCACTACAGGGTAGTTTGGCCAGGAGGGATTAGACCTCCCTGTGTGGTCACTGACAGGTGGTTATCTCATCAAATTAGCTCTCACTTAACATAAGAAAAAGTGCATCATGGGGGACCCATGGATACTGCTTAGGCATTGTTTGCTACCGGCATATAGAGGGCGCAAGTAGCTACAAATAGTGCAGTCCCGCTTTAACATAGCTTGTTGTTTCTATTTCAATCACAGACTAAACAAGTGCAAATTCATGTCATCCAAGATGCGACCGCTGTGGTTGGTGTTTGAAAACGATGATCCAATCGGAGACGACGTCTATATACTCTTTAAGAATGGAGATGGTGAGAACATATTTTGTAACTTTTCAGCCTTGACTGATTCAAATAATCGCAACTCCATACTAAAGAAATACTGAAATGTAGGAGTTTGTAAAGCCCTACGCACAAAATGGCCCGAATTCACAAAGGAGGTTTAAATTTAACCCATGGTTTAAAGCTTGTCTGTACTAGTTTATAGGAGGGATTAGACCGCCCTGCAAGGTCACTGGACAGGTGGTTATCTCATCAACTCAGCTCAATAATTAACATTAAAAAAAAGGATCATGGGGGACCAATTGTCACCGATTAGGCATTGTTTTCTATATAGAGGGAGCAAGTAGCTACAAGTAGGACAGTGTGGCTTTAAATCTTCATCTTCAGTTAGCGATGGATTGGAGGTCTTGTAATCAATCGCAAATGTTCACAAAACAGGGGCCTGGTTACATATTTAATTTCTTCTGCTATTATAAAGACTAGTCTGCTAGTTTTCAGTGACTTCATCAATCTGTTTCACTTGTCAAAGAACAATCTCACTCACCAAGAACCAACCTTTTATTTCATAGTTATGTCACCTCATAATTCTTAGTGTTTTTATGTCAGAGATGGTTCTCCATTTGAGGTCTTTGCACTTGAACTAGCATTGCTTTTTAGTGGACCCCTCTGTTTCCAACATGTATTTCTTAAATTTGTTTTAAATGCTTATAATTGATTTGTAATGTTTTGTTGGAAACATGAATAAATTTGAAATCTTGAAATCTTGAAGAAAAGTGGTCTTTACAGGCAGGTGGTATTTAAGTACAGGTTCCTTTAGTATATGTTTCAATGAGAAAACATTTTCAAGGGAAACACAAAATGTGGCTTTTGTAGACAGGTTTGACTGTATAACAACTGAAAATTCTTATTACTGTGTGTTTTACAGATCTACGGCAGGACATGTTGACGCTCCAAGTCATGCAGATTATGGATAACATATGGCAGGAGGAGGGCTTAGACCTTAGGTAAATATCTCATCTTAAAGCCCATCTGTACTAGTGTACAGGAGGGATTAGACCACCCTGCAAGGTCACTGGACAGGTGGTTATCTCATTAACTCAGCTCTCAATTAACATAAGAAAAAGTGGATCATGGGGGACCAATGGTCACCGATTAAACATTGTTTGTTATATAGAGGGCGCAAGTAGCTATAAGTAGTATAGTGGGGCTTTAAATATCTCATCTGCATTATCACAGACAGGCAGTCGATTGCCACAGTCAACATTTGTCATAAGAACATGTAGTGTAGATGTGACCAGGCACCATAAAACCATCCAACGGTCGAATTGTGTGGTTTTCAGTTTGAGGTCAATAAAGGTGTATTTGGTCAGGATGGTCAAATTTTAGTTTTCAGCATTTTTTGAAAGGGTAAAGATGTAATTTCAAAATTTGGAAGCACAAAACAATTTGAAAGTGGTATTGTGGCAGTATTTTGTAGACCTAATTTATTTTTTCCATGTTTTTTTGCATGTAGTAGTTTTTATTTATGACCCTTGCTACTGGTGTCATTTCGATCTCTAGTAAGGTTGGGCCAGTAGGATTTGAAAATCGTAATCTGCTGCTTACCTAATATGGCTTGCCATCACTACTACCACTACCATGATCGTCTTCTTTTGATTTAACCCAATCCTTTGGATTATCCTCTTTGAGTAGATTGTCTCCATTCTTTGAATTTCTCACTACCAAAATTTATCCACCCTTTTTTTTCTTTCTTCAGGATAATCCCGTACAAAACCCTCGCCACCGGTCCTAAAGTCGGACTGATCGAGGTCGTTACCAATTCGGACACCATCGCAAACATCCAGAAGCAACATGGTTCAGTCAATGTGCTCACGGCAGCATTCCAAAAGGCGGCTCTCTTTGAATGGTTAAAGAAACATAGTCCGACAGAGGAGATGTAAGATCACATCTTTCATTTGCAGAGGCCTAGCCACTAACCGACTTTTTAACTCACTAACATAAAACCACGTTCACGTATACTGTGGCAACTTTTTAATTTTTCTTTTAAAAGGAGACACTAAAATAGCATGTTATTGATATTACTGTAATCTATTGCTTATAAGCTTTCCGTTGGTCTGACAGAGTCTTTAAGCGTACTGCGGCTCACATTTGTGTATCTTATAACACACAGATAAGTTAGTACACGTAGCACCTTTGTTGCTCACAGCTACCTATCATCCCTAATTGTCATTCATTTCAATATTTCTGGTACACAAACAAATATGTGGCTTATGTGAATAGGCCTGTATGGGCTAAGTTGAAAGTCTCGTTTCGGGGTAGTGGATTGGAGAAAGCAGTAAGAGGCATGTCTTCAGATTGTTATTCAATGCTCACATTCATTGTATTAAGTTCTCTCCTTTGTTTCCCCCGTAGGTTAAACAAAGCGATAGAAGACTTCACCTTCTCCTGTGCAGGCTACTGTGTAGCAACCTATGTCCTAGGAATCGGTGACAGGCACAATGATAACATCATGGTAAAAGAATCAGGACAGGTTAGTACATTGAGATGAACACTGTATCTCTTATGCTTTCTCTTTAGTAGAGTGTTATAGAAAATGCTGGTACGCCTTGCTTATCCCAGCAATAGCCCTTCTCTGATCTGAATTAAGCCATTAACAGAGATTCTGAAAAGAGAAATAGATTGACATGTTCCACAAGTCTGGCCATGATCATCATGAACAGCTTCGTCAACAACATTTTTGACCATGTGATTAATTTGAGGAAAATGCTCAATGATGAACAGATCTTTGTGGGCCTCCTGCCCTTCTCTGCTGAGTTGCATAGTAAATATTCATAATTATTATCTATACAAGGCTTCCTAGTGGTACAATTAATCAGTGTATTTAATATCTTTAGCACAGTACCAGGATGACTGATCAATATTGTTGTCGTATTGCTCAGTCATCCTGGAACTTCAACTATCGATATCGATATCACACTAAAACAAAGCCATATTTATTGAGGTAAGTCAATTTTTTTTATTTTGCTAGTTAGCCTGATATAGATGATAATAATATTACATGTCCTTTTTTGGTGTGAAACAAGAATATATTGCTCCCGCTATTACAATATTGGACTCGTCTCCAACTCAATCAATATTGTCATAGCTCTTTCAATATTAATTGAGTATTCATGTATTTAACTGTTGCTTTCGAAGAACAAATATTCATGGATATCACTGCCTCAGGTAAAAGATACTGATATCGGCATCACTTAATTGTATAGTTATGCTTGGAAAGTAAAAATGAATTGTTTAAACCTGTCAAACTTGCCAATAGTCTAGCCATGAAAATGCATGTCATTGACTACCTGTGTAATGCTTTCATCACATTGTTACCTTGATAGTCCGATTCTTAGTCCTTTTACTCTTTGTATGTATTACACTGTGCACATTGTGCCTCTCTGTAAAAAGTTAATTTACTTTTAGCGATGATTTAAAGGGAGTGTAGCCTGACGAGACTACGTGTCTTTCCCGTGGCCAGCCTCTGGCCAATCAGGTATAATTAGACTACGGACAACGCGACCGCAGCAATCACGTGCATGAGACCGAAGTGTGAGGAGAACTTCAGTCTGTTTCGCGAACGCTGATCATTTAGAGATTAAGTCGCTGACTACCGTTAATCAAGTCCATTCGTTTACATGCAGTTGTCCAAAAGAAGACGTAGATGGCATTAACCAGTATTTGCCAAGCTACTCTACCTTTAAGTTTTGTTGATTGGTTCTCATTACAGCTCTTCCACATTGACTTTGGTCACTTCCTGGGTAACTACAAGAGAAAGTTTGGTTTGAAGAGAGAGAGGGTGCCCTTCGTCTTGACCCATGACTTTGTACATGTGATCACCAGGGGGAAAGGAGCCAGCACCACCACAGAATTTGACAGGTAAGTTGACCCCAGAATAGGATGCCTAAAACAGCTGGCAGCGAGATGGTCGTAGGTAGGGGCAGTAGCGGGGACGGGGAACTGGGCCCCGTCTTACAAAGAGTTGATATCAATCGTAACTATGTACTGTACATAAGAGATAGGAGACTGCAAAGATTAGAGGACTTGCGATTGATTTGGATTAATCGTAACTCTTTTTAAGACGGGGCCCAGGCTAGATATATGAATCCTTGGTTTTCTTTCGGGAGTTACATGTAGGTATTATGCTCCATAAAAGCTAGATGTATCTCTGACCTGTAAAACAAAATTTTAAAAGGACCAAAGCACCACCAAAGAATTTGTCCATAGAAGAGGGTAGGTGAATATGGTTGGGGGAGAGGGAAAGGGGGGAGGAGGAAGGGGATGGTTCAATGAGGCCTCTGTCCTCTTCTGGGAGTTACAGTTGTGCAATAAGCTCAACAAAGTTAAAACAACATGTGGAAATCAGCTAGTACCACCAGAGAATCCGATAAGTAATTTTTTAAACAGAATAGGATGGGGTAGTAAGGGTAGGGGGAGGGTGGACATTAATTTTCACTAACTGTACGATTTAAAAAAAAGGATTTGTGGGGATCAAATGATACATACAAATGTGTTGAGAAAAAAATTCCTGTGATTTTACACAGCTTGTGTGTACTCAGAGATGCCAACTAGTACGGATTTCCCGTAATTTCTACGAGAAATCGGCCGATTTTGCAGATTTTGCCGATTTTCAAAATTAGCACTTTAAGGTTTAGCACGTTTAAGGTTTAGCACGTACTCTTGACTATTGCAGCGCAGCCATCCTTGAATCCATGCATAGAAATCCCACAGGGCTTCCGATTGGACAATTTGTTATCTAGCACACCCCTTTCAGTGCATACATGTGCATACAACATGTGCTTCGCGAGCGGGGGCCGGGTGAAATACCTCTCTTGGCCGCGCCGCTACCGCCCGCCCAGCGCCAGGCCTCGCTACGCTAGCGCCGTGTACACTGTCGGATTGCTCACAGGCTGTCACAGCGTTCGTCGATTTTCGTCGACAATCTGAACTCATGTTGGTTGGATTTAGATATCAATCATCATGTCTGTCACATATTAAGTGCAAACAAACTAACAAAGTAGTTGAATTCCATAAACCATAGTCTGGTGTTTATTCCCCGCACTGGGTATCAAGTCACGCGTATCGCATATACATCGCGCACATGCGATCTGACCTCCTGAGGTCACAGGTGTCACATTTGCATAATCTGATACATATTCATTATCATGACATCCCTCCTTTGCCAGAATGAAACTTTATCCTGGTCTATTTTTATACTATAGTTTCACTGAAAATTCTTGTAATATTTCTTTTGTTCTTGTGTTTCAGCCATATGTGAATTACTGAAATAAACATGCTTTGATGCATTTGCTTTTGTTTGTTTCTTCTTTTTTTTTTTTTTTTAAAGAACAACTTCTAACTAACAACAAATTTATCTGGTCGATAAACTTTTCCCAAATGTTTTATCTTCCAAACAACTTTGTTGAACAACATAAAACATAACATGCAATATAATATCTTTCATGCAATATCTTTCATGCATCCAGTCTGTGGTCCAAATAAAAGTTCAACTGTTCACTGGATACTATTGAGTTCTAGTTTTGAGTTTGTGTAAATCATCTGTTATCTCCAAGCGTTCATACGACTAGCTGACTGAAGTTTCTGGAGATACTCTCTTCGATGATTGAATCCATTTTTGAAAACTGATCGATGCTCCAACTCAAACTTGTGTTTTTCGCAACACCTATCACATACAATAAGGGCAGCGTTCGGCGTACACCCTTTTACATTGATTAATGTATGTGTAATATTGAAACATATATATCAGAACTTATTATTTTAGCACATAACACAACTTCCTCGTACGCTTGGTTTCCATGGTGATTTCTCCAACATGTCGATTTCACAAATATGGGCAGCGCAAGGCGTACACCCTTTAAATCATAACTTGGCTTCAACCAATGATTTCCAAACATTTCTCCTTGGCACATGTAGTTTCATATATCACTGTCGCTATTTTACAAAGAGCTCCTCCCCACCATATTGATCTGGAATCACACAAAATCATCATATCGCTTAGGGAATCTTCTCTGGCGTTGTGGTCTACTAGCTGCCATAGGAACGTTGGTGTTTGTTGTCTCTGCTTGGGTATCACCATCTTGATGTCTCTGGTCACCGCCTGATGTGTTGCTCGCTGCCTCTGAGTCTGGATCTCTGGTCACCGCCTCAGGAGTACTGGTCTCCGCCTCAGGATTACCGTCCGACCCTTCAGGAATACCGGTCACCGCCTCAGGATTGCCGTCTGTCCTCTCTGGATTGGCAGCTTCGTTATGAGTGTCTCGGGACATGTATCTTTTTACACTTGATACATTCCTATTATACAGGACTCCGTCAGGAGATTTCACAGTTACCATACTTCCTGTTCTTGCTATCACTGTGTATGGCTGGCTAAAGTATGGCGTGTCTAGTTTCCTCCTTTCATCACGTCTTACTATCACCTTATCTCCTGGCACTATGTCAGAATGTACGGCTCCCCTCTTCAGATCTGCATAGTGTTTTGCACCACTTTTCATTTGGAGGTCCCTGTCTCTGAGTTCCTGATCCTCACTAATGTCCTGGATTTGTGGTAGTTTAGTTCGGATCTTTCTCCCGAACAACACTTCTGCCGGGCTTTTTCCCGTTGTCGAATGAGTACTAGCCCGGTAGACTGCGACGTAAGTCAGCAAGGCCTCTTTCCAATCCTTGCCTTCTGCCTGTGCAATTCGAAGCCTTTTCACTATACTCTGGTTCTGTCTTTCGACCTCGCCGTTGGCTTGGGGCCATTTAGGAGTCACCCGATGGTGGTGAATTCCTGTAATGTTCATGTACATGTACTCTGCGAAAACTTCTGAGATGAACTGGGGTCCATTGTCTGAGTATAACGTCACAGGTAACCCATGTCTGCCAAAGATTTCAGCCAGGGCTTTGACTGTCTTCTCTGCAGTGGTTGATTTCATGATTGCATACTCGTAGTATCTGCTATAATAATCAACTACCACAAGTATAGATTCTCCTGTCGGAAGTGGTCCTAGGAAATCAACAGCTACATCCACCCAAGGTCCTGTTGGCAACATAGTACTTCGAATTGGTTCTGGTGGATTACCCCTGCTTGTGATTTGGCAACCATGACACGTCTTGACGAATTTCTCTGCATCTTTCTCACATCCTGGCCACCATACCTTGGTTCTCAAATTCTGTTTGGTGCCAACAATGCCCAGGTGTCCTTCGTGAGCTAATGACACCATCTTTGGCCTCTGTGCCTGTGGAATCACCAATCTGCTACCTCTCAGCACACACTGACCAATTATACAGAGTTCATCCTTGATGGGAATGTATGCTTTATATGGACAATCATCCCATTGTCCACTGTGAATACACTCTCTGATAACTTCGAGTTCAGGATCATGTTCAGATTCTCTTTCGACTTCCTTCGTTGTCACCGCACCTGGCGTTGACTGGACTGCCACAAAACGCACAAAGCTCTCTGCTTCTGTTTCCAACACAGAAGTTTCTCTTGGTTGATCATCCTTCAGCAATCTTGACAATGGATCTGCTATGTTGGACTTTCCTGCGATGTGGACTACCCTGTACTTGTACTGTTGAAGCCTCAGAACCCACCGCTCTATTCTCGCACATGGCTTAGATCTCGGTGAATAAATGACTTCAAGCGGTTTGTGATCAGTCACTAGATCAAACTCTATTCCATACAGGTATGCATGGAATCTTTCACAAGCCCACACAAGTCCAAGGGCTTCTTTCTCCGTCTGAGAGTATCTCCTTTCAACGTTACTTAACGAGCGGCTGGCATATGCTACTATCCTCGGGCCATCAGCATGCACCTGCACCAGCACTGCTCCTAAGCCAACTGGACTGGCATCCGCTATGACCTTTGTCGGTGCATTTAGATCATAGTAGCCCAGGGTTTCTGCACTCATTAAGCTTTCCTTCAGCGCCTTAAACGCTTGTTGTTGTTCATGACCAAATTGAAATGGCGTGTCCTTTCTGGTCAGCTTTCTCAGTGGATCTGCCAATGTAGCAAAGTTCGGAATGAACTTTGCGCAGTAGTTGACTAGCCCCAAGAAACTTCTCATCTCAGTTGCAGTCTGGGGTTCACGGGCCTCTGCAATTGCTTTCACCTTGGCCAATCCTGGGTTGAGTCCCTCGCTAGTCAGTCTGTGCCCCATGAAGTCCAACTCAGAGACACCAAACTTACACTTTTCTGCATTTGCAGTAAGTCCTGCATCCCGCAGTCTGCCAAGCACCTGCTTCAACCTCTTGTCATGCTCTTTCTGGGTCGATGCATGCACAATGATGTCATCTGATATGTTCGCAGCTCCTTCTATCCCAGCTATCACTCTGTGTATCTCATATTGATAAATCTCTGGAGCAGCATTGATTCCGAACAACAGTCTCTTATAGCGGAACAACCCACAATGAGTGACAAAGGTTGTCACCTCTCTAGACTCCGGATGTAACTCCAGTTGGTGGTACCCCCACTTCAGGTCTATTTTCGAAAAGACCTTGCTAATCGACAGCTCCTGTAGGACTTCCTCAATAGTGGGAATGGGGTGACGTTCTCTTATGATTGCTTCGTTCACTCTACGCATATCGATACACAGTCTAATTTCATCATTTCTCTTTGGAACTATGACAACTGGGCTTACCCATGGCGTGGAGCGTTCAACTGGCTCAATGATGTCGAGATCGATCAATTCCGCAATCTTCATCTCGACCTTTTTCCTCAGTCCAAATGGAGTCCTTCGCACAGGCTGGGCCACTGGCTTCACCGTTTCATCCACTGCTAACCGCACCTGTCGACCCTTCAACTTCCCTACTCCTTTGAAGACTGCTTCAAACTCATGCTTTAAACCTGCATAGCTCTGTACCGCATTTACATGTACAATTCCCACCTGGAGCACTCCCAGCTCTTTAGACGTATGTTTGCTCAGTAAAGGTTCTCCCTTTTCTTTGATGACAACAAACTCTGCAGTCGACTTCATCTTGCCAACTTCTACGGTGGCTGTGAAACATCCAACAGTTGTTAATGGTATCTGTGATGTGTACGGATAAAGCCTCTTGGTACTCTTAGTAGATTTGCAGATGATTTTGTCCTTCTTCAGTTTCTCCCACAACATCTGATCTATTACATTGCAATCACTTCCCGAATCTACTATCACCGGGACTGTGACACCTCCAATGATTATTGGGACTTTCTCATGATCACCATTCACAGCAAATTGATAGTACCTCTGATCACGGCCACGGCTGTTGTCATCATCACTATCATGTCTGGGTTCACCTTCCACTTGGCGAACTCTATTCTTATACTTCTTTCCATCTCTGGACTTCCAGGCCTGATAAAAACCCGATTTAAATCGGTTTCCCGATTTTTTTTATTTTTCCCGATTTTTTCCCGATTTTTTTTTCTTCCCGATTAAAAAAAAAAAAAAAAAAAAAAAAAAAAAAAAAAAAAAAAAAAAAAAAAAAAATCATTTTTTTTTTTTTCCAATTTTTTTTCCTTCCCTATTTTATCCTGAATTTCCCGATTTCCCTCTTATTATCTCTATTCTTCCCTATTTTTCCCCCAATTTTCCCAAGTTTGTCTCAATTTTCTTACTCGAAAGGGGGGAATGTTGTTAGATGCCATTTTTTCCCCGCGAATCGTCTTCTTTTTTTTTTTACTCAAGGGGGGCGTGGTTGAGGGGAAAACAAAAAACCTATTTTTTTTTCAGTGCTCACTATCACCCCTGACTTCCCATCTCTGAATTTTCCTCTCGCCTCACTTGTGCTCTTGGCCTTACTTTTGCACATCGTCGCAAAGTGGTTTTGGCCTCCACATTTCCGACAGATCTTTCCTTTGGCTGGACATGATGCATCCTTCCCAAAATGTCCTTTGTTCCCACATCGGTAGCATTCCAAATTCTTTTTTCTGTCATTCTCGTATGATACTTGATTCACTTGACCAGCTCTAGGCCTTTCTCTCTCTCTCAATGACATGGAGTTAAATTGACCTTCAACAGCTTCTAGAGCAGCAGCCATGGACAATGCATCATTTAACTTGAGCTCACCTCCTTTCTCCAGCATTCTCCTGCGAAGTTTATCAGCTCTGCAGTACTGAACTACTTGGTCAAGAATTTGGTTTTCTACATCCCCAGCTACGAAATTGCATCCAATAGCAACCTGTCGTAATTTGGTAACAAATTGGGCAACCGTTTCACCATCTTCCTGCTTTGTTTTCCTGAACAAATGTCTTTGAAACGTAGCATTAGGTTTGACAACATAATGAGCATTTAGGGCATCTGTGGCTTTTTGATACTCATTCCTCTCTCCTTTATTGGGAAGTGTTTTGAAAGTCTCCCGTACCACAGGCCCCGCAGTGTACAGCAACAGTGCTCTCCGTTGAGCCTCCTGGGCCGGCGTACATCCGTCCAGAAACAGGCCGCGACTATCGGCGTAGGCTTCGAACTCTTCAAGCCAAGCTTTCCACTTGCCGCTGACAATACTTGCACCACCCGTCGGATCGAAGTGTGGAACTCCTCGAAGCGCTAACAATTCCGCTCCAGCGAATGCCATGTTGAAACTTTTCCAGCTCGTAGCCACAGATTCAACATCCAAGAAACATTAATCCTCGTCGCCAATGTCACATATTAAGTGCAAACAAACTAACAAAGTAGTTGAATTCCATAAACCATAGTCTGGTGTTTATTCCCCGCACTGGGTATCAAGTCACGCGTATCGCATATACATCGCGCACATGCGATCTGACCTCCTGAGGTCACAGGTGTCACATTTGCATAATCTGATACATATTCATTATCATGACAATGTCTTCCACAACTAAGAAGCGTGGCAAGAAGTTACAGACTTTTAAAGAACAATACAGTAAGAAATGGAAATGCATCGTGTAACACCAACTAATGAACAGGTATGTTACTTTTATTTAACTTGTTGTGCTATCGCGCTTGCCAGCGTGCAGAAAAATTTGCGTCGCGCAGAAAATTACGGATTTTGTCTCCAAATTACGGATTTTTAGCCTTATGATTACGGATTTGTGCTCTGAAAGGTTGGCATCCCTGTGTACTGCACCAAATATTTGGGCCATTGTGGTGTTAAAGGTAAAGACCAGTATTGGAAACGCTACAATTTCAAAAAATGAAATGGAAGCCCTCATTACCAATCATGTGAAAGAATATGTTTTGACTAATACATGATGATAAAAAATTTGCCGGGAAACCGCCTACTAATTCATATATTTGGTAAATTTGTTTCTCTCATGGTCTGTGAGAGATATAGGGTAGTCCCATATACATCTTTCTGCGTATAGTGCTTGTAACTTTACGAAGAATGGGCCAAATTTCTTATCATTTTGAAGATTCCAGAACCTTGCAGATGCTAGATGCTAGATGATCAACCTTTTCTGATCGTTTCCACAACGTTTCTTTCACAATGCAATCGCATGACCATAACTGGTCTTTACAAGATCAAATTATCATAGCTGTTTGATTGGGAACTATATTTCTTTCTCCCTCTCCCCAGCTTCCGACGTTGCTGCGAGGAGGCGTTCATGATCCTCCGTCGCCGTGGTAACCTGCTGATCAACCTCTTCGCCATGATGCTTTCCAGCGGAATCCCGGAGCTGTCGGACGAGACCATCAAGTATCTCCGGGACGTCCTGGTCCTGGACCGCAGCGAAGACGACGCACTCAGGTTCTTCCAGGGCAAGTTCAACGAGGCCCTCAAGAACTCCTGGAAAACTAGTCTGGACTGGATGATGCATCATATTGCCCATAGAGATTGAGACAATGACATCAATGATACGGTGTCGCGATTTTTGGACATTGTGATCTACAGCATGCACCTCGTAATAGTATACTATTTTTGCAGATGATGACTTGAATATGAAGTCGATGGAAACTGGAGTTGTTTTCTTTTTCTATGAGAACAAACAATGTCTACATCACTGAGATGGAGATGGCGATGGCGATATCATCGGGAGATAATGATGTAACGATGATGATTTTACTGGTAGAAGATGTTGAATCATGATAAATTGTAGGATACAATTGTGCAATGTATAGTTTATACCACAGACCACATTGCAGATGTATACTTGAATAGTGTCAGTCACTACATGCTTAATCTTGATTTATGAAAGAGTTCTATAAGAAACTTTTTTGTCCCGAGGATCATTGGAATTAAATGCTGTTGAGGATTTCCTTGAGGACCTGCATAAATTACCACGCAGCAGATTTTAATTCACTTGCATTGAGAGGTTGAAGGATATTCCATAATAACTTTGAGGAAAGTTTCTATGTAATGTAGAGAATGACTTGCATTGATACAAAGGCACAACTGATACAGCTGGAGAATAGGTCCATGGACAGATATATAGATTTACCTGAGGTACAGAAGTGCACATTGCGACTAGAAAAGGAAGACATACACTGGTCTATTGCTGTAAAACAAAGTGGAAAAGAGATGCAGTTTTCTTCTGGAAGTTCTTCAAGCATCGTGGAGCAATACCAAATTCAGTCAAGGAGATTCGCTCTCTAATTGTCTCGCTGAGGAATTGTGTGCAAATTATGAATCACTACGTGAGCAGTTATCTGATTCAATATTGTGATGCAGTCCAAAATTTAATTACAAAAAAATAGAATAATGGGCTTTTCTCAAATGAATTTATCCATATTATTGCAGATATAACTTTCCTTCACATTCTCAGTAGCTTATATGAGTAAGTCCAACCTTGCAGCAAGTAATGCAAGAAATTGTCTAGTGAACAAAGACGATCAGTTTAATGGCATGACTTGGTCTAGAAAAGAAATTTATTGTAAAGTGCATGACAAAAAGTAGTCTATAAATTGTCAAGCAAAGTTTATGGTTTCAATATATTATGCATTGATGTATGTCGTGATAAATGTGTTAAAGGGACTAAGCAAGAGTATATTGACAGAAAGGAATGCTGGAACATGTTCTCTTATTATTTGCAATATTAATAGATAGGAATATTATGATTATTTCAGATCTTTATGGATGGGTCAAAATACCGCTGGGATGAATGAGTCAACCATTTGCCTACCAGAACCACTCGGTTCCTAAGTGGAACTATGGGGAAATATAAGAATGCTGTAGTCAGCGGGCTAACATCCTAGTGTATGTAAAGATCATGCTTGAAGACGGGATTCTTCTCTGGTGCTCATTGGTGTAAACACAATCGCAACCACTTTCAACAAATCAACCGAAGGCATTTCAATAGCCTTGCACTTCACCCATTGACCTGTGCAAACATGAAAATGACTAATTACGTAATCCAAACAAGATTTCTACGGGATGTACACAAGGGTTTTGATATGGCCCTTGGGTTGAAATTACTTGCGATCGTGTTGGTAGATGAGGGGAAGAAATTGAGTCTATTGCGTATTGTATGCCATGTACCAAGTATAATGAACATACATTGACATAAAAAATATCGTTCTACTTGATATTTGGTTTGGTCCAAGCTTTAGCATGGCCTGCAAAATCGTACAGAGGTGGTTCGATGGATAAGTCTCCTGACTGCGAAGGATGAGGTACGGGGTTCAAATCCATGTCACAGCAGTAATAATGATATGATGATAATGATAATAATATGTCTTGTTTACCCAGGATAACCTTCTCAGTATTAAGATAGTTCTCCCTGAGGTCCCTGTAACTATATTATTATGTCTTTTAGCAAGACATTTATCTACATTTGCCATGCTCAATCCAATTGAGGTAAATGGGTATCTGGCAGAAATCTTTTCCTTGAAACGCTCAAGTGCTGTAATGGCAGCCGTGCTAAAGCGGGGGTATTATACAAGACTCCACCACTATTATTATTACAGTCAGAAGATATAGAATAAACTTAGATGTCACTGGTAACATATGGGCCGAAAAAGCTTGGTCTGGATCTATTCTAGTAGGACGATGGTGCGAAGAAATGAAACAACAAGAGTCATAGATTACTTGTAGTCGATCAGTTGAAAAATATTATTTTATACTTTCCATGTAGTTCAGCTATCGAACATAAATATATTTTATGGTATTGTGACCAAAATGTATTGTACAATTTTATTCAGAAATTAAAAACAACCTAGCAATTTTACATTCCCAGTTTAATGTGAAGTATGGCTCCATCATTTCTATGACTGCGATTGGGTTAACAGTGTTTGACAGTTACATAACTCAGTTCTGGGGGATGTTTCATAAAGCTCTTCGTAAAGTTATGCATGACTTTACGAACGACTTGAATATGAAGTGCCAGATAGGATGCCCAAAGTTTTTTCTGATGTTTCCAATAACCTCAATTAAATTACGGCAAAAAATATTCTTAGCATTAAAAATATTTGTTATAATAAGAATGTTCATCTACATCTGCACAGTTCAGCTTATGGTAAGTTGATGGAGTTAAAAATTATTGACCATCCCATTCGCCTTTTCATAATTATATAACTCATTTTTAAAGTCATGCGTAACTTTACGAACAGCTTTATGAAACACCCCCTGGTGTGTCAGTTTCGCACATATGAAATTGAAAGTAATATAAAGACCTTGTCAAGTGCGTAGGAACATTACCTTGAAGCAGCACTTACACTGGAAGAAGAAGAAGAATTGATTGGAACCGGTCAAGAAAGGGATGTGTGAAAACCAAAGAAGTGTGTGTGTGTGGGGTGGGATGGGGTGCAGAGAGAGAGAGAAGGGGAGGAAGAGTGATATAAGAGTGTATATACAAGAGAGAAAGAGGTGGAAAATGAGATGGGGGTTGGGGAGCGTGTGTAAATAAAAGAGGGGGAGGGAGAGGGGAAAGAGAGAGGGGAGTTGTTGAGTGATGATATTAATGATATAATTGTTTATAAATAAATTAAAGATAAAACGAAACTAAACAACTTGGGACGAAATTGTAACGTAGGGTGTATGCTGTTAATTGCCCCAGTAAAACCACTTTTCTGTTTGAAAACTAGAAAAGTAAATAACTCTCATGACTAATATACACTGCTGCTTCTTTCATATTCCATTGATAGAGACACATTAACTCTTTATTTGCCACACTGTGTTGCATATCCCGCTAGAAAGGTGTTTCTAAACTTCAATTTTGGAATTAAATTTTCTCTTACGAAAAATGAGGTAGTTCATATATTAAGACCAATTATTATTATTAGCAGCCCCACTGTCATCCTATACCCCGCCCCCCTCCCCAGGAAAACAAAAAACCAGGGTACACTATGGTATTAAACATACACTAACTGGTGAATGACCTCTTTCTGAACTTATTTTTCATTTCCGGTGAGCCACCACAGACTGGAAACTTAATCACAAAAGTGTGACGTGTCGAGAAAGCCTCTTTATTTAAAGGGGAAACCAATTCCTTCGTAGCAAACTACTCTAAAATAAAGTAAATAGATATATTGGAGAAACATGCTGGCGAAAGTTTAAATGAAATCGGACAGAATATGAGAAAATTACGCTTTTTCGAAAGTTGCAATCACTATAGGTAGGTATAGCACACAAAAAATAAGTACGACAAACATGTTATTTGATAATTGCAAATGATCAAGCTTCAAAAGCTTCAAAATCAAAAAAACAAAATTGAAATTGGTCAATGCGTTGTGATTTTATACCATTTTTTTGATATCGCAAAATTACCGAAAAACCTGCCAGATATGGTCAAATTGGCAAAAATGGCAAAATTCGACAAAGTTGAGAACCTAATTCATCACTTTCTTGGACACAAATAATAAATTAAATTATCAGACACTAAAATATCGTCTTTGTGGTAAAAAATACAAAAAAATACATAAAAGCGACATAAAGCAGAATAGAAACAAAACATAAATACTAGTTTTTTTAAATACCAAAGTAACAAAAATTCTAAAATAATATCATACTTTTTTTTTCTTTTTCAATAGATTTTTTTTTATTGATTCCAAACAATACAAATTAATTTTTAGAAATAACGTACAGTTGTTTTTCCATGACATGAATTCAAAAAATTTACATTACATAAATTGTACAATTGATGAAAACAAAAATGAAATCAGTTGTAACTTAAAACAAATATCCCCATCCAACCAAACACACTACTCCCCCATCATGCGACACACACACACACACACACACACACACACGCACACACACACCACCAGACCACACTTCCACCACACACTGTTCCTAATCCCTCAGAATACCCCAAATTGGAGCGACAGACAAACAGAAACAATCTATTTAAAACATTTAAAAGAAAATCATACGCACACACACACACACACGCACACACACAAGGTTATGCAAAAATCATTTGAGTTTAACCTTTTAGAACCTAAACCGCCCGAGACCGCCTTTCAGTTTACTCACTAAATTCAATTCAATTCAATTAAGTTTATTCATTTCCATAAAAATCACATTACAAAAAACACATTCATATAATAACATGCAAAATCTTTCACTAAAATATAAATAAGTACATTAAAATATTAAACAATAATGACAAAGGGGAGTTATAAAAACCCAAATAAATAAGTTTGCCGAGATATCTCCCCCCCCCCCAAAAAAAAAAAAAAAAAAATTGTGATGAACATAATAAAGATTTGAAATTACATAAACTTATTTTGCCCCAAAGAAAACTCGTATAACAAAACAAAAACAAACAAACAAACAAACCATACAATCTCTACAAAAACACACACACATATATAAAGTGGAAAAGTATTCTACCCAAAATCATATGTAATTAGATGCTGCTTTACACTTCTTTTAAATCCATTGTAATTTATTATAGATGGTATGTTACTTGGCAAAGTATTCCATATTGTTGGTAATTTATGTCTGAAAGAAAATAATAAATAAGATTTTTCAACAACCCATAGATGGTATTAATTTCTAGTTGAACCGCCGTCCGTTTTTTCGCGCGCTATAGTATCCCGAATACGTGGTCGATAAATGCCCATACTTGTTTTGCGTTACCAGGCGCGCCGGAAGCAGTTTGGGATTGGGGGGCAAACATTCCAGGGGGCTCACCTTCCAGGGGCAGTGACGTAATGAGAAAAAACGTTCGGAAAGGGGGGGGGGGGGGAAACGAAAAATCTGCATCACCACCAGTCTTCCACGTTACGTGCAGGTCCCGCGGAACGTTTTTCAAAGTGGAGTATTAACGATCAGGTAAAGCGTAAATTGGCGTGGGGTCCACTGGGGCATGAGCCTCGGCAGGGGGTCAAGGGGCTGAGCCCCCGGAAGGTCAGGGGTCTTAGGTATTTATTACAGTTAGATGAGCATCCAGGGGCCCTCTTTAAGGCCATTGACGTGTTCCAGGGGGGGGGGGGAGAGCCCCTAGAAGCTCAGAGGTTTCAATATTTAACTACGGTCAAATGAGCATCCAGGGGCCGCCTCAGGGCCCTTGGTGGGGTCCTGGGGGCAGAGCCCCCGGAAGCTCAGGGGTTTTAGGTATTTAATTACGGTCAGATGAGCATCCAGGGGCCCGACTTAGGGCCCTTGGTGGGGTCCAGGGGCCAGAGCCCGGAAGCTCAGGGGTTTTCTGTATTTAATTACGGTCAAATGAGCATCCAGGGGCCCGCCTTAGAGCCCTTGGTGGGGTCCAGAGGGCAGAGCACCCGGAAGCTCAGGGGTTTTCTGTATTTAATTCCGGTCAGATGAGTATCCAGGGGCCAGCCTTAGAGCCCTTGGTGGGGTCTTGGGGGCCGAGTCCCTGGAAGCTCGTGGGTTTTATGTATTTAATTACGATCAGATGAGCTTCCAGAGGCCCGCCTTAGGGCCCTTGGTGGGGTCCAGGGGGATAACCCCCGAGAGCTCGGTTTATTTTAGGTATTTAATTACGGTCAGATGAGCATCCAGGGGCCCACCTTAGGACCCTTGGTGGGGTCCAGGGGGCAGAGCCCCCGGAAGCTCAGGGGTTTGGGATATTTAATTACGATCAGATGAGCTTCCAGAGGCCCGCCTTAGGACCCTTGGTGGGGTCCAGGGGGATAACCCCCGAGAGCTCGGTTTATTTTAGGTATTTAATTACGGTCAGATGAGCATCCAGGGGCCCACCTTAGGACCCTTGGTGGGGTCCAGGGGGCAGAGCCCCCGGAAGCTCAGGGGTTTGGGATATTTAATTACGATCAGATGAGCTTCCAGAGGCCCGCCTTAGGACCCTTGGTAGGGTCCAGGGGGGATAACCCCCGGAAGCTTGGTTTATTTTAGGTATTTAATTACGGTCAGATGAGCATCCAGGGGGCAGAGCTCCCGTAAGATCTGGGGTTTTAGGCACCTAATTACGGTCAGATGAGCATTTTTTATACCTTATTTGTGACATTGGCAGGTCACTTATTTTTTCTCTCCGTCTTTCTTTCTTTTTCTCTTTAACATACTTTGTCAAAAAGTGAGGGGGGGGGGGGTGCTCGAGCCCAGCCACTTTGCAGACCATGACATAAAGGCTTCTAAATAAGCGTATTTTTCGCCCGACTGTAATTTGGGAATTTCTTATTTTCCAACAAACGCATACAAAGGTATGACTTACAAAAAAATGGAGGAAAAATACCGGAAAATCATGTCATAATAACAACATTTGTACATCACTGGTATCGAATAAGAAATACACCCCCATCAGTACGCCAGCTATAACAACAAAAAAAGACACGCTTTCCCATTCTCGCACAATATGTCCACAATATGTGCGTTTCGCTATTATAAAGACCTCCATTGATAAATACCGTATAGGTGGCATGCGCAATGTTTATGAAATTTAATTCCTGTGAACTTTTCTTTTCTTTCAATGGAATTGTATATGTGATTTAATTTAGTTTTTTTATTATTGTTATGTTCTTTTGGGCTAAAAATACAAACCATGTTTACTCCTTTACTGCTTTTTTTTTTGGAGGGGGGGGGGGGGCGTTTTTTTTTTTTTTTTTTGGGGGGGGGGGCAACCGCCCCCCCCCCCCACTTCCGGCGCTTTTGTGCGTTATCTAGGGGTAATTTGCAGTCGGATTCTGCACAAATATGTATATCCTTGTGTAGAGCGAAAGTGAGGATTTCTTCATAATCAGGCAGCTGATACGATGGTCAGTGATCATTGATTTGAATGACAACGACGACGAATCTGATGATGATGACCGCGACATGATCACAATGGTTTCTCCTGTCATGAACATATCGTTGAGCGATAAAACCGGGGCAATAATATCCAAAGTCATTTGAAGGCGTATAAAGACGTTATATCATACAGTGATACAAGGTTATATATAAAAACAGAAATTTTATCTTATTAAGTCGTTAGTTCATACTCATTACAGTGCCATGTAACGGATCCAGGTCACAGCTCTGGTCTGCGGAATCTAAGCACCAAATACGCCAGAAAATTGAACGTGACAGCGAATCCGAAAAGTACCATGTAGGAGCCCCAAATAGGAAAACTGAAATCCAGCAAGACCTCGACGACCTGTGCTTCATTTAAAATCCCACGCGTACTTGTGATCGACGTGGAATTCGATACGATAGCGTCCGATATTGCGCTCATGCTGGTACTGATGTCGTCTGCTCTGCTCAATGAAAGACAATCTCCAAACTCCGAGATGACTGTCGTGTTACAGCTGCCGAGACAAATAAACAAACAAAAAGTTAGAAAGAAGGTTCGGTTGTGGTAAAGGTCAGACATATATTATGTGAGTTTCTTCATACTTTTTAGGTCAGTGTGGAAAAAAAATCATAGAAGAATTTGGCCATGATCAGGATTGCTTTTGAAATATCTTTTGATAAAAACACAGATTTTTACAAATCTAAATGTAACTGAAATACCGATCATTACACTAAATATGATTTACTATTTCGATCTAAAATATGTTATGGAAATAGAAATTGAACAAGTACAGCAGCAACATAAAAAAGCAATCCTTAAATTTCCAAGTTCGGGAATGTAGTAGGTACGAATTAACTTTAAATTAACCTGTGCAATAAAAACTACCTAGACTGGGGAAACATGATTCACTATATAATTCCCTTATAATAATATAAATTCCGTGTTTCGTATACAATGAAAAAGGGGGTAAATCATTGACCTCTATGAAACAAAAAAACAATCAAAACATAGAGATCAGTGGGGGTAAATCCACCGGATAACCATCAGGATAGTGAATCACTCGCTACCGAATACAAATATTTCATCCGGATACCCGATAAGGAGGATGGGATACGACGGTCCTCCGCAAGAGTCACAACAGATTTCCTAGACTGAATTGAAATATCCTAATTGTGAAACATAGGGCCGTTTTTAGAATTGTCTGTTCCTTCGAATAGTTTCGAATAGTTTCGAAGGAACAGACAATTCTAAAAACGGCTCTATGTTTCACAATTAGAGTAAGGTTTAATCTCAAGGCAAATCACAGTAAATTTAACTATAGAAAAGATGAAGATTTGTTTTCTTCACATTGTAATACTAGAAAATTATCACTGTTTCAAAAGATATCTTTTGTAATAAATGGGTTTGCCATCCGAATTCATGAAACTGTTATTAAAACAGTTATTTCTTAACTGTTTCACAAAATTGTTTGGAGAGCAAATTACGCGCATGTATAAGATGAATATGTTGAATAGCATGTTCAGAGGTAAACCCTACGTTGCACTATGGAACCCAATATAAATACCTTTTCCACTTTATGTAATACATGTACATCCCTAGTTCATGATGAGAACGTTATCATTTTGTCACAAATAATAACTCAACTTGAATTGTGCCCTGAGGTGGGATAGGAAAATTCTGTAAAGGCCTACTGTACTTTGTGAATCAACGAACTTCATTAATTATATCGAGTAATATTTAAATATATCAGGGGTGTTTCCTTTTTGGTTGAGTGCATAATTATAGACAAGGTACTGAAATGTGGTGTATTCATCAATCGAAATAAGGGAATGAACGGTGAATTGTAGTTATGAATGATGTGAAAGTTATACACATTTCCAGGTAGTTGCAAAATTGTCTAAGAGGTGTCGAACGAAATATTCCAGCGATATAATTATATAAAAACCAGGTTTTTGTTTAAAGAATAGATATAAACAAACGTTTGGACGTTTCTATCAGCTGACAAATAACAGACTTACTAGATAATGTTGAATGCAACTAAAACAAATATTGAGAGAGGGTCGTGGTTGTAACACCTATCATACACCTATACCGCCGTATTATTAATCATCAACATTCCTCCCCTCCACGTCTTCTTTCCCACCACTACATGCGAGTATTTAAAGGTGAAATTCAAAGAAAATCACAAATATGTCAACTAATGTATCACTAGAAAATGGTAAGCTAACATATGATCATCGTACAAGTTTTAGGTCAACTACATATCGGGTGATTTATAAAAATACAAATACAACCACCTCCATAGCAGCTGGGATATACGAGAGATTCGCCGGAAAAATAACGATGTTTTAATGACGTCACCATATGGACCCATATTGCCCAAGCAGACGACATCCCATAAAGAATGAACATAATTGCAGAGCTATTATTTGTCAAATTATAATGAGTCTATAGTGTATATAAATGTAATGGCATTTTACATGTCAAACCATTCAAAAAGGGATATGACCCGATTCTGATAACTAAAATCTTTTGCTTGTAAATACACAGGATAGGGGTTAATTAACAATCAAAGAAACCAGACTTTCAAATTGAAAAAAAAAACCCGGAATTATATTAAGGACAGCATTTGTTCCCTCTTGAAATGCCGAACATACCGCGGTGTGTGCAGCTGAATATACAATGGCGTCTTATTTTGTTTACAAGCGACATATTCCTTTAGTTTTGTATCGCTGCATTTGTGATCAAAATAAAACCATGCGCGGGGTTTAGAGTGAGGCAATAGAGTATACATTTAGCCTGACGGTAGTGAAGTAAGAGAAAGAACTCAAGAGAAGATGAAAACAAAGTCACTGAAAATGTGTGAGATGTCATGGAACATCGTCTGCTTGTGCAAATCATGTCCATACTGTGATCTCACACATCTCAGCAGCCCAAGACGAAAATCCAATTGAAACCAATTGAACACCAATTGAAATTTCAATTGGTTTCAATTGGTTTCAATTGGTCTCAATAGGTCTCAATAGGTTTTAACAGGTTTCAATGGGACCTCAGATGTTTTCAATTGGTCCAGATTGGCCCCATTGGACAAATTGGCCCCATTGGCCCCATTGGCCTAGGCCCCATTAGACTTTAATGGGTCCCCAATTGGTTTCAATTGGTCCGGATTGGCCCCATTGGACAAATTGGACCCATTGGCCTAGGCCCCATTAGACTTTAATGGGTCCCCAATTGGTTTCAATTGGACCAATTGGCCTTAATTTGGACTTCAATTGGTCCCATTGAAACCAATTGGCCAATTGAAACCAACAAATCTAGGCATCTCATGAATATTCATTATCACTTTACACGTGTCACAGAAAAATAAATTTATCATGATTTGTTAAGCAAATTATGACAATGCACATCAATTTTGTGATTTCTTTATTCCTTCAGCAATTATTAACCAATAGATTATTTTGTCTGATCATGTTACAATTACATTCACGTTTTAGCAATAGATATATTGATTTATATATTGATTATATGATTACTAACCAAAAAACAATATACATATTTAGTATATATATTTGTACGAGCCAATGTCACTGTAAATGAAACTCTTGAATTCACTTCAAATGATCTTTGTGATGAAGTTAATGCAAATGAGATTGGAATATACCTAATTGGTGGACAGTTGCCAATATCGGTTATGAAGTATCAATAATTTATAACTGGTTCTTCTAACTGGATCGATTTACCTATTGAATCCCCATTGAATGCCCCCATTGAATCCCAATTCAATACCAATTGGCCAATTTGGAGTAAATGGAAAGTGAAACAATGGGTACCCATTGAAACCAATTGGCAATTGGTCCCCATTGGAACCAATTGGAATTGGTCCCCAATTTGGAGTAAATGCCAATTGGTTTCAATGGGTACCCATTGAAACCAATTGGCAATTGGTCCCCATTGGAACCAATTGGCAATTGGTCCCCATTGGTTTCAATGGGTACCCATTGTTTCACTTTCCATTTACTCCAAATTGGATTCAATGGGGACATTCAATGGGGATTCAATTGGATTTTCGTCTTGGGAGCGTTCGGAGAGCTCTTCAGGTGCTATGCCGGGGCTGTATTAAAGCGTTTTGTAATTTATAATAATCACTACTTCGAATGTTTCCAAGCATTGAATTTGGATAACCTTGTCGAATCAAAATTTTATCTTTGCAATGATGAAAATAAAGTTAGTTTTTTAAAATCAATGAATATCTACTTTAACACCATGCATGACATAGAAGACAACGAGAAACGGCATATGATCGGAACCCCCTCCCTGCCCCTCCCCTCCCCTCCCCTCCCACTCCACCCCTCTTGAATCCTTACCTGATAGTTCGTGGAACCACAACAAAGACAGTAGAGAGAAGAGCTCTATACACGTATGAAGTGTAGCTAATATATCGCAACCAGAAGAGGAATATGGGTAAATTCTGTACAAAGAACCCCCCTAGAAGCATACTTGTCAGCATAAAAAGTGAAGTAACTGTGAGTGCTTGTTGTATATTGGAGCAAGCTGCGCTGAAAAACCGCCCTATAGCCTGGTGGTATAAACAAAACAAACAAATCAAATAATACGTAATTTAGAAAGATTATAGTGTAGCCACTACACAAATATACCCTACTGCGTTGAACACTTTGGTCGCTTTCTTTGCCTCTTTGCACGGTTTCTCGTTTGACAAGCGTGCAATTTTACACACAACTAATTACATGTAGGCACAAGTTGACGGAAGGATTTCATTTTGCAGAACCATGGCTTTGCAAAAGCAGCCATTTCTGGTCTTGATTTGTTCAATGAAAACCCATTTTTACACCGAAATAGATTAATCTCGCACTAGAAGCAGTTAAATAATCTTTAAGCCTTTGGTATATCTACCCAGAGATATGGCGATTAATTGCTTGGCATATAGAGAGTTAATAGAAAGTATCGTCTTTTTACACCCAGCTATATAATTTGCCCACTATGATAAGGCACTAAAGCATTCATTCTGAAAACCCATTTACATTTACTTAGTGCCGCAGAGGGACTCGAAGTCTCGAACCGCTAACCATGCAATACACAATCAAGAACACCTATACTAATACTAATATATCGATCCCTCTAAAGACAAATTCAGTATTTTGAAATCAGAAAATAAAAGCAAATGCTACTGAATCGCTGTTCAGAGTCATATTCACCAAACCAAATATATCATCCTGAGTTGATCGGGATAAATTGCATACAATACCGATTCATTACAAAACAAATATTTATATCATACTTATTGTAAAATCAACGCTAACATTTTATCGTTTTTTGAGAGGCGGGATGCGATAAGGAAAACAAGAAGACGAAGTATTGTCTGATATAGCTGTTGACACGATGATACGTAAACACGATGTCTTTTCCCCCCTGCATTTGTCCGCTTACGGTGGACTTAATTCAATCTTTTATTAAATTCACACTGCATAGAAACACAATCGCGAAATCCCTTCTAGCGATGAGCTGCGATGTTGGTTCTCGCATCAGTTCCCTTGGCTGCGAAGTGGAAATTAGCTAGGTATTGGGTTACGCACTGTTGGAAAGTTGACCACGAGATGGCGCTGTGTGATAAACAGTATGCTAAGGCAGGAAGTTCATCTGTTCAGTATTGCTTTAAGATACTATGTCCCTTTTGCAGCCAATCTCAAATTCTGTAGAACTTTGCAGGAATTATGAATAGGTCATGTATGTCCTATCTGTGAAATTTAAACATTAGCAGTGTCCTAATATTCAAATTATGCAAGGAAACCCGTTTACTTGCTAGACTTCACTGTCAGACATTATATACCTCACTTAAGAAATCCAGCCATCTGATTGGTCGAAATTGCATTCATAAACTTTAACTATTCCTGTAAAATTCACGGTAAAATTCCAAACTCATGTAATAGTTCTAAAATAATAGTTCTAAAATCCCGGCAAAATTTCAGTTACCATGGTTACCGGGAAAATAGTTCAGTCTTGGTTAAATACCCTTAGGTTCACATGTTAAAAACTGGTTTGAGCGATCGAGGATACCGTACGTGTGCGAAGAATTGGTCGGGAATTTCAATACTGAAATCTCGATCGTACTAAATTCCAAACCGAAGGCAAAAATGGCTGAAGAAATTCTCCCAAGATTTCAACTTCTTGATGATGATCAAATGCAAGACTTGCTGACAGTTAGAGCACCAAAAAGGGTCCGTTAAATTCTCCATAATTTTTTTTTTTTTTTTAATTGATCTAGTAGGCCTAGATTCTAGTAAGTAGGTCTAGTAGTGCAAAAATCCTTCCCGTAGAGATTGCACACATCCCTATGCATTGGCCATTGCGCACGTGCACACATCCCTATGCATTGGCCATTGCTAAATTGGTCGATGTTTTAATAACCAGAGATTCAAACTAATATTGCTCGTGATCCTGAAGGTGATACTCAAAGTGAGGTATCATATGAAAGCGCAGGTTTTTCTCCATATTCCCCACAGGGCCAGCCCACCCCCAAAATTGTAAAAATATCTTGCTTAGACTAGACTCTAGATCTAGTATACTCTCAAAGATACACTCATAAAAAACAACCGTGCAGATAAACTAGAGAAAGGCCAAGGTGGTGTCATAAGTTGGCCCTTTTTTTTTTGGCATATAAAAGTATTAATGACTGCTTTAATATTCGAGAAATAGTTATTTTTATACGCTCAAGGGAAGGTTACAATTGGGCTATTGCCCTCGGCATAGCACAGTTCTAACCTTCCCTTGAGCGTATAAAAACAACTATTTCTCTCAAAGCAGTCATTAATACTATACTATAGAGTGTCAGACACTGGAGTGACTGATTGGCTTTTTTTCTTCTTTGGTAATAACATACATAAAATGAGTTGTAAAGGGTACATGAGCATTTCTCTACATCAGTAACCCACTTCTTGTAATGGCCAAATTTAAACTGATTGAATCTTTGCGCAGCATAAAACGTACGACCATTCGGTACAATGGTCTGAAAATCAAGACTATTACCTATTGGCTCTATAGCTCCTAAGTCGATTCGACAACTAATAGTCGTTATTTTCCCACTTAAAGACATTTTCAAGCCTCCTTTTTTTAGGGAAGCTCTAAATTAGTATTATCTTTCAAATGCCGTTGGAAGTTAACCTTTTCATGTGTTGGGCCTGCAAATGGGACATAGTATCTTTAAAGGGACACTTTTCCTCCTGCATTTGTCCGCTTACGGTGCATGGACTTCATTCAATCGAAGGCAAATATCTTTTTATTAACTTCATACTGCACTAGAAGCACTATCGCGAAATCTCTTTTAGCACCGAGCTGCACTGTTGTTTCTCGCATCAGATCCCTTGTCTGCGAAGTGGAAATTAGCTAGGTATAAGGGAGTTTACAGATAGCACATGGTACAAATGACCCCAAATATCCACAGATCTTTTACACATGGAGAAGTTCCACCTTGAGCATCTTAGAATAATAACTACCAAAGTCCTAGATGTGCTTCATGAATACCTTTTGTTTGCCCTCTTAAAAAAAAAAACTTCCACCTGCGTATCTTAGAATGTACCGTTAGTGCAAAAATGAATAATGTTACATACATTTCATGAGCGCATATCCAGTATTCATCTCTGGTGGGTTTTACCTTTTTGGTACAAATGACCTTTATCTGCCATGCGCAGATTGTATCTGTAAACTCCCTTATTGGGTTACGCACTGTTTGAAAGTTGACCATGAGATGGCGCTGTGTGATAAACATTATGTTAAGGCAGGAAGTTTATCTGTTCAGTATCGCTCTATAGGGACACTTACCTGCCCGGCCTGCACGTAAAGTAGAAGAGTCGCAACGTAACAGAAGTATACTAAGACCGATTTATGAAGCCCAGCCATCCAAAACGTAATGGTCACTGACACTATAGTCATCGTGGACAACAGAGGAAGTACTCCAATGACCTTTGACATGAAATAAGCCGATAGTCTGTAGGCACCAGCTGCACGTTCTTTGGCCAACACAGCGCGTTCAAGTTGAACTGCGTGGATAGAGAATTCATTACAAGAAATCAATTCAAGAGAAAGCAGTGTTCCGGTAAAGGTGAAATATTTTGTGAGCTTTTTTCATTGTTTTAATGTTGAAAGAATATCCTAGAAGTAATGTTTCTAGCAAAAAGGGATTGCTTTTCTTTTGCCCTCATATTCAAAGGAGACAGAGATAGTAGCTGATGTGTTTGGGCCAAACCTTCATGCCAAATATGTTGTGTCATTCCCAAAGCATCATTCTATACAGTACATGTCTCTTTCAGCAAGAACCCCTCAGCTCAAAAGGATTTGTTTTATCATTCTGTTTTTCTTTAAATTTGATTCTGCGGTGTGTATTTAAAGAGAAAAAAAAAATCAATATGGAATACCCCCCCAAAAAAAATCGCATATCTATGTGCATGGCATAAGCTTTTTTTCGTTTGATGACTAGAACATAACTGAATGCTTAAACGGAAGATTTTTGATAATGATGTGAATGGCACTTACACGATGTCAAGCTGCTGTAAATCGGTTCAAATCCCCAATGGGCACTCATGAAGAAAATCTGGTGGGGGGGGGGGGGTATACAAATGTTAACTTTGATACTAATTATAAAATAGTAATGATGATGAGGAGGAGAAGGAGGAAACGGATGATATTAATAATTATATAACAACAATGTAGAGGAGTCGTATTATAGTGCATACGTCGTCAGACTGTGGATCAGATGGTTTACGTTTCGTGTCCCGCCGCGGAACTGATGTCCTTTGGCAACACATTACACCACTCTGTTTACCCTGGTGTTAAATGAGTGCCGGTAGTAAGAAATTGAATGATGTGAGCACCAAAAACGGTAGCCGGGGTAATATTGGATGTGTGTGCTATACATTTGCAATATTATTCTCACAATAATGATAAAATAATAACAATGATATTAATAATTATAATAATAACAATCATCATTCATTATCAACATCCTCATCATCATTGCCATCATCATCTCCCGTTTACCCAGGGTATCCTCATCAGTAATCATTCTTGTTCTCCCTGAGAGTCCTGCAATCATATAATCCCGGCTTTATTCGAGCTACAATGATAAGTTCTTTCTACAGGACATCCATTTTTACTTCACATGGGTGGAGAGTGGTAAATATAATAAAATGGGAAATGACATTAGTGGCATGACGTGAATTCCGTAGCTTGAGAATGTAATGGAAAAGGGTTACAAACTTTTTTGACTTACCAATCCAGACATATCTCTGATATTTTCCTCTGCGAACGTTACTTGGAACCACAGTGTCCCCGCAATGAGCGCCAACATTAGCTGCTTGGAGATCTCAAGCTTGGAAAGAACCAAATATCGGTTCTGTTTAAAGTTCCTGTGGGTCAACGTAAGGAGCTGGTGGAAATATCCCGTCGGCCATTTATCTGCGTTTGCGTACGGGTCAGCGTGAAACTTCTGACTTTCCTTGGTTGTTTTGGCTTGTAGATCACGGCATATCGATGTATTGAGGGATGGCATGACGCAGTTGTTATGCGACGAATTACCGTTGGTGTGTGAACTGTTAGTGGTCATGTGGCCTGCAGATGGGCTTCTCACTTGGTCATCAGCCTCGCCAATGACGCAGTCGACGAAGACGGAATTGTCAAAGCTGCCGTCCTGCAAGCTCCGAACCGATAAAGCTATATTTCCCAATCAAAGCGGGACACGTGTGGGAGAAACGCAGGGAAGTAATGAGTATCAGGAGGTAATGTGACATAAAAACCCTTTACGTATAACGTAATGGCAATGAAAGAATTCCATTAAAAACATTATAGTGCCCTCCCCAGCATGTGGAAATTCGACTCCTATCTTCCCACCCAACTTGCCATTCACCATTTAACTCATCTTAGAGCCAATAGCACCCAACAAACTAAGCAACCATTTCCGTATAACTTTGCACTCATTCGTCATCCTGCCTGAAACATAACTGGACATCGTATCGACATCCATCTTGGTACTCAAATTGCCCTTTACCTTGGAACCCATCTTGACAGCCACCTTGGCAGCCAAAGTGGCACCCAACTCGGCACCTATTTGTCATCCTGCCTGACAAAAAACTAGGCACATATATCGGCAACCATCTCTGTACGCAACTCGTCACCCACATTTTATCCAACAAGAAACAACTTTGCAGTTAGCCATGAACCGAATTCGGCACCCACTTTCATCTAACTCGCTACCTATCTCTGCACCAAACTGATCACCCATATCGGCAATAATCTCAGTACCGGCCCAACTTGGCCTCTATCTCGGCATCCAATTCGGCACCCATTCGTCATCCATTCTGACACAAAATCGGCAACTACAATGACAACCATCTCGGTACCCAAGTCGGCTCTGTAAGTGACCCCCCCCCCCTAAAATTAAATCCTAGCTACGCGGTTGCCCCCATCCTGGAACCAAACTCGCTATCTATCTCTTAACCATTATCAGCACCAAACGTCGCACCCAATTCCGCACAACTCGGCACCCAACATGAGATTCACCTTCCCAAACCGACACCCAACATGACATCCAACCCTCTCCAATTCCATCCCAAATCCGCACCTATCTCGGCACCCAACTTCTCACCTAACCGGTCAACCAGTCAGGCAAATATGGATAGACTTACCGCGATTAATGCTCCCACGCGGCTCTCTCATTTCATTCTCCGCCATCGATTCAAACGTTTTGTGCATACAGTTGGGTGTGTGCTCCCCGCAGTTGTGATGATTCCATGACTGCGCCTTAGCTGCGGTGTGGATCTTGACCCGTTCCTCTTCGGTCCCTTTCACGATATCCACTGGAATGAATACAACGTTTAAATGCATTCATTTATCAGATGTAGCTAATGATTGAAATCAACTCTTTGTGTGTCACTTAGATCACGCAGCGGCTTATATCCCCGTACCTCATTGACTTTCTAAAATGGTTTGTTTTTCCAAATAAAGGCTTCTCTATAAGTTCATAACCAATTAACAATATATAGTTATTACACCTGGCTGATACAAGAGATGTTCTGAATCGAACTTGAGCTATTACGCTCGGAAGGCAAAACCTGATGTATGTTAATTGAATACCAGGGGCGGATCCAGCCGGCGACAGGGGAGGGGGCCCAATTTCTGAAAATTTGAAAATCGCGCCGCATATTGCTCCGGTTGTCTCATTTTCGCTCGCTGGACGTATATAGCAGACGACAATAGGCGGATTAGACGACATTTGGTAGTGAATTTGTATGTGAGATTGCTTTGCTAAATATAAAATACAAGAACATTTTCCATATCTTTAAACTTTTATTGATATCTGATAATATTATACAGTTATTAAAATAAACCTACCAAACTACATAATACAATGAAATACTTGACTTAAAGTAGCGGAGTTTGATGTGGTGCACAATTGCACCCCTCTTTAAATAATCGAATAGTCCATGGTGATCATGAATATTCATGTTTTTGCTTACCTCGGCAAAATGTTTGCTTTTACTAAATGGAAAAATTACGGTGAGGGTTGGATGAAATGGACATAATGAACCTAACAGAAGTGATCTATGATAATTCATGCTTCTTATCCTTCGTGTGCTTGACCTATAATCTTACAATCGCTTGGCAAACTGAGTCCAAAGTTCGACTTGTTTCACGTGTGTTATATAGGCAATGGCGAGCTTGCAACCTATTTTGATCAAATTACGGTGGGTGAACTTTCAAAAGTCAATGGGACATGAGGGTTCCAATGAAAGAGCTAGTGATAACGTACGTCGGGGTGGATGTGCTTTTCGTTTAAACAAAAAATGAATTTTTAACGATTTTTTGGTAAAATTCCATAGGCTAACATGTTAGGCTGCTGACTCTGATGACAGGGGGCGTTGTCAAAAGAGACTAAACGGAGCTATAAGGACGATAATTCGCTCAGTGGCAGGGGGGGGGGGGGTAGTGAGCACTATTTTTTGTTTTAGTACTTGAACCCCCCCCCCCCCCCCCCCCCCCAAAAAAAAAAAAAAAAAAAAAAAAAAAAATTAAAATTAACGTGTTTTTACACGGTTTTTCCCCGGGAGGGGGCCCCCTTGATCCGCCACTGTTGGATACTAAGAATTCTGATTATATCGAGTTATTTCATGTCTACTTTTTGTTATTCATGTCAACTGGAGTTTAATGTACAAATAAGTCATTATGTTAAAGGTGAAATTCAAAGAAAATCACAAATATGTCAATTGTATCACTAGCAGGCGCGTACGCAGGATTTTTTCAAGGGGGGGGGGGGGGGGGTTTTAACATTTATAAATCGGGCCGAAAATTTCGCAGCGACTCAGCCAGCCGCTGAATAAGCGGGGGGGGGGGGTAAGAGGTCACTTTTTTTTTTTTTTTTGGTCCCAAAAAAAATCGCAACGACTCAGCCGACCGCTGAATGAGCGGGGGGGGGGGGGGGGGGGGGGGGGGGTAAGAGGACACATTTTTTTTTTTTGGTCTCGAAATTTGAAAATTTGACATTTTGCTCCGTTGGGGGGGGGGGGTAAGGTCAGCTTTTTTAGGTCAACCATGGGAATTTTTTTTCAATCCAAAAGGGGGGGGTTTTAGAGAAATTTAGGGGGGGTTTACACACAAAAAATTACCAAAGGGGGGGGGGGTTTAACCCCCAAACACCCCCCCTGTGTACGCGCCTGATCACTAGATACTAGTAAGCTAACAGATGGCCATCGTACAAGTTTTATGTCAACTACATATCGGGTGATTTATAAAAATACAAATACAACCACCTCCATAGCAGCTGGGATATACGAGAGATTCGCCGGAAAAAATAACGATTTTTCAATGATGTCACTATATGGACTAATACTGCCCAAGTAGTCGACATCCCATAACGAATGAACATAATTGCAAAGCTATTTTTTGTCAAAATATAATGAGTATAGTGTATATAAATGTAATGGCATGTCAAACCATTCAAAAGGGGAAATGACCCGATTCTGATAACTAAAATCTTTTGCTTGTAAATACACAGGATAGGGTTAATTAACAATCAAAGAAACCAGACTTTTAAATTAAAAAAACCCCGAATGATGTTAAGGACGGCATTTGTTCCCTCTTGAAACGCCGAACATAACGCGGTGTGTGCAGCTGAAAATACAATGGCGTCTTATTTTGTTTACAAGCGACAGATTCTTTTTTTTTTGCATCGCTGCATTTGTCATCAAATTAAAACCATGCGCGGGATTTAGAGTGAGGCAATAGATTATACATCTAGCCTGACGGTAGTGAAGTAAGAGAAAGAACTCAAGAGAAGATGAAAACACAGGCAATGAAAATGTGTAAGATGTCATGGGACATCGTCTGCTTGTGCAAATCATGTCCATACTGTGATCTCACACATCTCAGCAGCTTCCGGAGAGCTCTTCAGGTGCCATGCCGGGGCTGTATTTAAGCGTTTTGGAATTTATAATAATCATTACTTCGAATGTTTCCAAGCATTGAATTTTGATAACCTTGTCGAATCAAAGTTTCAACTTTCATTACAATAATGAGAATAAAGTTAGTTTTTAAAATCAATGAATATCTACTTTAATATCTCATAAACCAGATACATTGCTAGATTTGTCGTCTTTCTCTCAATAAATGCGACATAACATACATCGTATCCGGACACATATCCCCTGGAAATCTAGCCCGGATAACCACCAATAAGATAACCACCCTCTAGGACAACAACCCCCTAGGACAACCACCTTCTAAGACGACTACCCCCTAGGACAACTACCCTCGGACAAAAAAACCGGAATATCTAACTCCTAGGACAACTACCTCCCGACAAATACCCCTAGGACAACTACCCCCGGACAACTACCCCTGGATAACTACCGTCCAGAACCCCCCTAGGATAGTTGTCCGGGGGTAGTTGACTGGGGGTAGTTGTCCTAGAGGATAGTTGTCGTAGGGGGTAGTTGTCTGAGGGTAGTTGTCCGGGGGTAGTTGTCCGAGGGGGTGGTTATCCGGGGTGGTTGTCCAGGGGGTAGTTGTCCTTGAACCAACATACATATATAGTCGGCTGGATTGTAGTGCGGCGGGCATTGGATTCCTAACCGAGCGAAGTAATCAACCACCTGGTCAGCATCTCCGGAGTACACAACCTTTATAGAACATTTTAAATATATATATAGAGAGAGAAAGAGAGAAAACAAAAAGAGTGAGAGAGAGAAGGAGATAGAGAGACAGAAACATAGTGAGACATAAAGAGAGAGAGAGAGAAAGAGAGAGGGGATAGAGAGAGGGGAAAAGAAGAGAGACAGATAGAGAAAGAGACACAGAGAAAGAGAGAGAGAGGGGGGGGGGGAAATAAGAGAAATATATCATTAAGGAAAAAACGAAAATTGCGATGAATTCATAGTAATCTATATAATTGCTCACGTCTCCCCCCAAAACAAAAGAAAAAAAAGAAGAAGAATAAATGAATAAATAAATAAATGTTAATGAATAAATGAAGAAATACAACATTAAAACAACAACAACAACAACTTTTCGATGATCACGAACAATATTCTATATTTTGTATACATCTTCCATATTTCATGCAAACTATCTTGTTTACGACGTTGCATTCAAACTTCTAAATTCTTGATTTTAAAATGTATGGATGTAGGCGGACCCCCCCCCCCCTCCCCCGCTTATTCAACCGGCCGGCTGAGTCGCCGCTAAATATTTTCTCACGAAAAAAATAAATAGTGCTCATGCACTTATCTCTCAAAAGGAACGTTGGAAGCTGCACGTTTGGATATGATGAGCCCTGAGAACTCTTTTTTTTAAAATGATTCGTCCCGTCATTTAGTTTTCTTTTTACCTTGCATGTAGATTATATAAATTCTCATTTTTCACTCTCTTAAAGCCCCACTGTCCTACTTGTAGCTACTTGCTCCCTCTATATAGAAAACTTCCCCAATCCTGTTGTGCCTGTTGGTCCCCATGATCCTCTTTTTTTATGTTAGTTGAGAGCTGCTGATGAAAGAATTAAGTAGTCAATGTATTAAACAAGATACAGCTTAATCCTGTCTGCACTGGTTTGGCCAGGAGGGATTAGACCTCCTTGCATAGTCACTGACAGGTGATTATCTCACCAAATCAGCTCTCCATTAACATAAGAAAAAGGGGATCATGGTGGACCAACGGGTACCGCTTAGGCATTGTTTGCTATATAGAGGGCGCAAATAGCTACAAGTGGTGCAGTCCCACTTAATACGAACCTGCCCCTCAGAGAGCAGAAGTAAACAATCAAAAAGTTGAAACACTCGACTGGAAGGCTGGTGAATAGATGTGATTACAGTCTTTCCGGATGAAACGGCGTATTCTTTCAACGTCTTTATCAGCTCATAGGCTGTCCGGGAGTCTAGTCCAGACGTAGGCTCCTAATAATGAACGATATACATTTTGGTTTATGTTGAACATCAAATTAACTCAATCTTAACATATCTTCAGAATGAAGGAAGGGGAGTAGAATATAAAGAAATATAACTTAAGTATATTGAATCGGTATAGATGCAGGATTATGCAATATTGCATAACCTTTAAATACGCAAAACTTTATTTCTTTAAAAAAAGAAGGAAAAAACTGTAATGACGAAATAAAATATATATGTAACATCTCCTCCTCCTCCTCCCCTTCCCCTCCGCCTACTACTACTACTACTACTACTTCGTTAGAAGAAATTTCTGGTGACATTTTCGACTTTCCTCAACTGAGTAACACCTGTGTCATCGCCCCCCTCCCCCACGTGACGCCACTAGATTGATTTGCGAGGGAGCAAAGCAACAGAGCAAAAAGAAAAAATTTAACATTTCATTCTGTTCTTATTCAAATTAAATACTGAAATATATCAATGTAGGCCTATTACAAAGGCATACAGAGCACATTTCACCTCCGTCTTTCCACCAAAGAAAGAAGAAAAAAAAAAATCAAAACATCGTTTAGCACCCGGTTGGGACCCGGGGTTGGGAGCACGTTGCCTAAGGCTAGCTAGGTCACTGGTGTATATACTCACATCTAGAAGCAGTATGGAGGGATCAGTGAGAAGCTCACATCCAATGTTAGCTCTCTTCTTCTCTCCTCCCGATAGTCCACGATTCAGCGAGTTACCCATCTCTGAAACATAAAAGTGTTTTGAGGAAATCTGAGGTTTAAAGTAGATATTCATTGATTTTAAAAAACTAATTTTATTTTCATCATAGCAAAGTTGAAACTTTGATTTGACAAGGTTATCAAAATTCAATGCTTGGAAACATTCGAAGAAGTGATTATTATAAATTACAAAACGCTTAAATACAGCCCCGGCATAGCACCTGAAGAGCTCTCCGAACGCTGCTGAGATATGTGAGATCACTGTATGGACATGATTTGCACAAGCAGACGATGTCCAATGACATCTCACACATTTTCATTGCCTGTGTTTTCATCTTCTCTTGAGTTCTTTCTCTTACTTCACTACCGTCAGGCTAAATGTATAATCTATTGCCTCACTCTAAACCACGCGCATGGTTTTATTTTGATGACAAATGCAGCGATACAAAAAAAAAGGAATTTGTCGCTTGTAAACAAAATAAGACGCCATTGCATATTCAGCTGCGCACACCGCGGTATGTTCGGCGTTTCAAGAGGGAACAAATGCCGTCCTTAATATCATTCCGGGGGTTTTTCAATTTGAAAGTCTGGTTTCTTTGATTGTTAATTAACTCCTATTCTGTGTATTTACAAGCAAAATATTTTAGTTATCAGAATCGGGTTATATCCCCTTTTGAATGGTTTAACATGTCATTACATTTATATACACTAAACTCATTATAATTTGACAATTATGTTCATTCTTTATGGGATGTCGTCTGCTTGGGCAGTATTGGTCCATATAGTGACGTCATTAAAACATCGTTATTTTTCCGGCGAATCTCTCGTACATATCCCAGCTGCTATGGAGGTGGTTGTATTTGCATTTTTATAAATCACCCGATATGTAGTTGACCTAAAACTTGTACGATTGCCATCTGTTAGCTTACCAGTTTCTAGTGATACCTTAGTTGACATATTTGTGATTTTCTTTGAATTTCACCTTTAAGATGGTTGATGGTTGTGACGTCACACTCTCCAGTAAAAACTGATTCGTAGATGAATGAAATGGGTGAGATATTAATAGGACTTTGTAATCATCTTAAAGGCAGGCTTTACTAATTCAGCCAGAAGGGATTAGACCACCAAGCGAGCCAGCGAGGTCACTGTGAATGGTGGCTATCTTATTAACTCAGCTCTCATTTAACATAAGAAAAAGAGGATCATGGGGGACCAACAGGCACCGATTGGGGAAGTTTCTATATAGAGGGAGCAAGTAGCTACAAGTAGGACAGTGTGCCTTTAAGCAAGAACAACGTTTGACAAAGTGCATGCATATATGGGCGGCTATTGAGGCCAATATTAACACCCACAAAAACAAACAAAGAAGCATAAAAACAAACAAAGGTCAGAGCAAAATAGACAAAGTACCCAGAAGAAAGGACCAATTAACAAACAATCAAGCAAAGGTCAGAGCAAAATAACGGTTAACGGTAAGCAAATAGAAATCAATCACGAACATGAAAAAGGATAAACTCAAATAGACATCACAATCATCGTACGAACTGACACTCAAAGGACAACAGAGGGCGTTTGGTTTACGGTAAGGAAATAGACATCACGAACATGAAAAAGGATAAACTCAAACAGACATCACATCATCAAGCCTCGTTTGGATATGACGCGGCTAAACCGCGGCGATTTTTAAAGATTTTTGTTAAGGCGCACAAGGCTTTGGTTATTCTATTTCATGGCAAGGCAGATTTTGAGGCGGTTTGCAGCGCCATATATGATTGATACTTTTTGCTTCAAATTTTTCAAAAATTAAAACCACATGAGACATGCAGTAGAGAAAAGGGTTGGATCGAGTTGGAGCTCACGTCATCACGTGTTGTAATTAGGATCTAATTAATTACTCACTAGTATCGAGGCACTTGTGTAAGTCAAGAGTTTCGACGATGCTTCGAATCTTCTGCTTTTTGTCCTCATCTGTCAAGCGGCTGGGTAATCTCAGATCTGCTGTGAACTTCAGAGTTTCACAAAAAAATGAAGGAGACAATTATCTAAAATGTAATGGCAATTTCAATTGCAAATGATAATGGTGGATTTTAAGTCATCTACTACTATATTGCGCAAATATCCATCCCAGGGGATGCTTAATGCGTCTACAAAATACATTATATTAGTGCCGCGGTGGGACTCGAACCGCGAACCATGTGATCCGCAGTTGACCAGGGGTTCTCAAACTTTCTGGACGGCCCAGATGTGATTTGTAAAAAAGCTGTAAGGTCCGACATGGGGCGCCATTTGCTGGAAAGCCGGGCACGACTCAAGCATTACTCAATTTTGTTTCAAACTTAGACAATCTACTCCTAAATTTCCACTCTCTTTTTCTCCCGCTCTCTGTAGCTGTGTTAAACTTTGCTACCGAACGGGAGAGAACGTGCCCCATGTCCCCCCCCCCCCCCGTTTCTACGCCGTTCGATTTTACCGAGAAATGGTAGGTAGATACAGATATTTAGGATTTTGGGGTGGGGAAGGGGAACGAGGGGGTCTAGATTCATCTGTAGCACTTTAAAACAACCCTTCTGATTGATCCCCTTGGTACCAACACCCCCTTACCTTAAAAGTTTCCCTCAAAGTGAGTTCACTTAGGAACAAGTCTTCCTGTAACACGAAACTGATTTGTCTTCTTAAACGCTTGCTGATGGGTTGGCCATTCAGAAAAATACCTCCAGATTCTAGCGCCCTCTGTCGACCAGCCAAACAAGTTAGCAGAAGAGTCTTCCCTGCGCCTGTAACATGAAGAAATCATTTTTGTTAAGTCATGATTCGCCAGAATAGAATATTACATGTCGATTCAGGTAAGTGAAAAGTAATAACATGATGTAACAAAGAGGTGTTTCAGAAGCTCTTCTGTTTTTAACCACCACCCCTAAAATTAAATAAATGGATGAATGAATAAATGTAATTACCAAACGTTGTGAAACAAACACCTCCCCCCCCCCCCCATCTCCAACTTTAAAAAATAAAGGAAGTTTGATTAATGTAGCAACCATTATTTGCCCCTCCTACAAATAGGTATAGCACACCAAATATAATTACAACAAACACATGTTATTTGATGGTTACAAATGATCAAGCTTTATGAAAGCTTCAAAAAAAACAAAAAACAGAATTGAAATTGGTCAATGCGTTGTGATTTTATACCATTTTTTTGATATCGCAAAATTATCGAAAAACCTGCCAGAAATGGTCAAATTGTCAAAAATGGCATAATTCGACAAAGTTGACAACTTAATTCATCACTTTCTTGGACACAAATAATAAATTAAATTATCAGACACTAAAATATCATCTTTGTGGTAAAAAATACAAACAAGAAAATCTATTACCGTTTGAAAACAGAAGCCAACAAAATAAGTCATTTTTGTCATTTTTGTGAATCTGCAGATATAAAAAAGTTGTGAAAAATAACTAAGTCCGCCTAATTAATATGCGCATATGTAATTAAATCAAAACCGAACATGATACATCATTAAAACCTATGTATATCAGACAGGTATGGAAATATATTTCATTTGAAATAAAATAAAATCATGAATATTCATCAAATATGCAAATTAGGTCATTTCAGCTAATTATATATTCGCGCACTCATTTTGCAAATTGGGAAAGTCAGACTGTTCTTTTTTGGGGCATTTTTTAAATCATATATTCATAGATCATATTTACACCAAATATTTACCTTAAATTCCTAATATTTTGCAATGCCAATACAATATGGCGATGGAAATTACTTGGATCACCGTCACAGCTATTTCCTCATGTGTTTAACAAATTATTCAGAAAAACTGATCATATGATAAGAATTTGTAGACTTTCAGCTACATCACAGTATATTTTTCTTTAAAAAAAAATGTCAGATGTGAGGATTTATGACGATTTTTCGAGAAACCATTCAACAGGCAACAACATTTCACAGGGACTGAATTTCAGAGAAAAACAAAGTTTGGTGATCCCAGTTGTGGCTACCTTGAGTGTAAATAACAAATTGATTCAATGAGGGAAACACATGAGGATATTGCATATTACATTGAGGTGCATTTTTTTCACCACGCAGAATAGCAGCGCGAGTCAATGGGCGATCAGCGGGCCATGTCACACATGGCTGAAAAGACAATATTCTAATTCAATAATTAACATATTTTCCACATGCCTATAACAATGAAACTACACAGAATTGTAGTTAAAGGTATGTTTGAAATATATGTGAAATAAAAAATATTATATACCTCACTTAAGAAATCCAGCCATCTGATTGGTCGAATTGCATTCATAAACTTCAACTGTTCCTGTAAAATTCCCGGTAACCATGCATAAAACATTTAATATTTTTAATAACCATGGTTATTAAAAAAATAGGTCAGCCTCCATGGTTACCCCATAGGTTACATGTTAAAAAATGGTTTGAGCGATCGAGGATACCGTATGTGTGCGAAGGATTGGTCGGTAATTTCAATACAATTGAATCTCGATCGATCTTACCGACAATTTTATCTTGCATTGTTGACATGAAGACGAAAATAACTTCAAAAACAAAAAAACAACATCTGCCGATAGATCTTGATCTAAGTTCGTGCCAATATGCATTGCAAAAGTAAAAGAAGGGTGCTTTTGCGAAGCATTCATCACGCCGAAGCCGGTTTCAATCCATTTTAATGTATATATTGTACAAAACTGCCACGCATGTGAACAGCGCGCGATGGCCGAATGGTGTAAGGCGTTGGTGTAATATTCATCACTCATTGTACGCAAGGGTTCGACTCTCACCTTCGACAAAAAAAAAAAAAAAAAATTATTTTTTATTTTTTAGTCTATTTTTTTCGGCATATAAAAGTATTAATGACTGCTTTAATATTCGAGAAATAGTTGTTTTCATACGCTCTCGGGAAGGTTACAATTGGGCTATTCCCCTCGGCAAGCCTCGGGGAATAGCACAATTCTAACCTTCCCTTGAGCGTAATAAAACAACTATTTCTCTCAAAGCAGTCATTAATACTATATTGTTTAGTTTTTTTAAATACATTTGCAAAAATTGCTATTTCTACCAACTGACTGCTGTTGTGTGTGTGTGTTTGCGGGGCAGACTGTTTGCGCAGTCAGTGTGATCACCCTACTACAACTAAACCGGTACAAACCAGATTGAATAACACATAACTGGTACTGACCACTGACCACTAAACCGGGGCTGAGCCGGATTGAATAATACACAACACCGGTATTCTCCGCTCGGTCCCATGACTTATGTAAAATAAACCAGTACGAAACAGTTTGAATAACGCTGAACCGGTAACCACCACTTCAGGTCCCATAACTTATTATGTTAACTAAACCGGTAACAGTCAGATTGAATTACACAGAACCGGTACTCACCGCTCGGTCCCATAACTGCCATCAGTTGACCGGGTTTAGCCGTCCCAGACACTCCACGAAGAACCTCCCTTTTGTTGATGGTGAGAAAGAGGTCAGTGAACTCTAATGTCACTTGCTTCTGATAGCTTGCCATAATGGCTATCTTTTTATCCCGCTGGAAACCAAGAATAAAAATGGAGACAAACAAATAAAAAAATATATTCAATACTATATTCTTAGAAAGGCGAGGGATGAGTATTTAATTTAAAAAAGGGGAAATTGGCCTACTCACGAATCTATTGATGACACTGATAATAGTAGTAATAATAATAATGATATAGGCCTATATGATTTATAAGGCGCCAAATCCAATTAAAATTATTAAAATGCTCAAGGCGCACTAGTACAAAATATGAAAATACATAAACATATTTGCACACAAATACAACATAACACACGAAGAAGAAAAATCAGATCAACTAAAATCCAACTGAAAAAGTTAAGTTTTAAGGTTGCTTTTGAAAGATTCTACTGTAGGAATAATATCTCTGATCCCTCGAGATAAACAATTCCAGAGTGATGGCCTCCCGTTTACGGCTAGACTTTAAACATTCTAGGGTGTGCTCTCCCCCCACTTTGGGAAGAACGAGAAATCAAGGGTTTTGAGAGGGTAACAATACGAGCAAACATTATTTCTGAAATTATTGTAAAAAGGCAAGTCGGAGATAAGTTGAACAAGACAGCATTTCCGAACTCAAGGCGAGATGAAAATAATGAATGTATATAGGAATAACCTTCTTCGTTGCACTGCGAGTTATACGAATCCAAAATTACGCAACTGAAAAGACATGGCTGGAATGAATGACAACTGCAGTATAACAGTCAACAGGAACACACAGGGGAATTGAGAACGATGCCTTCAATAATGCTAGCATAAATAGGCTCTCGAATTACGATCATGAAAGTGTGCCGATGATGATGAAATGATAATGTTCATGAATACGATAATGACGATATTAATGGCCATGATTAAAAGTGGTATAGCGCCTCCTTCAGGTATTCGATAGAGAATTGTTAGACGGTAACTGTTAACTTGCTAAACATGCTCAAATTTCGACATGATCCCAACCTCTGATAAAAAAAATTAAAAAACGGAACGTTTCCTATAGCCCATAGTCTCAGCAATGACAAACTAAAATCGGGAATAAAAACAGCAACAATGAACGAGATACTGCTCAGAGAACAGTGTCATGTAGATTCATGATGTGAAGGATATTCACCTTTCATAGGCATAACACGCAAATTAAGAAAATTCTGACATGTCGCCTTTAATTGAAATTTTCACCATGATGACGTCACCAAATCGAAAAATAATGAATGTGTTAGCTACCACATTTTGAAAATATGGAAGTAAATTGATTAATATTTACAGAGATAAAATCAATTTTCCATAAATTTGCTGACGTCATAATTTGCAAATTCGTTTTTGAGTTCCAAGGCTATTTTGATGATGTCGGGATATATATAATGGCCAAATGAGACCTGAAATCATATCTACTGTGTTTCGATAGAAATTGCCTGGATGTATATTGAAAAATCGTTTCCACAAAAAAGTGGAGAAATAAATAAAAATAAATAAAGAAATAAAGAAAGAAAATTCTGACGAAATGAATAGGTGGTCTGTTGACAACAGATCACCTAATAATAATAAACGAGAATTTAATTTATCATTCAAAGGAATTAGGTGGTCTGTAGTAAATCTGAAACTGGAATAGTTTAAATATCGTTCAAGTAGAGTAGAATGATATATTTAGTGATTTGATGTTGTAGTATACATATATGGTCAAGATGATGGTGATAGGGATGATGACAATGATCATTAGGATAAAAGCAGAGATGACACTGGTGATTGGGAAAATAATGAGGATTTATGATAGTAATCATGTTGATATAAGTGATAATGATAATATCTGTGCCCTTTGTATTCTTATTTTACCTCTACCATATACTATGGGGAAAATCATGAATTGAAATACATTAGTTAGTGAATCACATAATCATAATTTCTATCATTATCATTACCACCTATATCACCATGATTGTCAAATCAGCATGACCGCTATTATTATCCTGATTTTCCCACTCGTCAGTGTCATCTCTGCTATCATCTTTATGATCATCGTCATCATCCTTATATCAATCATCATGATCATCAATTTCAATTTGTCCTATATAATTATATGATTCTACTGCTTATTATTTTTCAGTTATTCTATTTTAACGATATACCAACTAATTTCGTTTCAATGACGATTTAAATTGTCATGTTTTTCTCTATGGTACACTTGGTAAAGATGAATTAAGATTTCAAATGGCCAAGAAAAGAAATGGAGCAATCGAGGAACGTTCGAAGACATTTATGAGGGAGAAAATTAGGCGGGATAGGGAGAGGGTATATGAGGGTAAGGGAGATAGAGCAAGAATAAACAGGGAGAGAGAGAGAGAGAGATATGCGAGGGTGAAAGTGTAGAGAGAGAGAGAGAGATGAAGAGACAAAGCAAGAGAGGGAGAGGTCGGGGCAGAACAAAGGAGAAGGTTGAAAACGGAGCAAGAGAGAGAAGAGAGAGAGAGAGAGAGAGAGAGAAAGAGAAAGAGAGAAATGCAATGGAGAACGATGCATCCAAAATTTCAGTATAAAAAGAATTGAATATTTACTATATTTATAGAGAAAGAGGCATATATGCATGTATTATATGTCCGTGGGAGAGACGTAAACATCGCATATACCTGGGCTGATCGAATAACTAGAAAATATAAACGTCTGTAAAGGAGACTAGCATCATAGAACTGACACGATTTGATATTTCTCTCCTATAGATATAACACGCAAAATTAAGCATTTTATTACTTTTTTTGTGATTGCATATGATTATGATATAAATGTCGAAGAAGGTGATAAAATTAGCAGCATATAGAGAGTAATGATAAATCATGACTGGTCTGTATAATGCCATCCATTAATTTGCGCTCACTACCAAACATGCGATCGATAAAAATCTTTGAAAAACACTGCTATTATATATGATGGCTACATAAGCAGTTAAATATTAACAGGGACATATAGATATGGAGAATGTAATGCACTTACCAGACATAGTAAAAAGCTGGACAGGAGCGTGTTTCTAATTTTGGAGAAGGCTTTATATGTACATGACCATTGGTATATAATATTTCAGCTAAAACTTCTATGAACCCAAATTGGAATTTGTTGTAAATAGAGTGTATAGAGTCAAGTCTTGATCATCTTGTATGACAAGTACCAAGCACATTCACTGCATATGTGCATTGGGGTGGTAGTTGTTTGGTAGGGGCAATTGAAAACGTCTGTTTGGGGTCAGCTATGCCTAGTAATTAATTTTAATGTACAAAAGATAATATAATATTTATTTCTTTACCTGTTTGACGGATTTGAATAAAATTTGATATGAAGGTTCGTGGTATCAAAACAAAGGTCATAGCTCATTATATATGCGAATCTGATTTCCGATCCACAACTTTAGTATTGTTTGACGGATTTTAAGGAAATAGGATATGAAGGTTCATGGTATTAAAACACAGCCTAAGTTCGATTTCGGAGTATGTACTAGGTCAAAGGTCATAGCTCAATAAATATGCGAATCTGGTTTCCATTCGATAACTTGAGTAATGTTGGACGGATTTTAATGAAATATGATATGAAGGCACAGCCTAAGTTCGATTTCTGAGTATGTACATTAAAGTTGAAAGGTCATATAGCTCATTAAATATGCAAAAACATCTAATTACATATGTGAAAATGTGGTTAACTTCCTTGCCTATTAATATAATAGTATAGTCTAATGGAGGTAACTTGTTCTGACGTAATATAGGCCATTTGTACCCTGCGAGGGGATGCTACGCTTTGCGTTGACTTGTTGAACTTATTGGCATGCACCCAGTTGATTTTCATCATGTGTTAGATCTCGTTATTGAAAACAAGATCAAACACATCGTCATAATCTACAGAGTGCAACCAAAAATTTCTTAACAACAATTGAAATTTCTTTCAGGAAGCCTAACAATAAAAGCTGATTTTGATTCAAAGAGCATCGTAGAGACGATAAACAAACCGTCACACGTCGTTAAGCGTGAGACCGTTCATTCCTATCTCTCCCCGCCAAATAATCCGAACAAAAGAATCAACCGTGAGTTATCAACTGTACAACCCATCGTACGTGTTTTTAGTCCGTACGGTTTTGGGGGAGGCCATGGCCGCCACGTTTTTCTGAAAACGTAGGGTGGGATTGGCAAAGGCAGGAAGGGAGTACCGGGCACGCATGTCACACACACTGGGGTTGAGTCGCTAGCCCGACCGCAGCCCGAACGCAGCGAAAGTTCCCCGTGCACTAAAAGTGCTACGGTGTGTCTGTGGGCTCCCGAATCCGTACGGAGGCGGTACTCACCACGTACGGATACTCAAATTTTGCCCACGTTTTTGCACGTAGACAGCACGCACTTGCAAGTACGGTGGGTTGTGACTACTGCATAAACGAATCATGAGTCCTTGAAAAATTAATACTGCTTGTCAATTCGAGCCAGATGCATTTAATGGTAAGGTTTATTAAAGACAAAGATTCATGAAAATTGTCAATTGTGAGTTTATCGTCTAGACGTTTTGCAAAAGATAATCAGGATAATAAGGATCAGAATGATACCTCTACTACTAGGCCTACTTCTACATGCATTATACTACACTACTGCCATTGTTGATTATCATGACATTGCTTCACACAATAAAAATCCCATATGTTTTATACGCGCGCGGCTACAAGCCGTCACTTCGTGAAAACAAAATCAAAGCGTTCTATATAATTAGTGTTTTCACGAAATGACGGTTTCGTTAAAAGTTCAAGCAGAGGAATGAAAAAGCAGCTACAGAAAGAGGAAAATGTACTTTATCTCCTAGTTCGAGATATCTTGTCTGTACATCAATTAAAACATAACGTTTTGCCGTATTTAGTGTCCATTTCGGAAATTCCATCCACGAGAGAAAATTCCGGATGTTTTACGCGCTGCTACGAGCCGTCACTTCGTGAAAACAAATCACAGCGCGTCCTTGAATTTCGTGTTTTCACGAAGTGACGGTGATGTTTACAGTTCATTTTCACCTAAAACATAAGAAATTATGGAAATAATTAAACATAGAACTAACATTGAGATATGTTCTATCCCAGGATATAACATTTATTCGCATTACATTAAAGAGGTTGAGATTATAATTTGAAAGTTTGAAAGCGATTTATTCAAAACTAACTTTCTTTTATAACTTTCGTTTTTATATATAAAATATCAACAATATCTAATATTGTTCTGGGGATTAGCCTCTACATGTATTTAGTTGTTCTTTGTTTACGGACTTTAGATTTTTTTCGCTATTTGTTTCTCTTAATCTTATTGTTTGTTAGATGTGTATTTTTTTATATGTCTGAACATGTATGTATACTTGTTTTTTTTTTATGAACCACATGTGGAAATAAATTTTGAACTTTTAATTGCGCGCTCATCCGTCGCTTCGTGAAATAGGGACGATTAATGTCTGGTAGCCCATACATTCGCCTCCATGCCAACGGGTTTCCTTTTACAAATTTAAGCTTTCGGTTGATGTACTGGTCGAGGTTCATTATTTGCTGGTCCAAAATTTGAAATTATGCGAGCCAAATATTGGTACGTAATGGTGACCAGCAGTGACGTAATGAGCAAAAAACGTTTGGGAGGCAGACAAAAAAAAATCCGGATCACCCCATTCTCTTACATGCAGGCCCCGCTGAATGTTTTTCAAAGTGGGTGGGGGGAGGCTAAAGTATTTCGATAAGGTAGAGCGTAGCGTAAATTTGCGTGGGGTCTAGGGGCGGAAGCTCAGGGGTATGGGCAGATGAGCATATTTTGAAACCTTATTTATGACACTGGCAGGTTGCTGATTGGCGTGGGGTCAAGGGGGCTGAGTCCCATCAATCTCGGGAAGTTTAGTCATTTTATAACGGTCAGATAAGCATTCAGGGGCCGCCTTTGGGGTCCAGGGGGCAGAGCCCCCGGAAGCTCAGGGGTTTTAGGCATTTAATTACGGTCAGATGACCATAATGTTGATACCTTTGATACCTTTGGTACCTTCTTTGTGACACTGGCAGGTCACTAATTGGCGTGGGGTCCAGGGGACGGAGCCCCCGGAAGCTCAGGGGTTTTAGGCATTAAATTACCATCAGATTAGCATCCAGGGCCGCCTTAGGGCCCTATGCGGGGTCCAGAGCCCCTGAAGCTCAAGCGTTTAAGGCATTAAAGATGGTTAGATGAGTATCAAGGGGCTCGCCTTTGGGCCCTTGGTTTGGTACAGGGGGAAGAGCCCCCGAAAGCTCAGGGGTTTTAGGCGTTTAATTACGGTCAGATGAGCATATTCGCCTTCGTTTTGAGGGAAGTTCTAAATTAGAATTATTTTTTGATACCTTGTTATTTTGTGACACTGACAGGACAATATTTGGCGTGGGGTCCAGGGGGCGGACCCCCAGAATTTCAAGTGTTTTAGGCATTTAATTACCGTCAGATGAGCATCTAAGGGCCCGCCTTAGGGCTCTAGATGGAATTCAGGGGGCAGAGCCCCCGGAAGCTCGGGGGTTTTAGGCAGTTAATGACGATCAGATGAGCATATTCGCCTTCGTTCTGAGGGAAGTTCTAAATTAGAATTATCTTTGGAATGCTGTTGGAATTTAGCCTTTTCACCTTTTTAGGCCTTCAAATTGGACATAGCATACATGAGGTAAACATATCATTCCCCACTAAAACGTTCTTATTAATTGTTATAAATGGGACCCTATATTTTGTTACTTCTATTTCTACCTCTATAACTGACTATAAACAGAGGGATCAATACATGAGGATGTAGTAATAAAGAATTGAATTGGAAATCTATAAGGATTATGTGTATTGTCTGGTATAAATTTGAAACACACGCACACACAAAAAACTCACCGAAAGCAATAACTTGCGTAGGCCTACTCCTATCCTGGGCACAAAAAGATCAAAAATTCAAATAAATTCCGAGCTACTGTCGTCTAGGCATCAGCACTGACAATTACAACGAGACAAATTCATCCTTCCTGTACTAAGTTATTCCATAAATGTCCATCTATCCTCGAACGAATATAAATTTCCAGTTGCCAACTCAAAGTATCATTCGAACTACTTATGTGTCTAATGCTGAGCTTGATCAGTTCATAATGTGGATGGCTGAGTGCACTTTTTCCCGGATAATAACATTGGCGGAGAACCCCACATGGCCCCAATGTCAATGATCAGATTCGAACGATGCTCCACTGTTCAAAGCCAGCAGACCTGATCTTAGTAAACACGAGGTACCTTACAAATGACAATGACTTACAAATGAATAAAGTCTATAGAGTGGTGAAGTGTGACGTCATCAAAAAGCTATTTTTAGAATTTCTCAATTTTTTCTTCATATTCCGAAAGAACATCAAAAATAATGTCCAAATGTCGAAAACCAATTGAATATGTTAAGTATTGGCTGAGATATGACCATCTGTATGAATATATGTCCTATGGGAACTCAGTGTTATATGCTCTGGCTCCTAACCATTAGGAGCCAGAGCATATAACACTGAGTTCCACGAACACGTGGCTTAAAAATCCGTCCCGATTTTTATGATGTAAATTACATGACATATTTAGATAATGACGGCATTTGAAGAGCCATGCTTTTTAGGGAACATGTTTTATCTGATGTTCTTCTTCACTTGCATAATAACAATGATAACGCTCACAAATTATTTTTCACCTCTTCCGAGAACTCAACCTTCTCTTCAATAGCTTTTGTTTCCTCCACTTCGAAAAGAATAATCTACTGACACTTGTTTATCATGAGTGATAGTTTGAGCAAATTCCGAGTAAACATAAGAAAGTTATGAATTGTTGAAGTTCCGCTTAATCAAACACAAATTGGCAACTCTGTGGCGTATAATGAGAGGTCCCCTCTCATTTGCTCTGTAGTACAAACACACAATATAATTATTGTAAACATGTTTCTATACTGTAAGCATGGACCCTACTACAGATGGACTAATAATGAGAGTCTTTCTTTGATCACGTCATGACCACCGCCACCTGATGTTGATGAGGACATTATGTAATCCCGCATCATCACAGACAAAAGAACCTTTTATATTTCTTCTAGTTTCAGGAAAAGTATCGTGATTTAAGACCAGTTAGAGGAGCAGTGAACCCCAAATTAGGAACATTTGTGTGATATTAGATTGATTATTAAAATGGTGGACACCGGTGGACATACATTTGGACTTGCCAAACTTTGAAAAATACCTATACTTTATTGTCCTATTACTTTCTATTTCTTGAACATTGATAGGATATGTCTTTTAATGAAGTTTAAAATCATTTAATTACAGCCAAACTTACAGGTATCTATTGTAAACTACTTCTAATTTCTTTTTGAAAACTTCATATACGTCAGTATTAATATGTACGCCACAACTGCATATGCATTTCCGTGATTTTAAGCGCTTCAGTTTCTTTTGCGCAGGCATTTTGTTGATTCTTCAAGGCACAGTTTTTTTTTATGGCTGACTGGCGGCGGTCGTGATGAGATCAAAGCTTGGAAGCATGTTTAAAACGTCATTATGATACTTTTGACAGAGTCAGGTGCATGAATGAATTATGGTACCGATCAGTGTCCATTTGTAGTAGGTCCATGCTGTAAGGAACAAATCTATTCCGTCATCAATAGCTAAGAAAATGACCGTTTAGGAATTTTGTTCGTACAGAGCAAATTGGAGAGAACCTCACAAGATACGTCACAGTGTTGCCAATTTGTGTTTCAATGATGACAACTTCAACAATTCATAAGCTACACCTACTTTTAATCGGATATTGCTTAAACTTTCACTAGTTTTTCCCTGCTTTTATTAATATCAGCTATCATATTCCACATACTAAGAATCATGCTCTACGATTGGTCAAAAATAAATCACGTTATGAAAGATAGTTATAGCCCATCATTGATGGGAAATGAACAGTTCGTTGCACTGTGTAGATAGTAGTACTATCTACACAGTGCAACGTACTTTCATTGTATACGCTGCGTATTGCTCTCCTCTTTAAGCGCTTTTAGTGTTAGTACGCGAACTTTGGTCACGTGCAAACTATATGTATGGTCACATCACCATACTACATGCACTGTACGTATCGTACACCGTTTGCTAGCTGTTAATTAAAGATAAACTTTAGTACTGGTAATGCGATTGCATTGTGAAAGAAAAGGTGTGGAAAGGATCAGAAACAGTTGATCATGTAGCATGTAGGTATTGGTGTGCACTGCAAGGTTCTGGAGTCATCAAAATCATAATAAATTTGACCGAGTCTTGGTAAAGTAACAAACACTCACATAGAAAGCTATATATGGGACAACACACATGGTGTCGGGGCTAGTACTACCTTGATTTCCTTGTCTTTCTATGCTCATTACTCAGCCAGTATACATTTTCTTCCAAAATTGTTTGGCACATGTCATTTATTTGTAATCTTGAACATTCAGTGTAAGTTTCGTTTGATTCTGTGAGAATTATTATTTTTTTTTTTTACCAGTACTGGAGTTTATCTTTAATGACTGGTTGGTCTCAAATGACGGAAGAAGGGGGGGGGGGTTCAACCCCCCCCCCCCCTTCTGCGTACGTGCCTGACTGAAGGTATAGGTTAAAAACACTTAGTGCTTCGAATCGCGTGGTATAGCTCAGCTTATTATCGTGGGGGAAGCACCGACGATACAAAACCAGAAAGCTCCATTAGGGCAGGGATTCTGTACTTTTTACTCTCATTTTTTCGGTGTAAATCAAGATAGTTTTGTCGACTTGACATATAAGAGACTCGAATAAACAGTATTGATTATAACACTATTTTTATTTTCATATATATAAAATACACGTACCTTGTTTTTTTTCTCAACCACTTTTTCGAAATCCCACTTTATTCATAAATCAGTGTAAATAGAATCACATTGCATTTTGTAATAAAGGATAACAAACCCCTTTCTACATATATGCATGGTTACTATGAGGGGGTGAATGAAACTACTGACAGAAAACAGAACTCCAGATTTGGAAAACATCTAGAAAGAAATACGTTTGCATGAATTTACATTTGCTTATCATAACGTTTCTAATGTTGCAGTTCTTTGTGTTTACTGGTAAAGGCTTGTCATTTGCGGTGGTAAACTGCTTGTAGGCTGGCTACAGCTAGCTAGGTAGCACTGTATGCATTAATTGCATGTTCGCACAATTGTATTTGACAAGACAGGTGAAATGAATACATATTTACTCCGGTGGGTCTGTAAATATTCAAGAGGTGGAAAGAGAATATTTTGATTATTCTACAGACAGTTTCCAGAGATGGATATTAAAACTCTTTCCGATTGCAATTGCTTTTTGTACTTTTGTGTTTGGCCCCTTTTTTGGTGAAGTTCGTATAGCTCTTTGGCGTGAATTCCTTCTCAAATATTCATTTATTTATGTATATATATATTTATTTATTCATTTATCTATTAATTATTAATTCATTTGTTCATTTATTTATTTATTTATTTATTCAGTTACTCATCTATTTATTTATTTATCTCTTATATTATTACAGTGTTGCACAAATTCACGAACAGTGGTGGTCTAACATGCATGAGGCCCGGTTTGTTAACATCAATATTTAATCATGAATATACAAACTCAACAAAGACAACAAAACAAAATACAAATTAGAATAAATATAATATATACATATTCTTTGGTATCCTCGAAATATAAATGCGAATATTTTCAAGAAAAATACTCTTGCATATTATTAAAATATTTTATAACACGTATAGAATTTTTAGATTATGTGTATACAATCATGATTATTCAGATGTTTTTTTTCATAATGAACCTCATATTGTTTCGGATGTTCATTTAATAAAGTTGGAAGACGATCTTTGCTCAATCTGCGTGATAAAGAATACCAAAATTGGTATACATGTATACATACGCAAGGATTTGTAAACATACATGTATATACATAGGATATAAAATTATTACAAGTTACTATTGCGGTTTGAATAATACGCGTTGAATGCTTGCAAGCTTAAACACGAAAGCAACTATACCGATATGTTTGATAGTGAATAAGGGGCTATGTGAAGGAGAGTCCATCAAACAAGTTTGCATAGCAGAACAATAACACGAAATATCGCTAACAATGAAAAGCATTAATTAGGGGGAAGGGTGTAATATATGCTTTTCAATAACAATGAGTCAATTCTTTATCATGTTAATGATTCTAAAATCTTATATCATCGATTTGTATGTAGGACATGATCAATCTTTGCGCTTGCTTCCAGACAGTGTGACAAACGCAAGGATCTGACCAGAGCTCAGCGTTTTTGTTGTTCATTGATCTCCAGACCCGTCATTCCTCGATTGGTCAAGTAGTGGATAACTGCCACTGCTGATACGATGGTCAGTGATCATTGAACGACAACGACGACGAATCTGATGATGATGACCGCGACACGACCACAATGGTTTCTCCTGTCATGATCATATCGTTCAGGAGTCTACATTTGCCGCACTCGACCAAGGTGTAGTAAATAGGTACCTGGTAGGATTTATTCACTGTATACTGAGCGATAAAACCGGGGCAATAATATCCAAAGTCATTTGAAGGCGTATAAAAACGTTATATCATACAGTGATACAAGGTTATATATAGAAACAGAAATTATATCTTATTAAGTCGTTAGTTCATACTCATTACAGTGCCATGTAACGGATCCAGGTCACAGCTGTGGTCTGCGGAATCTAAGCATCAAATACGCCAGAAAGTTGAACGTGACAGTGAATCCGACAAGTGCCATGTAGGAGCCCCAAATAGGAAAACTGAAATTCAGCAAGACCTCGACGATCTGTGCTTCATTTAAAATTCCACGCGTACTTGTGATCGACGTGGAATTCGATACGATAGCGCCCGATATTGCGCTCATGTTGGTACTGATGTCGTCTGCTTTGCTCAATGAAAGACAATCTCCAAACTCCGAGATGACTGTCGTGTTACAGCTGCCGAGACAAATAAACAAACAGAAAGATAGAGAGAAGGTTGGGTTGTAAAGGTCATACATATAATATGCGAGCTTCCCATACTTTTTAGGTCAGTGTGGAAAAAAAATCACAGAAGAAATTGGCCATGAAAATACCGATCATTACACTAAATATGATTTACTATTTCGATCTAAAATATGTTATGGAAATAGAAATTGAACAAGTACAGCAGCAACATAAAAAAGCAATCCTTAAATTCCAAGTTCGGGAATGTAGTAGGTAACAATTACCTTTTCCATTATTACATGCGAGTTTTTAACCTTATGTTGACTACAACAGGGGGTCAATTTGACCCCCTGTTGTAGTTTAGCGACTACTCCGAAACCACGGCAGATATAAAGCTTTCCTTTCATGACTTTTTTCTTCCGAGTCTTACGCATCTTTTAAAACAATCTTTTTGAAAATTGGACGTAATGTTACAAAATCACGTGACCTTTTGTCTTTGCATGTCAGCCCGAAAATCGCTCATTTTTTTGTGATTTGTGTACAAAACAAATGGAAATATCATTTTTCCTAAAAAGAAAATAAATATTGGTTATTTAGTCTTGTTTAAAGTTTAGGTGCTTGTTTAGGGTCAAAATATTTGAATTGTATTTAAAATACATAAGTTAAAAAAACAGTGAAAGACAAAAGACATTTTCAAAACAACAGATAACATAAGGAATTACCTGGCTCTTCCAATTTATTTGTCGTCTTATTATTCTAAATGGTCTAACGAATATGAATAATATATGATTTATGGGTAAAAAATGAATTTTAGACCTTATTTGCATAAATTACCATAAATATATAAATGAGTAAATTTTTCAAAAAAATGAAATTACCATAGTACTCTTTATACTTCATCTGACATGCATGCAAATTTTTGCGGCGATCGGCTGTGAAACGGCTGACCCCCCCCCCACCCCCCCCCCCCCCCCCCAGTACAAATCTGGTCTGAAATAGCCCAGTTAAAATCACCGGTTAAAATAGGGTTAAGACCATGCATGACATAGAAGACAACGAGAAACGGCCCATGATCGGAACCCCCACCCTGCCCCTCCCCCTCCCCCATCCACCCCTTATGAATCCTTACCTAATAGTTTGTGGAACCAAGACAAAGACAGTAGAGAGAAGAGCTCTATACACGTATGAAGTGAAGCTGATATATCGCAACCAGAAGAGGAATATGGGTAAATTCTGTACATAGAAGCCCCCTAGAAGCATAGAGGTCAGCATAGTCAAAGCAGAGGTTGTGATTGCTTGTCGTATATTTGAGCAAGCTGCGCTGATAAACCGTCCAATAGCCTGGTGGTATAAACAACAAATCATAATACGTAATTTACAAAGATTATAGTGTAGCCACTTCACAAATATACCCTACTGCGCTGAACACGCTTAATCTTTGCCTCTTTGCACGGTGTCTCGTTTGCCAAGCGTGCAATTTTAATCAGAACTATTTACATGTACATTGTAAAAACCAGGATGTAGAAATGCTTACACCAGTATGGTGATCAATTTTTTTGAAACCATTGGTGTTATTTTGACACCAGTGGTGTTATTTTTAACACCAGTCAAATTTAAGCATGCATTAATAATTACTGGGTGTAATATGGTGTAGTTTTATGATCGGTGTTGAAAGTATCATCACGTGATTTCTTAAGGTGGTTGATTGGTCGAATAAGTTTTCACAAAGTGTATGCGCGCTTAATGATTACTTTACACGTGTTTACAGACAAATACATTTACCGATATCATGATTTGTTAAGCAAATTATGACAATGCACATCCATTTTGTGATTTGTATTTTCCTTTGGCAATTATTGACCAATAGATTATTTGTCCGATCTTGTTACAATTACGATAACGTTTTAGTAATAGATATATTGATTATATGATTACTAACTAAGAAACAACATGCATGGTTATTATATATTCGTTTACCAGCCTCTATCATTTAAAGGTACTATGTCCCATTTGCAGGCCCAAAAAATGAAAAAGTTAAATTCCAACTGCATTTGAAAGATAATACTAATTTAGAACTTCCCTATAAAATGTGGGGCTTGAAAATGTCTTCAAGTGGGAAAATAACGACTATTAGTTGTCAAATCGACTTTAGGGCTATATAGAGCACAAAAGTAATAGTCTTGATTTTCAGACAATTGTACCGAATGGTCATACGTTTTATGCTGCGCAAAGATTCAATCAGTTTAATCTTGGCCATCACAAGAAGTGGGTTATTGATGTAGACAAATGCTCATGTACCCTTTACAACTCTTTTCATGTATTTCATTACCAAAGATGAAAAAAAGCGAGTCAGTCACTCAATAGTGTCTGACAGTGAAGTCTAGCCAGTAAACGGGTTTCCTTGCATAATTTGAATATGAGGACACTGCTAACGTTTAAATTTCACAGATAGGACATACATGACATATTCATAATTCCTGCAAAGTTCTACAGCATTTGAGGTTGGCTGCAAAAGGGACATAGTACCTTTAAATGTTAATCTTAAATTTACTTCAAATGATATGTGTGATGGATTTAATGCAATGGAGATTCGAATATACCTATTGGTGGACATTTGCCAACATCGATTATGAATTATCAGTTTACCACTGGTTCTTCTACCCTGGTCGATAATGGTCGATAATAAGGAATATGGAATATGGGACCATTATAAACCCATAGAAAAATCTCTAATGGATCAACAAGAATGTAAACACCAAAAGTGGAATTGATTTTGTTGTGATTCCTGATATTGGTGTTAATCTACACCAGTAGGAGTTGTCAAATATTAACACCAAGAGTGGAATTGAATTATTTAATTCCGAACCCTGTTGTTAATTAACATAAGCTGGTGTTTTCCGATATAGATACCGGGAAAGTGTTAAAATTAACACCAATGGTGTTGAATTTAACACCCTTGTTTTTGCAGTGTAGGCACAAGTTAACGGAAGGATTTCATTTTGCAGAACGATTTCTAGCGCCGAGCTGCGCTGTTGGGTTCTCGCATCAGGTCTCTTGTCTGCGAAGTGGAAATTAGCTAGATTTTGGGCTACGCACTGTTGGAAAGTTGACCATATTAAGAAGGCGCTGTGTGATAAACAGTATGCTAAGGCAGGAAGTTCATCTGTTCAGTATCGCTTTAAAGGGACACCTCCCCCCTGCATTTGTCCGCTTACGGTGCATGGACTTAATTCAATCGAAGGCAAAGATCTTTTTATTAAATTCATACTGCACTAGAAGCACTATCGCGAAATCTCTTTTAGCACCGAGCTGCACTGTTGTTTCTCGCATCAGATCCCTTGTCTGCGAAGTGGAAATTAGCTAGGTATTGGGTTACGCACTGTTGGAAAGTTGACCATGAGATGGCGCTGTGTGATAAACAGTATATGCTAAAGCAGGAAGTTCGTCTGTTCAGTATTACTTTAAAGGGACACTTACCTGCCCGGCCTGCACGTTAAGTAGAAGAGTCGCAACGTAACAGAAGAATACTAAGACGGATTTATGAAGCCCAGCCATCCAAAACGTAATAGTCACGGAGACTATAGTCAATGTGGAAAACAGAGGAAGTACTCCAATGACCTTTGACATGAAATAAACCGATAGTCTGTAGGCACCAGCCGCACGTTCCTTGGCCAACACAGCGCGTTCAAGTTGAACTGCATGGATAGAGAATTCATAACAGGAAATCAATTAAAGAGAAGGCAGTGTTCGGGTAAAGGTGAAATATTTTGTGTGCTCTTTTCATCGTTTTAATGTTGAAAGAATATCCTAGAAGTAATGTTTCTAGCAAAAAGGGATTGTTCTTCTTTCGCCCTCATATTCGAAGGAGACAGAGATAGTAGGTGATGTGTTTGGGTCAAACCTTCATGCCAAATATGCTGTGTAATCCCCACAATATTATTCGTGCATGTCTCTTTCAGCAAGAACCCAACAGCTCAAAAGGGTCTGTTTTACCATTCTGCTTTTTTTGTAAAATCGAATCTGCGGTGTATATTTAAAAAGAAAACAAACCACCAATCTGGCATACGCAAACAAAAAAAATCGCATATCTGTTTGCATGGAATAAGCTTTTGTATCATCTAGTGACTAGAACATAACTGAATGCTTAAACGGAAATTTTTTGATAATGATGTGAATGGCACTTACACGATGTCAGGCTGCTGTAAATCGATTCAAATCCCCAGTAGGCAGACATGAAGAACATCTGGTGGGGATATACAAATTTTAATATTGATACCAATAATAAAATAGTAATGATGATGATGAGGAGGAGGAGGAGGAGAAGGAGGAGGAGGAGAAGGAGGAGGAGGAGGAGGAGGAGGAGGAGGAGGAAACGGAGGATATTAATGATTATATAATAACAATATGTGCTCATATTGTACTCATCTAATAAACCAAAACATATTCACAATACTATTCGGTAGAGTATGTAGGATGGGATTGAAATGAGGTTATTTTCTTCCCCCCCCCCCCCGCCCCTTCCCTCAACTATTCTGTTCGGATGCCTAGAAAAAAAAATCAGTACAGCTTGGGGATGAAATGGATAAGGGTTGATATACCAAACTTTTTTACTTACCAATCCGGAAATATCTCTGATATTTTCCTCTGCGAACGTTACTTGGAACCACAGTGCCCCCGTAACACACGCCATCATTATATGCTTTGAGATATCAAGCTTGGAAAGAACCAAATATCGGTTCTGTTTAAAGTTCCTGTGGGTCAACGTAAGGAGCTGGTGGAAATATCCCGTCGGCCATTTATCTGCGTTTGCGTACGGGTCAGCGTGAAACTTCTGACTTTCCTTGGTTGTTTTGGCTTGTAGATCACGGCATACCGATGTATTGAGGGATGCCATGACGCAGTTGTTTTGCGACGAGTTACCATTGGTGTGTGAACTGTTAGTGGTCACGTGGCCTGCAGATGGGCTTCTCACTTGGTCATCAGCCTCGTCAATGACGCAGTCGACGAAGACGGAATTGTCAAAGCTGCCGTTCTGCAAGCTCCCAACCGATAAAGCTGTATTTCCCAATCAAAGCGGGAAACGTATGGGAGAAACGCAGGAAGTAATTAGTATCAGGAAGTAATGTGATGTAAAGCCCTGTGGCCCGAATTCACAAAGGAGGTTTGTCGACAAACCTTGGTTTTCGTACGTCATATGATGCGTTTTACGCGTTTTTTTTTACAAACCTGGTTTGTAAAGAACAAAAGGAGGTTTGGCAAAACAAAAGGAGGTTTGAGCTCAAACCTTGCTTTGTGAATTCAGGCCTTTACGTATAACGTAAAGGCAATGACAGAATGTTATTTTAAACATTATAGTGCCCTCTCCGGCATGTGGAATCTCGACTTCCATCTTCCCGCCCAAATTGCCATTCACCATTTAACCCATCTTAGTGCTAATATCATCAACCCGCTTTGGCACCCAACATGATACCCAACGAACTCGGCAACCATTTCCGCAAATATATTTGCACCCATTCGTCATCCTGCCTGACACATAACTGGACATCGTATCGACATCCATCATGGTACTCTAATCGCCCTTTACCTTGAAACCCATCTTGACAGCCAAAGTGGCACCCAACTCGGCGACCAAATCGGCACCCATTCGTCATCCTGCCTGGCACATAACTGGACATCGTATCGACATCCATCTTGGTAATCTAATCGCCCTTTACCTTGAAACCCATCTTGACAGCCAAAGTGGCACCCAACTCGGCGACCAAATCGGCACCCATTCGTCATCCTGCCTGGCACATAACTGGACATCGTATCGACATCCATCTTGGTACTCTAATCGCCCTTTACCTTGAAACCCATCTTGACAGCAACCTTGGCAGCCAAAGTGGCACCCAACTCGGCGACCATATCGGCACCCATTCGTCATCCATTCTGACACAAAATCGGCAACTACAATCGCAACCATTTCGGTACGCAACTCGTCACCCACACTTTACCCAACAAGAAACACAACTTGGCAGTTAGCCATGAATCGAATTCGGCACCCACTTTCATCTGAGTCGTAACCTATCTCTGCACCAAACTGATCACCCATATCGGAAATAATCTCGGTACTGGCCCAACTGGGTCTCTACCTCGGCATCCAATTCGGCACCCATTCGTGATCCATTCTGACACAAAATCAGCGACTACAATGACAACCATCTCGGTACCCAAGTCGGCTCTGTAAGTGACCCCCCCCCCCCCCTAAAATAAAATCCAATTTTAACCAATCCCAGCACAAAACTTAGCACTCAACGTCGCACCCAACTCCGCACTCCACCCAACATGAGATTAACCTTCCAAACCAACACCCAGCATGACAACCATCTCCTCTCCAACTCCATCCCAAATCCGCACCTATCTAGGCACCTAACGTCAAACCTAACCGGTCAACAAATTCGGCAAATATGGATGGACTTACCGCGATTAATGCTCCCACGTGGCTCTCTCATTTCATTTTCCGCCATCGATTCAAACGTTTTTTGGACAAAGGTGGGTGTGTGCTCTCCGCGGTAGTGATGATTCCATGACTGCGCCTTAGCTGCGGTGTGGATCTTCTCCCGTTCCTCTTCGGTCCCTTTCACTATATCCACTGGAATAGATTAACATTACAAATGTATTAATCCATCAGATGTAGCTAATAAACGATTGAAATCTTAGTGTGTCACTGAGATCATAAGCCACTTCGGAGATACCACATGAGCTGCGCATGGACATTTGTACAAAACTGTGAAATCCATCGAGACGACCGCTGGATACGTGGTCATGAAAGTTATTTGATCATTATTCGCTTATGCACCGGCGGTACATTTATGATACGCAGTTGAAAGTGTTCTTCTCATGAGGGCAAACAAGATGTATTCATGAAGCCTATCCATCCATTTGGCAGTGATTATTCTAAAATGCACAGTGGAACGTCCCATGTGTAAAAGACCTGTAGATATTTGGAGGATGTATGTACATTGTACTAGTGCTATCTCCGCAGTGGCTGATATCCCCGTGCCTCATTACCTCTTTCTAAAATGTTTTTTTTTCCAAAGGCTTCTCTATAAGTTCATAATTAATTTACAATATAAAGTTATAACACCTGGCTGGTATAAGGGATGTTTTGAAGTTAGTAAAATCTGATGTATGTTAATTGAATACTAAGAATTCGAATTTATTTCACGTCTACTTTTTTATTTGAGCATTCTCCATATCAACTGGAGATTATGTACAAAAACTAGTCATTATGTATGTTGATATCCTTTAATACATTGCTAGATTTGTCGTCTTTCTCTCGATAAATGCCACAAAACATACATCGTATCCGGACACATATCCCCTGGAAATCCACCCCGGATAACCACCAATAAGATAATCACCCTCTAGGACAACCACCGTCTAGGACGACTACCCCCTAGGAAAACTACCCCCGGACAACTAACTCCTAGGACAACTACCCCCGGACAACTACCCCCGGATAACTACCCTCCAGAAAACTCCCCTAGGATAGTTGTCTGGGGGTAGTTGTCCTAGAGGATAGTTGTCGTAGGGGGTAGTTGTCTGAGGATGGTTATCCTTGGGGTGGTTATCCGGGGGTGGTTATCCAGGGAGTAGGTTTCCTAGAACCAACATACATATATAGTCGGCTGGATTATAGTGCGGCGGGCATTGGAGTCCTAACCGAGCAAAGTAATCAACCACCTGGTCAGCATCTCCGGAGTATACAACCTAGATAGATATATATATATATATATATATATATATATATATATAGAAAAAAAGAGAGAGAGAGTGAGAGAGAAAGAGAGAGAGAGAGAAAGAGAGAGAAAGAGAGAGAAAGAGAGAGAAAGAGAGAGAGAAAGAGAGAGAGAAAGAGAGAGAGGGGAAAAAGAAAAATACATAGTTAAGGAAAAACCGAAAATTGCGCTGAATTCATAGTGATCAAAATGATTGCTCACGTTCCCCCCCCCCCCAATTTTTTTTTTTTTTAATTAAAAAAAAAAAATTAAAAAAATGATAATGATAACAAATTAATACATAAATAAATAAATATAAACAAAAACAGCTTTTTGATGATCAACGAACAATATTCTGTATTATGTATATACATGTAGCTTCCATACTTGATGCAAACTACGACGTTGAATTCAAACTTCTAAATTCATGATTCTAGAAAAATATTGAATTTTGTATGGATGACACCGTAAAGGTAAGAGATATTTAAAAGTATATCAATCCACTGTTTTCAATCAACGAACAGTTTTCCCTATTTCGTCATTCATATTTTCTTTTCTTACAAAGTAGTGTGACGTTTCATGAATTCTTGATTCGATTCATCGACTTTATATGCGTGACACTGAACCTCGTTGATACTCTTTGCTTTACCGGACATGTAGATTATATAACTTTTCAATTTTCTCTCTCAAAAGTAATGTCGGAAGCTGCACGTTTGGATATGATGAGCCCTAATTATTCTTCTTTTTCTAATGATTCGTGCCCTCGTTTACTTTTCTTTTTACCTTGCAAGTAGATAATGTAATTCCTTATGTTTCTCTCTTAAAAAAAGTAATGGCGAAGCTGATGCACCCAAAACATTCATGATGTTGGAAATCCAACCCGAATAGACAACAAATTATTTCAATCTGGACAGCAGAAATCCAGATTTACACCAAATTTGTTTAATTGTCAGGTTCTGGGTTTTTCTTTTACTTTTCTTCAAGGCTATGTGAAAGATACCAGTAGCCAGAATCAATTACAAATTTATTGTTACCCTTTTAGTGATGGTTCTGCTTAATCTTAAAATAGTTCATTAATTGCACAATAATCAATTAATAAATTACACATGAATTGTTAATTCATTTAAGATAACTATTGAATACTGTCCAAAGGAATAAATATGACATTTGTAATTATGTTAACTGTCAATTGGTGATTTAACAATAAAATCAAAATCAAACGTACTACATGATGCATAATGAATATAATTTTCTGATATGTTTTAATCGCTTTGTGTTTTAAGACGAGGTACATGAAAAGAGAGTGAATGCATGATCATGAAGAAAGGTTGAGAGAAATATCATTTTGTTCTTGCACAAGATAGGAAATAAAAAGGAACAAATACCATTGTTTCTACTAATTTATGACAGAGATTTGTGACTTTTTGGTTTAAAAAGGGCTTAATAAAAAAAAGTATTAAATAGCATTTTCTGTGTTTTTTTTACAGTCCATAAACGAAGAAATAGTCCAGAATGGAAAAAAAAAATCAGAATTTTCAACTATTCTAAACGAAAGCAGTAAAATAAGAGAAGCAAACTGATGAAAGTTGCAATTAAATCAGATTAAATATAAGAAAGTTATGATTTTGTAAAATATGCAATCACTTTACGTATGCGCACTTCAAATTGGCTGAAGCGGTAATGCCAATGTGATGTAGTACCGGAATACTCTCCCATCTATTCCAACATATAAAATGACTAACATTTAAATTTTCCAAAATTCATGGCTCAGGAGGACCTATAATAATATGCTATCTATAATATATTTTGAGTAGTGCCCCAAGGGAGAAGGAACGTACGAGAAAAACAGAAATTAATGATATTTTTGTCAATTACGTCCAACATCACAATCCACTAACCAACCCACCAAGTTGAGATTCGCATAGACTTAGTGATCTCATATTTCAAACATTCATAACTTCATTACTATTGGTCCGTTTCATTTCAAACTTTTGCCATTCTATTTCTGTTATTTTTTCTGCTTTTACGAATCTACTTATTACAAGGGTTGAATTGCCCTTTAACTCATTAGCTTCTGAAACGGAATGATTTCCTACACTAATCCTATGGGGATACATGTAATATGTTTCTCTCTGAAAAAGTAATGGCGGAAGCTTCAATTTTTATTATGATGAACATTCAAGATTTGTCCCCTATTAGCTCATTAGCTGCAGGAACGGGAGTTATTTCCTCTATCAACCCTGGGGATAATAATGATATTGATAATAATAATAATAATAATAACAATAATAATAATAATAATTATTATAATAATAATAATAATAATAATAATAATAATTACAATATTTATAAAGTGCACATATATCTCTCGAGTTTCTCAAGGCGCCTAAAAACAATTTCACTTCAAAGCTCCAAATTAAATGAATATGAAAGTTGAACTCTAAGAAGGGAAACTTAATTGTAACCGACAAGCGTAAGGTGGGTCTTAATTATGGCTTTGAAAGATTGAAGGGCCATGGCTGTTTGGAGAGAAAAGGATCGGATTGTTTCACAGAGATGGAGCTGCTGGTGAGAGATTTTAAATGTCAATGGATTAAGAAAGATATAGCTTAATACATACCTGCCCCTCAGAGAGCAGAAGTAAACAATCAAAAAGTTGAAACACTCGACTGGAAGGCTGGTGAATAGATGTGATTACAGTCTTTCCGGAAGAAACGGCGTATTCTTTCAACGTCTTTAGCAGCTCATAGGCTGTCCGGGAGTCTAGTCCAGATGTAGGCTCCTTATAAAGAATGAAACACATTTTGGTTTAACTTGAGCATCAAATTAACTCAATCTTAACATATCTTCAGGATGAAGGAAGGGAAGAAGAATATATAGAAATATAACTTAGGCCATTAAAAAAATATACATGTTTAGCGTCCCCGCCCGCATCCTTTTTAGGGGCCGCCTCCTATTTTTATTTTTATTTTTTTTTAATTTTGTATGAATTTTGTATATTTTTAGGAAAAAGAACAAAGATCTATTTCTGATTAAAAAACAAAAAACTAACAACAAAAAACACATTTCGGTGGCCATCTTGAAAAATAGCCCGACTGTTAGGGAAAATTTTTGAGCGGCCATTTTGAAAGAAAAAAAAAGGGCCCCCTCCTTCCTATTTTTCAAAAAAGAAGGACGCTAAACATGTTTTTTGGCATTATGTAATTGAATCGGTATAGACGCAGGATCTGGAAAGTTAATTTGCAAAATTGCATAACCTTTAAATACATAAAACTTTATTTCTTAAAGTGGAAATTCAAAGAAAATCACAAATATGTCAACTAATGTATCACTAGAACGGATGGCCATCGTACAAGTTTTAGGTCAACTACATATCGGGTGATTTATAAAAATACAAATACAACCACCACCATAGCAGCTGGGATATTCGAGAGATTCGCCAGAAAAATAACGATGTTTTAATGACGTCACAATATGGACCAATACTGCCCAAGCAGACGACATCAGATAAAGAATGAACATAATTGCAAAGCTATTATTTGTCAAATTATAATGAGTTTAGTGTATATAAATGTGATGGCATTTCAACTATTCAAAAGGGGATATGAAACCGATTCTGATAACTAAAATCTTTTGTTTGTAAATACACAGGATAGGGGTTAATAAACAATTAAAGAAACCAGACTTTCAAATTTAAAAACCCCCGGAATGATATTGAGGACGGCATTTGTTCCCTCTTGAAACGCCGAACATACCGCGGTGTGTGGAGCTGAATATACAATGGCGTCTTATTTTGTTTACAAGCGACAGATTCCTTTATTTTTGATTCGCTGCATTTGTCATCAAAATAAAACCATGCGCGGTTAGAGTGAGGCAATAGATTATACATTTAGCCTGATGGTAGTGAAGTAAGAGAAATAACTCAAGAGAAGATGAAAATAAAGGCACTGAAAATGTGTAAGATGTCATGGGACATCGTGTGCTTGTGCAAATCATGTCCATACTGTGATGTCACACATCTCAGCAGCGTTCGGAGAGCTCTTCAGGTGCTATGCCAGGGCTGTATTTAAGCGTTTTGTAATTTATAATAATCATTACTTCGCATGTTTCCAAGCATTGAATTTTGATAACCTTGTCGAATCAAAGTTTCAACTTTGCAATATTGAAAATAAAGTTAGTTATTAAAATCAATGAATATGATGATGATGATGACTCACAGCATTTGTATGGCGCCATATATCTGTTTAAAAAAACATTCAAATTCGCGAGCTCCTCCAATAAAATTAGCATTTAAATATCTACTTTAAAAAAACTGTAGGCCTAATGACGAAATAAAATATATATCACGCATTGAGTAACATCTCCTTCTCCTCCTCCTTTATCATCCGCCTACTACTATTACTACTACTACTACTACTACCACCACTATGATGGTAATGGTAATTTCTGGTGACATTTTCGACTTTCATCAACTGAGTAACACCGGTGTCATTGCCCCCCCCCCCCCACGTGACGCCACTACAGCTAGGCATATTTGCAAGGAGCTAAGCAATAGAGCAAAAAGAAAAACCATGACAATTTATTCTGTTATTATTCAAATTAAATACTGAAATGGATCAATTAAGGCCTATTGCAAAGGCATAAAGAACACATTTTACCTCCGACTTCCTAAACAATACCAACAAAACACATCGTGGGGCACCCGGTTGGGACCCGGGGTTGAGAGCACGTTGCCTAAGGCTAGCTAGGCCACTGGTATATACTCACATCTAGAAGCAGTATAGAGGGATCAGTGAGAAGCTCACATCCAATGTTAGCTCTCTTCTTCTCTCCTCCCGATAGTCCACGATTCAGCGAATCACCCATCTCTGAAACATAAAGTGGTTTGAGGAAATCTGAGGTTTAAAATGGTTGTGAGGACAAAAGCTCTTGTAAAAACTGATTCGTGAAATAGGTGAGATATTAATAGGTCTCTGCGATCATCTTAAGCAAGAACAACATTTGGGGGGATTGGGGGTAGTGAGCACTATTTTTTTTTTTTTTTTTTTTTTTTTTTTGGGGGGGGGGGCTCTCGAAAATTTGAAAAATCGCACCCCCCCCCCCTTGAACGCCAGGTGGGGGGGGGGGCATCTAAAAAAAAACCTAAAATTAACGTGTTTTTACAGGGGGCCCTGGATCCGCCACTGGATGGATCCGTGACTACATGCGGTCATTGCTCTAATTTATACCATGCGTGTGATTTCGGCGATGACTTAGCGCATGCCCGGGGGCGAAATTTTTATTCCCAAACAGGTTTGCAATTTCTTATATTTCCGTTCTTCTCAATGGCTGATATGTTCTACGTCATTATCAGCTTGGAAAGAGGTCACAAACAATTAGACTTTTAGTTTTTATTGCTTTGCCTCACTATTTATAAAGGCAAAAAACGGAATAAACTGAGACTTGAACCCACAACTCTATAATTGTATATTACGCTAACCTTACCGATTGAGCCAACAACGATGGGTTGATGAAAAGTGATTCTGCATAATTGTTATAATCCTATCACGCACCCTAACGGTTACGTCATTGCTAATGACGTAACATATCAGCCAATCAGATGACCGAAAATATTATCATTGGCAAACCTGTTTGGGAATAAAAATTTCGCTGCCCGGGGATTGAACCAACGATGCTATTTCTGGGACCCGTTTCATAAAACCCTTTTTCAATGACAAATGACACAAATCAGTGACAAATCTGCTGATGACCAATCAGAAGCAAGGATTTCAGTAGCTTATGACAAAAACTGTCATTTGTCAATTGTCACTGATGACAAGTTTTGTGAAATGGGGCACTGGTCGGTCACGCGATTGCATTGTCATAATGGTGAAGAAAATATCTGCGTGGAAGCATCTCAAAAGGTTGATCACGTAGCGCATAAGCACTGGTTTATACTGTGATTTTTTTTTTTAATTCCTGAATAATAAGAAATTGGTACAGTCTTGCTAGAAGTCACATGTACTGTACATAGAAATGTATATATAAGACTTCACAAAGTGGCATTATGTTGTCCACGTACACTTTACTTTTAGCCACAAAATCTGTGTTATTTCGAATATCAAAACTTTTAAAAATGCACCTTATCCAGGGGAATATTTTATCTGCAGGTGTATGATACTGGATTGCTGTTCCACGCTGAATTATTGATGTTTTATCATAACTTAATCACGTTTCGTTGACGATCAGCCATGCACCAAGTCTTTCGTCTTCTTTGTGCATGGCTGATCGTCAATGGAACGGAGTTAAGTCTTTTGTCAACTCTATGTGTTGCTACGGCAGGCAGCCAGTGAAAATGAATTCGTTTAATCAAATTATTGAAAAGCAAGCATTACTTTAAACAAACGGAACTTTGTTATTCCTGGCTTATATTTATCCTGATTGAGGTGTCATTTGAAAAGGCAGAAAATGAACTTTCTAGAAATGAGATTTTCTCTTTGAAATTCAGATATCGCCCGCATAATGACTGTTTGGTTTCCTCTCTTAAAATGGTCTTTAATCATATGGCTTGCTTCAAATGAAAGAGGAGGATCTAAGCTTTACAAATATGTGTCATTTATTAATTATAATTGTGATGAAATGATATAGTTATGATAAAACATCGATAATTCTTGGTTTCGTTTTTCTGGGACACACTGTATAAGCGCACAATGCTTTGGTTATTCTATTCCATGGCAATGCAGAGTTTTGAAGCGGTTTGCGGCGCTATATGTGAATGATACTTTGCTTCGGAAGCATGTAAAAAATCAAAAACAATAAAGAGACATGAAGATTAAGAAAAGGCTGGGATCGAGTTGGGATTTCACATCATCACGTGTTATGATTAGCATCTAATTGATTACTCACTAGTATCGAGACACTTGTGTAAGTCAAGAGTTTCGACGATGCTTCGAATCTTCTGCTTTTTCTCCTCACCTGTCAATCGGCTGGGTAATCTCAGATCTGCTGTGAACTTCAGAGTTTCACAATAAAAAGAAGGAGATATAATTACCTAAAATGTAATGGCAATTTCAATTTCACAATAAAAAGAAGGAGATAATTATCTAAAATGCAATGGCAATTTCAATTGCAAATGAAATATGGTGGATTGTAAGTCATCTACTACTTTATATATTGCGCAAATATCCACCCCAGGGGATGCTCAAGGCGCCTACAAAATACATTAGTGCCGCGGCGGGACTCAAGCCCCGAACCACGCGATGACGGCCCAGATGTGATTTCTATGAAAGTTGTAAGGTCCGGAACATGGAATGCCATTTGCTGGAAAACCGGGCACGACCCGAGCATTACTTCCGACTTAGACAATCTACTCCTAAGTTCCCCCTTTTTTTTCCCTCCCGCTCTCTGTAGTTGTCTCTACCCCCGCATGTTATCGAACGGGGGAGAACATGCCCCATGTCCATGTGTCCCCGTAGCTACACTATTACATTTTGCCGTGAAAATGGTAGAAAGATACAGATATTAGTTTGTTTTTGTTTGTTTGTTGTTTTTTTTTATTTTTTTATTTATTTACTTATTTTATTTATTTATTTTATTTTATTTATTTATTTATTTATTTATTTTTTTTTAATATATATATATATATTTTTTTTTTTGTTTTTTGTTTTTTTTTTTGGGGGGGGTGGTGGTTTGGAGGGTGGATTTAGATTAATCTGTAGCACTTTAACCCACCAACCCATCCCTTAGTATTAGCACCATTACCTTAAAGGTTTCCCTCAAAGTGAGTTCACTGAGGAACAAGTCTTCCTGTAACACGAAACTGATTTGTCTTCTTAAACGTTTGCTGATGGGTTGGCCATTCAGGAAAATACCTCCAGATTCTAGCGCCCTCTGTCGTCCAGCCAAACAAGTTAGCAGAAGAGTCTTCCCTGCGCCTGTAATATAATAAAGAGATCATTTTGAGACTGTAAAAATGTTAAGTCATGATTCGCCAGAATAGAAAGTAAGGTGTCGATTCAAGTAAGTGAGAAGTAATAAAATGATGAATCAAAGAGGTGTTTTCAGAAGCTATGCTTGACCACCACCCCTAAAATTGAATAAATGGATGAATGAATAAATCTAATTATACCAAACGTTGTGAAAAAACATACACATACACAGACACTTCCCTCTCCCACTTCCAACCTCGAAAAAGGGGATTTTTTTATTAATATAGCCACCATTATTTGCCCCTCCTACAAACTATACTGGTACAAACCAGATTGAATAGGGGTCCAGCGGAGAATACCGGTGTTGTGTATTATTCAATCTGGAAGTTATCAAACCAAGTGGTCAGTACCAGTTCTGCGTTAGTAGGGACTTTTATATTTACACGACGAGAGCGTGGACTGCCGCGTGGCACTGGGCCGTGCCCGGCAGTGCCTTAAAAGGATGTCACACGTGGCGGTCCTTGTTCTCGTCGTGTAAATATAAAAGTCCCCACTAACGCAGAACTGGTACTGACCACTTGGTTCGATAACTTCCAGATTGAATAATACACAACACCGGTATTCTCCGCTCGATCCCATGACTTAAAGTAGATATTCATTGATTTTAAAAACTAACTTTATTTTCATTATTGCAAAGTTGAAACTTCATTCGACAAGGGTATCAAAATTCAATGCTTGGAAACATTCGAAGTAAAGATTATTATCAATTACAAAACGCTTAAATACAGCCCCGGCATAGCACCTGAGAAGCTCTCCGAACGCTGCTGAGATATGTGAGATCACAGTATGGACATGATTTGCACAAGCAGACGATGTCCCTTGACATCTCACACATTTTCAGTGCCTGTGCTTTCATTTTTTCTTGAGTTCTTTCTCTTACTCCACTACCGTCAGGCTAAATATATAATCTATTGCCTCACTCTAAACCCTGCGGAAGGTTTTATTTTGATGACACATGCAGCGATACAAAAATAAAGGAATTTGTCGCTTGTAAACAAAATAAGACGCCATTGTATATTCAGCTGCACCCACCGCGGTATGTTCGGCGTTTCAAGAGGGAACAAATGCCGTCCTTAATATCATTCCGGACGGTTTTCAATTTGAAAGTCTGGCTTCTTTGATTGTTAATTAACCCCTATCCTGTGTATTTACAAGCAAAAGATTTCAGTTATCAGAATCGGGTCATATCCACTTTTGAATGGTTTAACATGCCATTACATTTATATACACTAAACTCATTATAATTTGACAAATAATAGCTTAGCAATTATGTTCATTCTTTATGGGATGTCGTCTGCTTGGGCAGTATTGGTCCATATAGTGACGTCATTAAAACATCGTTATTTTTCCGGTGAATGTCTCGTAAATCCCAGCTGCTATGGAGGTGGGTTGTATTTGTATTTTTATAAATCACCCGATATGTAGTTGACCTAAAACTTGTACGAGGGCCATCTGTTAGCTTACCAGTTTCTAATGATACATTAGTTGACATATTTGTGATTTTCTTTGAATTTCACCTTTAATATGTGAAATATCTTGAACCGGTACGAAATAGTTTGAATAACACTAAACCGCTAACCACCACTTCAGGTCCCATAATTTATGTTAAACAAACCGGTAAAAATCAGATTGAATTACTCAGAACCGGTACTCACCGCTCGGTCCCATAACTGCCATCAGTTGACCGGGTTTTGCCGTCCCAGACACTCCACAGAGAACATCCCTTTTGTTGATAGTGAGAAAGAGGTCAGTGAACTCTAATGTCACTTGCTTCTGATAGCTCGCCATAATGGCTCTCTTTTCATCCGGCTGAAAACCAAGAATAAAAATGGAGAACAAATAAAATTATTAGATATTATATTCTGAGAGAGGCGAGGGATGAATATTTCAATTTAAAAAAGGAGAAATTGGCCTACTCACAAATCTATTGATGACACTGATAATAATAATAATAATAATAGTATAGGCCTATAGGATTTATAAGGCGCCAAATCCAGTTAAAATTAAACGCTCAAGGCGCACTAGTGCAAAACATGAAAATACATAAACATATTTGTACAAAAGTACAATGTAACACAAACAAAAAAAATCAGATCAATTAAAAGAAAATTGGGAAAGTTAAGTTTTAAGGTTGCTATTGAAAGATTTTACTGTATAAATAATATCTCTGATCCCTCGAGGTAAACAGTGTGATGGCCTCCCGTTTACGGTTAGACTTCAAGCATTGTAGGAGTGCTCACACCCCACCTTGGGAAGAACAAGCAATCAAGGGTTTTGAGAACGTAAAGATCTGGTAGGAGTGTAGGGATTAATCAAAGAAATATTGTACTGTGGAGCAGAGCCATGAACACAATGAAACATAAGGCAATGAAAAATAAGCAATACGTTCTTTTATGCGAAACTAATGGGGGTTCCTAGACTGTGTTTGTTTGAGAGGGCAGACATTATTTCTGTAATTTGTGTAAATAGGCAAGCCGGAGACAGGTTGAACAAGACAGCATTTGAAATGAATGCATGAATAACCTTCTTCGTTGCACTGCGAGTTCGGTATTTCGTACCAAACCCAAATTACGCAACTGAAAAGACATGGCTGGAATGAATGACAACTGCAGTATAACGGTACACAGAAACACAAAGGGGTCGTATTGGTATCAAAAGAATGTTTAAGCATGAGTGAACAAGCCAGCTACACTGATATATGTACCAGGCATGTATAAAGCATGGCCTCATATTAATATGTACAATGTGAATCAATTAAGGCTCAAATAACTCGACACACTATATAATCATCAACACAATTACCTTTATGAATCCAAATTAATCTAGTAACTTCCAGAAAACAAGTACAACAACATGAAACAATTATGCAATAGAGTTGTGATCGAGCTCTGGAACGGTCTCCCAGAATACGTTGTGGCAGCTGGGTCGGTCAACTCTTTTAAAAGTACACTTGATAGTCACTGGTCAAAGAATCCAAGCCTTTTGTATGAGCCGGTCTAGGTGTTGTCTGTTGTCGTCTCATGTTAGCAGGGGCGGCGATTTCTTTTCATGACCGGGGGGGGGGGGGCGAAATGCGAGGGACGAGGGAGCAGTGACGTAATGAGCAAATGGAGGGGGAGGGGGCAGAAAAAAAATCCGCATCATCACCACCACTGTTACATGTTATATGCAGACCCCGTGGAAGGTTTTCAAAGTGTGTGTGTTGGGGGGGGGGGGGGTAAAGTATTTACGATCAGGTAGAGCATAAACGTACGGGTAGAGAAAAGCAAGTGGAACGTAAATTGGCGTGGGTTCAGGGGCAGGGGTCAAGGGACGGAACCCCATGAAGCTCAAGGGTTTGAGGCATATAATAACGGTCAGATCAGCATTCAGGGAGCGCAGCTCCTGGAAGCTCAGGAGTTTTAGGCATTTAATTACGTTTAGATGATCATATTCTAATAGGTTATTTGTGACACTGGCATGCAGGTCACTAATTGGAGTAGGGTCCGGGGGGAGCCCCCAGAAGGGGTTTTAGGCATTCAATTACGATCAGATGAGCATCCAGAGCCGGGTTGCCTTATGGCCCTCAAGCGTCCAGGGAGCGGAGCCCCCGGAAAATTAGGGGTTGCATGAAGGCATTTAATTACCGTCAGATGAGCAACCAGGGGCCCGCGTTAGGGCATATTTTTGGGGTCCAGGGGGCAGAGCCCCCGGAAGCTCAGGGGAAATCATGCTATTTCAGCAACATTTGTTAATCATGGGTATCGAATTAGAAAAAAAACACGTTTGTATTTTTTTTTTTTGGGGGGGGAGGGGTTCACTGCCCCAAGCCCCCCCCCCCCAAAAAAAAAAACCCAAACAAACAAACAAACAAAAAAAACAGTACGTTAGTGCGATGGAGCGAACGAGAGAACGAGAGGGATGAAGGTGACGGAAGTGACTATATACCCCTCACAGGTTTTTGAAGTTTTGTTGTATTACAAAATTAAATTCCTTATCAAAATTATAGTATAAAAACACGCAATATACTTTTCTACATTATTTACTTGTACATTTTTAATACATTATGCGAGAGAGCGTAGCTCCAGAGCGAGAAGATTTTTGCATTTTTATTTGTCTTAACGCTGCACTTTAGCGCCTTCAGAGCTTAAAAGTGTGTTGCAGTCTTTAGTCAGTATTTGCTATACATTTTTTATTGTTGCACTTTTTCAAATTTCCGGGATGGGGGGGGGGGGACGATCCCCCTACTTATGATAACGATATTAAAATATATCGGTACAGCAAATATCTATCTGAACAGGTAAATTGATGACCTAAATAATACTCATTAAGACAAATATTAAAAATCTGAGTTATCAGTAATTAAAAAAGAAAGTCCATTAAATGTCGGAACTATATATCCTGCAACATTGTTCCATAGAGACTTTTAGATTTGTACGACGAGATCGTGGCCTGCCATGTGTGACATCCTTTTAAGGCAATGTGACGTCCTTTTAAGGCAACATTGCCTTAACCCTAAAAAGGCCGGGCTATTTGAGGTATTATTACGACCGGGGGGGGCATTAAGGCCCTCCATAAGATCTCGGCCGATTGTAGCGAAATTTGCACGCATGGCAAGTGAAGCGTATAGAACACTAAGGTAAATTTAATTTTCTGAAAAATTCCCCCAACCCATGCATATTTATGATAATTTATGCAAACAAGGTCATAAAATTCACATTTTTACCCATAAATCATATATTTTTCATATTTAATTAATAGTTTTCACTACAAATATTTTTTTTAGACCATTTGGAGAATAATACAACAAAAAAATTGGAAGAGTGGCTTTATTCCTTATGTTATCTATTGATTTGATAATTTCTCATGTATTTCTTTGTTTTATGTTTTTGTTGTTTTATGTTAATTCTAGCTATAATACAACTATTCTGAACCCCAAAATAAACACCCAACTATAAACAAGACCAAATAACCAAAGTTTTTATCCCTTTTTTGGAAAAATGAGATTTCCATATGTTTTGTACACAAATCACGAAAATGAGCGATTTTCGGGCTGACATACAAAGACAAAAGGTCACGTGACTTTGTAACGGGGCCCGCTTATTAAAGGGCCCCGGAAAATTTTAAACCTTAAGATGCTCTATGATACATTCTGAGGCACTTCTGAATACGTTAACCGAACATTTATGTGACTTCTTCTTAGCTTTTTCCTTCTTTTATTTTCAGAAGTAAAAAATAAAAGGGGGCGTGCGCCCCATGCACCCCCTGGATCCGCCCCTAAACACAATCCATATTAAAAACAAACATAGTAAATTGTGTAGCAATCATAAAAGCAACAGATAAAACAGGAATAACAATTTGTTATGTGTTTTGGGGCATGTTCCCAGAAGCGGCCTAGAAGGAATGAAAAGCAAGTTGAATCTATGTGATCATCTGGCTTTTACAACCCACGCCCACTTAAGCATGGAAAAAAAACGCGTTATCAGATATAGTCATACACTCATACTAACGTGTTTACAGATAAAACAGTTCCATGTGTTCATATGTCAATCTTGACGCATTCTGTTCTTCTTCTTCTTTTTGGTTAGCCTAAACTATACCACACCACAATGATTAGTAGGTCTACGGCTACGAGAGAAGAAGTCACGTTGATGAGTAAATTTTCGCGAAATGAAGCTTCACAACTTTGAACTATACTACGATCTCAAAAAGGTTGAAAACTCTTTGATTTGACAGTACTTTCTTTGACTCGCCAAGTCACGTGATCTTTTTTCATGTAATTTTGCTGTTAATATAGGTTAATTCTGAGAACATTTTAATTCTGATAAAAGTCTGTGCGATTACTAACTAAATACAAGATTATTGACATCTAAAAGTAAAGAAATGTGGTGTTAATATGGGCGCCAGTCTATATCTCGTATAGATCATAATTAACATTTATGGCCGTAAAATGTGAATCCTCAAACTTACTGAAACCATTATCGAAAGAGAAAGAGAGAGAGAGAGAGAGAGAGAGAGAGAGAGAGAGAGAGAAATAAAAAGAGCAACAAGAAAAACACACAAAAGGCAAACCAAAAACATAAAAAATATGTACATAAAAGAAACGAACAAACAAACAATAACAAAAGAAAGACAACTATAGCGGACGGGTTTAACCCTCGCGAAGGCCTTGAATAAATCATTATATAGGCTATAGGTCGGGTCGATTATTCAACATCTTGTTCATGCACCAAACTCTGTCAAAAGGAAGCATTTTGACAGTAGAGGATACAAAACAAGAAAAATGCCATACTTTTCTCGTCGGGAAAGGGTTGTCAGATACTCATAAAGGTGGGCCCCCTCGCAAAAAAACAAAAAACAAAACTGACACGTGACATTTTAAATGTGCCAAACACTCCGAACTTTGCCCCCCCCCCCCCCCCCCTCCCTAGCAAAGCTTGAAAATATTGTATATATCATCAGGAATGATCATAGGCCAACAACAGTTTGCATAGTGTATTTGTGGATTGGCGCATTAATTTTTGTACATAACTTGACAAGAGCCCCAGTAGTGTTATACCCAATACCCTAACACCACTGTAGTCCAGAGAAAAACAACAAAGATCTCTATATGGAGTTTAGCTAGACAGTGTATTGTCTCCACATTCCTCACTTTTAACGACAGTCTGCCCTACCAAAGAACACAGATCTCCATCAGCTCGAGTTTGCCAAATAACCAGCTATTTTAACTATCCAGATCAGCCCGCAGTTGCAATTAGCGGGATATTTGGTCGAAAAATATACAGTAAAATCTTGGTCCGAAAATGTCAATATAATTATTGATAACTTAT